CCGTGGCACCTGGGTCTGCCCCGTGACCTCCTGCCAGCGGGCGTTCGACACTTCACGTGGCCTCAACGTGCACATAGCCTGGCACAAGCGCCGTGGTGACGTCACCACCACTAAGTGGTGGATGACGGTTGTTGGTGGTGGTTAATAGTGCTGGTGGGGATGGTGGGGATGGTGGTGATTGTGGTGATGGTGGTGATTGTGGTGATGGTGGTGATTGTGGTGATGGTGGTGATGGTGGTAGTGATGATGATGGTGATGCTGATGGTTATGATGATGGTGGGGATGGAGATCGTGGTGGTTATGATGGTGGTGGTGATGGATGATGGGGCTGTTGGTACTGGTGAGGGGGGTGATGGTAGTGATGGTGGAGGTGATGATGGTGGTGATGATGGTGGTGATGGTTTTGATTGTGGTCGTGGTGATGATGCTCATGGTAGTGATTGTGGTGATGATGGTGGTAGTGATGATGATGATGATGGTGGTGGTGATGCTGATGATGGTCATGATGGAGGTGGTGATGATGGTGATTATGGGGGTGATGATGGTGGTAGTGATGTTGATGATGGTAGGTCTCTTTTAGGTGAGTCTGTGGGTTTCTGTGTGGTGAGTCTGTGGGTTTTTGTCTTTTTGTGAGTCTATGGGTATATGTGTGGGGAGTATTGGTCTCTGGTGAGTCTATGGGTCTGGTGAGTCTGGGTCTTTGTGTGGTGTTTGTTTGGTGAGTCTTTGGTTTTCTGTGTGGTTCGTGTGTGGGTATCTGTGTGGTGAGTCTGTGGCCCTCAGAGTGCATCTATGTGTCTCTGGTGATGTTATAGCTCTGTGGTAAGTCTATGGGTCTTTGTCTTTTGTTGAGTCTGTGGGTCTGCGTGGTGAGTCTATGGGTCTCTGTGTGAGTTTGTGGGTATTTTCTTTTGGTGAGTCTGGAGGTATCTGTGTAATGAGTTTGTGGGCCTCTGTATGGTGAGTCTATGGGTCTCTGCAGTGAATTTATGGCTCTCTATGTGGTGAGTATGGATCTTTGTCTTTTGGTGAGTCTATGGGTATCTGTGTGGTGAGTGTGTCTGTGTGTAATGAGTGTGTTTCTGTGTGATTAGTCTGTGGGTCTCTGTGCTTAGTCTGTGGATTTCTGTGTAATGAGTCTGGGTCTCTGTGTGATGAGTCTTCGTGGTATTTGTCTGGTGAGTCTATTCGTCTCTGTGTCGTGAGTGTATGGCCCTGTGTGGTGTGTCTAAGGGTCTCTGTTTGGTGAATCTATGGGTCTCTGGTGAATCTATGGGTCTCTGTTTGGTGAATCTATGGGTGTCTCTGGTGAGACTATGGCTCTGTGGTGAGTCTGTGGGTCCCTGTGTGGTGAGTGTATGGCTCTGTGTGGTGAGTGGTTTTCTGTGTGGTGATTCTATGGGTCTCATTGTGGTGAGTCTATGGCTCTGTGTGGTGAATCTATGGGTTTCTGTGTGGTGAGTGTATGGCTCTGTGTGTTGAGTCTATGGGTTTCTGCGTGGTTGCGTCTGTGGGTCTCTGTGTGTCTCTCTGGTGAGTCTGTGGGTCTGTGTGGTGAGTCTGGGTATCTTGTGTGTCTGTGGGTCTCTCTGTTGAGTCTGTGGGTCTCTCTGTTGAGTCTGTGGGTCTCTGTGTGACTCTATGTGTCTTTGTGAGTCTGTGGGTCTCTGTGTGATGAGTCTATGGATCTATGTAAGGCTTGGTGGTGAGTGGGGCTGTGGGGTGAGTATTTTTTTGTGTGGTGAGTGTGAGATTTTGGGGTTGTGGTTGCTGTGATCGTTGTGATCATCGTGGTAGTGATTGTTGTGATCATGGTGGTTGTTGTGGTTGTGATTTAATTTCTGGTTGTTGTGATAATTTTGGTGGTTTTATTGTTTTTGTGGTGGTTTTCATAGTTGTTGTGATGGTTGTTGTGGTTGTTGTAACCAGGTAAAAACAACCCCCTACTTCTTGACTTAAAGCTTTAGTGACTGCAGGAATTCATATTATTTCGGTCTTTAGGTAAAGTCACATAGGTAGGTTCAAAGAAAATAACAAAAAACTACGACAATTCGATCGCAGCACGTGCATTTGTCATCAGGAAGAAAAAAGAGGTGGGAAAGCTGCTGAGGCAGACTGTTTCAAATGTTTCAAATGGGTATAGCCCAAGTGGGCCGGGCTAGTGATGTTAATGTGAGAGATTAGCACGTTAATGTCAGATCGGAGGCCGATGTCCATGACGAGTTGCACAGGTGGCTATGTTAATGTGAGAGATTAGCATGTTAATGGGAGATCGGAGGGCGATGTCAATGACGAGTTGCACAGGTGGCTATGTTAATGTGAGAGATTAGCATGTTAATGGGAGATCGGAGGGCGATGTCCATGACGAGTTGCACAGGTGGCTATGTTAATGTGAGAGATTAGCATGTTAATGGGAGATCGGAGGGCGATGTTAATGTGAGAGATTGGCATGTTAATGGGAGATCGGAGGGCGATGTCCATGACGAGTTGCACAGGTGGCTATGTTAATGTGAGAGATTAGCATGTTAATGGGAGATCGCAGAGCAGCAACGTCGAGCTCTGCGATCGAGGTGGCTGTGTTCATGTGGGAAATTTAACCCCCCCCCCCTTTTCCTGATGACGACCGCTTGTGTTGCAATCGGAACGTCGTAGTTTTTTGTTATTTTGTTATTTTCTTTGAATCTATCTACGTGACTTTACCGAAAGACCCAATAATTTTTTTAATTTAACCTGTTAATGTAAAATCAGAGAGCCGAAATTAACAACTAACATCGGAAGGTGGTAGGATGGGAACATCGCAGCCAGTTATGGATGGCTTCATGAATGAATCTTTGTTGATAGCCAGTGAAACACGGTAGGACCAATACCTCGGCCGTGGCTGATCATTGTTTTAATGCGGGGGGCTCACACGAAATAGATTTTTCGAAGACGAAGTTACTTTTCAAACCACTGGCTATAAACAAAGATTTGTTCATGAAGCCATCCACATATACAGACACAACTTCAATTGTGAAGATGGGGATAATTCTGAGTAATCATTGGAAGGACGTTATCAACCAGTTTAAGTCGTAGCTGGCTGTGATGTTCCCATCCTACCACCTCGCTCACCGAGCTTGACTTTGCTACTCTGCGATCTCCAAGTAACATGCTAACCTCTCACATTAACATAGCCATCTCCGCGCTCTCGTCGTGGACATCGCCCTCGGATCTTACATTGACATGATAAGTTCTCACAGTAACATAGCCATATCCGATTTAAAGCTTTCGTGACTGCAGGAATTCATATTGTTGGTTCTTTCGGTAAAGTCACGTAGAAGGGAAATAATACGTGACTTTACCGAAAGAACCAAGAATATGTCGAGCCACATCCGTGCCCTCGTTGTGGAGGCCGCTCTCCGATCTGACATTAACATGCTAATGTCTCACATTAACATCGCTAGCCCCGCACACTTCGTATATGACCCTTGGGCTACACCCATTTTAAACCTTTAAAACATCCTGCCTCAGCAGCTTTCCCCCTCTTTTTTCTTCCTATTGACGAATGCTTGTGTTGCGATCGAAACGTCGTTGTTTTTTTTTTATTTAAAGCTTTCGTGACTGCAGGGATTCATCTTCTTGGTTCTTTCGGTAAAGTCACGTAGAAGGTAAATAATAAAATAATAAAAATAAAATACAATTCTCACGACGTTTCGGCTCAACGCAAGCAGCCGTCCTCAGGTGAAGAACAGGTCTGAGCAACCGTCCTCTTCAACGTAAGCAGGACGGCTGCTGACGTTGTGGCCGAAACGTCGTGAGAATTGTATTTTATTATGTAGAATTTTTATTATTTTATTATTTACCTTCTACGTGACTTTACCGAAAGAACCAAGAAGATCGTAGTTTTTTGTTATTTTTTATATTTTTTTTACGTGACGTTACCGAAAGACCCAAAGAATATGAACCCCCCTACCTCCTCGGTCGTGCCGGATGGTCATTGTGGTGGATGTAAGCAAAGTCACGGAGAGAAGGCCAATTCAATCGACTGTTCCCCTCATGGCTCTCGCAGCCACCACAGTGGCCAACGGGCCTCTGGATGGGTGTGAGAGACTGGTAACACCTCCAACTTCAATTTAATGACCACAAAAACACGTGCAAAATATCAAACTAAGCTTGTGAGGTAGGCTCTGGGGGAACCCACTAGACTCAATCTCTACCCTTGGGGTTCCTCCAAAAAAGGCAAAAAAAAAAACACTGCGAGTGGATTTTTAGAATGCTCACTGCGGTGCAGAGGCTGCCACTCCCCTGTTGGATGCTAGACCGGTACTGCCTGGATCTCTGTGGCATTACAGGAGGTCCGGTGGACTGACTGGCTCCAGTCACCATGAGGGGTGGATGGTCCTTTACTTGGGGCAGGAGACTGCCAAACAGCAGGCAGTGGCTCTTCTGAACAAAACAATGAAGGGGGCGTGGGAGTATGGCGGTGAGGTGTGGGAGGCTGTAAGCCCCAGGCTTCTGTGGGCTCGCCTTCCCATTAATGGGAGGCGAGGAATGGTAGTGATTGCTTATGGCCCCATCGAAGATGAACATCAGGCAAGCTCGATAAGTCAGAAGCATTCTGAAACTAAACTTTTTATTTTAGCAGGTAAGGCTCACTGAGTTATTTAGCATTTTTCCAGAAGCAACCTGGCCACAACAAAGTAGTTTACCATGTGGAAATGTATATCAACCAAGTACTCTTAAATGCACATTTTTAAATGTAGTGGGAGAAACCGGAGGACCTGGATAAAATTCCACTGGACTGCGGGCAGCACATGCAAACTCCAAATATTCAGACGTTGAGGTTGGGATCGACACCACAATCTCCTGGTTACCAGGTGAGGTAGTTAATATCTCCAAGCCACCTTGGCACTAGCTAAAGTGGCGCCTCAGGATAGTTGTTGGTGTGATCGTTGTTGGTATGATTGTTGTTGTGATCGTGGTGATTGTTGTTGGTGTGGCTGTTGTTGTTGGAATGGCACCAGGACGCTGACTGAGTCATGCTGGACGATGACCCGTCATGTGACCTGTCACATGACCCCACCTCGTCATCCACCACCACCACCTCCTCCTCCGCTCGCTCCACGCGAAGCTCACAGGAAGTGACATCACAGCGGCCACGGGGACAGGAAGTGACCTCACAGCTGCGCCGGTCACAGGAAGTAACATCATCGCATCGGCGGGGAAAGGAAGTAACATCACAACAGCGGGGACAGGAAGTGACATCACAGCGCGGACAAGAAGTGACCTCTCAGCGGCGCCAGGGACAGGAAGTGGCGTTCCTGGCGGGGAGAGAGGCGGAGGGGGAAGGGGAGGAGCCGTGCTTCTACGAAACGGTGGAAGGTGAGAGGGAGAGACGTAGAGAGAGACCCACAGACTCGTCACACAGAGACCCATAGACTCACCACACAGATCCATAGACTAACCACACAGATACCCATAGACTCACCACACAGACCCATAGATTTACCACACACATCCACAGACTCACCACACAGAGACCCCCACAGACTCACCACACAAAGACCCAAACTCACCACACAGACCCACAGACTCATCACACAGAGATCCATAGACTAACCACACAGATACCCATAGACTCGCCACACAGACCCATAGATTCACCACACACACCCACAGACTCACCATACAGAGACCCAGAGACTCACCACACAAAGACCCGAACTCACCACACAGACCCACAGACTCATCACACAGAGACCCATAGATTTACCACACAGAGACCCGCAGACTCACCACACAGATCCACAGACTCATCACACAGAGACTCCAGCTCACCACACAGAGACCCGTACTGTATTGGGAGTGTGTATGTGAGTGTGTTAGGAGTGTTAGTGTGTATGTGTGTTAGAGGGTACAAGAGGAGAGAGATCCGTTAGGGCGTCTGTGGGTTTGGAGTGTGTGGTTGTTATGAGGCTGTGTGTACATAGTGTGTATGGGAGTGTGTTAATCTTGTCCTGGAGGCCCCGGGGGGACAGATGTCTATGATGTTTCCTGGTCAAACGCCATTGGGCGGAGCCAGGAGACTGGACACCCACCCTCGGAGTTCCTCCAGAAACGGCAAAAAGCCACTGCGGGTGGCCACGTGGAAGGTTCGCATGCTCACCCCGGAGGAGAGGCTGCCACTCCTCTGTCAGGAGCTGACCAGTACTGCCTGTACCTCTGTGGAATACAGGAGGTCTGGTGGACTGATTCTGGCTCCATTCACCATTAGGGGTGGCTATTCATCTGAACAAAAGAATGAAGGTTGTGTTGTGGGAGCTGTAATACACAGGCTACTGTGAGTTTCTTGCGCCTCCACCGGAGATCAACATCAGTGGAGGGATGCAGGCAAGGCCAGTGAGTCAGACACCTATGACCTCCTGTCCCAGGTGCTAGCTAAAGTGACCCATCGGGATAGAGTCATGTTGGGTGACTTTAATCCCTGAGTTGGTCTTGACGCTGGCACCTGGGCTGCAGTGTGCAAGCCATTGGCTTGTAATTACCATTACGATCTTCAAACATAGGCGCATCGACAAGAAATCGTGGATGAACGCAGGGTCTAAAGAATAACATCTGTTGGACTATATAGTGACGGAACAGCGGATGATGCAGGCTAATGTCCTTGACACCAGGACCTACCATGGAGCTGATCTGACCACTGACTATCGACTTGTCATCGGTAAAATGCGCCTGCCACTCTTCCACTCCGGTGGTGGGTGTACACAAGGGACCCCATTCAAACCCTTAGTGGCCTGGTCTCTGCTAGCTGATGAAAGTTGCAAACGAGAATTGCATCATCACTTGTGGCTGGGTTTGGCATCGTCCCCCACTCCTGATGTCGAGGGGAAATGGGCAAGGTTTAGGACTGGTTCATGCAGCTGCAATGACTTCTTGGTACATGGTCCAGACTCTCCCCAGAGACCCTGGCTGAAGGAGGTGTTCCGGCTGACTGAAAAAAGTGACAGTCCCACTCCCAATGTCTGCAGCCTTCGCTCAGAGGTTTGGAGAGGCCGTGCAGCACTGCGAGGATGAGTGGTGGGCGCGGGTTGCTGAGAAGATGGAATCTGCCTCAATTGCCCACTATCACAAATGACTCTAATTCCATCAAAAAAGTAACTTTCAGTTTCTCACCTACAACCATCCATAATAGAAAGAATGGTGATCAGATCTCTGACCCCAGGAATTGGTCTGCAGGTTTGCTGAGCATTTCTTTGAGGTCTTGGGGGAGGGGTAATCCCTCTGACTAGAAAACATCATGGGACAAAGTAGGGATGACCTTGCTGAGGCTGCGATGCCTCAAATATTGGAATAAGTTGTCACCCCCCTGTAAGTGATTGGCTGAAGTGCCATCTATTGAGGAAGTACTGAAGGCGAGTCTGAGACCAGGAAAAGTGCCGGGCAGAGATGATCTCCCAAGTGAACTGCTGAGCCAAGGCAGCCTCTGCGTGCAGACTGCCCTACATGACATCATAATTACAGTCTGGACCACTGGACGGGTTCCGCAGGAATGTATGTATGTCCTGGTGTTCCCCCTCTTTAAGAAAGGGAACCTTAGAGACTGTTACTACATAAAGGGCTTCTCCCTCCTCAGTATGCCGGGAAAGGTCCTGGCAAGGATTATTCAACATCGCCTTGCCTGGAACGCTGAGGAGACGCTTGCGGAGATCCCAATGTTTTTTTAGGCTAGGGCGGTCCTTCACAGTTGCCATATTCTATGTCAGTCTGTTTTCGCAAAGGTGTAACCTTGACCTGGGCAAGGCCTATGATACCATCAATAGCCCTGGGTTCTCGGTTGTTCTTCGTGCTTTCAAAATCCCTGACTTTGCTCACAATCGTTATGTGCCTTCATGGTGATGGGCAGGCCTGGTTAAAACTGCGTGGTCGGGAGTCGGAGCCATTCACTGTTTGTGTGCGAAAGGGATGTCGTCTGGCATCTACTTTATTTAACATATTTTTTATCACAGTTTGAGAAGCCTTCCTTGGCTGTACCGGAGGAATTTTCATTTGGCACAGATACAATGGGAGGCTGATCGATGCCCGGGTGCGGTCAAGGGTTGGCTCCCTATTGGTCAACCATATTATGTATGCTGATGATCTGGTGATTGTAGCTCACTCAGTGGAGGAGTTGGAGGTGCTGCCATTTGACCTGGAATGTATTACTAAGAGGTGGGGCCTTACCATCAGCCCCTCTGAAAATAAGCACCTGCCTGGGTATTTTGTGGCATCAAACACTCCACCCCTCAAATCCCCATTGGTGACGGGGTAGTTTCTTGTAACCAGCTCCTATTTAACAGCAGAGGTCTCACTCCAAATCACTCGAGCAGCTTCATCTTTAAATCGGCTTCGTAACGCTTAGTGAAAGCTACTTGTTCTGTCGCTCCACACGAAACTTCAGGTATTCTTGCCCACAGTCATTCCCTCCCTTCTCTATGCATGCGAAATCTAGACCCCTAAAATGGAATATCTGTGCCGTCTAGAAACATTCAGGCTGTCCTGTCTTGATCCATTTTGGGTTCAATCAGGCTGGAATGTGCGAGGAGCTGACAAATACTTGAAAGATCTAGGTACTTTGCCATCGGTGAGCTCCTCCCACAGGCATGACTGCAGTGGCTGGGCCATGTAGGTCACATGCCTAGCCAACGCATGCCCAAGCAGCTTCTGTTTGGCAGGATAGAGGGGGATAAACAGGTATTACACGAGTTAGATAAGAGATTAACTGATACGGTACAGCAGGATGTGGAACTGACCAACGGTGTCAAGATCGGCCTCTGTGGAGAAGGCTCGTGAAGGACGCTACTAGCAGAGCGCGGGGTGGATAAAATGCAGAAAGTTGGCACAGTTGGTATATCTACTAGTCATCTCAGTCAGCCAACCCATTTCACCTGGATCTGTTGCCAGAGGGCTTTCGACACTTCACGTGGCCTTAAAGTGCACTTAACCTGGCACAAGCGCCATGGTGACGTCACCAGAGTTTAGTGGCGAATGGCGGTTGTTGTGTTGTCACTGTGTGCGTGTGCTGCACATGGCTGGACATGGTGCTGGCCACCCACCCCCTCGTGTGCCACAGTGCCCCGGCCTTCACAGGCGCCGCTACTCACTACTAACAGCACTTGCCCCAACAGTCCGTGTTTAGGCTACGCGGGGGAACCTTTGTCTGTGTCTTTTGTGCGCGCCTGTAGGAGGAGTGCGCCTGTTCCGCTGCCGCCTGTGCCCCTACAGCAGCCCGCGGAGGTCGTACCTCCCCACGCACAACCTGACGCACACCCAGCAGAACCCCTTCTCCTGCAGCCTCTGTCCCTACGAGTGCAAGTCCAAGCAGCAGCTGGACACGCACGCCATGAAACACTCGGGTGAGACGAGGCTCCGGAAATGCTCACACTTCGAAACGCTCGCACGCTCAAGCTCGCACTCTCGCACGGCTTATGGGCCCCCTACGGGTGAGGGACGATGAACAACGACGCTCCAAAACGCTTCTCTGAAATGCTCAGAAACACCTTGACACAATCTTGATTTGAAGCTTGACACAGTTCTAACCAATACTCTGAACCACACTTGCTGTGAAAACTGCTCCCTCCCTCCCCCAGGCCTGCGCCCCTTCAAGTGCCCGCACTGCGAGTACGCGACGTTCGCCCGGAGCCACTTGCGCCAGCACCTCGCCCGCTTCCACCACCACCACCCCTCCCCCTCCCCCCCACTCTTGACCCTTTCCCGTAGGGGAGGGGCTCGGCGTGCCCGCTCCCGAGGTGGTGGGGGAGGAGCGGGGGGAGGGGCGGGGGAGTCCCTTGCCCTGCTCCAGCACGGCAGAGCCAGGGGCCACGGTGAGTGGGAGAGGGGAGGGGGAGGCAGGAGCCAATTACTGTGAAGTGATAAGTGAGGGTGACTGGGAGCCACGGGGAGCCACGCAGAGACTCCAGGAGTCACGTGGAGACGCGGGGAGCCACGGGGAGCCACGGGGGGGGGGGGGGGGGGGGGGCACGGGGAGACACGGGAAGACACGCGGAGATTCTAGGAGTCACGTGGAGACGCGGGGAGCCACGGGGAGGGGGCACGTGGAGACGCAGGGAGCCACGGTGAGCCACGGGGGGGGGGGGGGGACACGGGGAGCCACGGAGAGACACGGGGGGGGGGTACGGGGAGACACGGGGGGGGCACGGGGAGACACAGGGAGACACGGGGAGACACGGGGAGACACGGGGAGGCACGGGGAGACACGGGGGGAGGGCACGGGGAGACACGGGGAGACACGGGGAGGCACGGGGAGACACAGGGAGACACGGGGAGACACGGGGAGACACGGGGAGGCACGGGGAGGCACGGGGAGACACAGGGAGACACGGGGAGACGTGGGGTGACTCGGGGAGATGTGGGGAGATGCACGGAGACGCGAGGACACTCGGGGAGACCCGGTGCGCCACGAGGAGACGTCGGATGAAAGGAAGTAGCCAACCTCCCATGAGGAAGAAGTGAGCAGAGAGATGCTCAGAGGAGGGAGAAGGGGGGAGGAAGTGGAGATACAGACCGCTTAACCCCCTTCTCACCTCCCCCCCTCCCTCCCCACCCCCCCCCTTCTCCCCTCCCTCGACCCCCCAGGAGTAGTAGGAGGCATGAGCCCCCCACCAGCACCACAGCCACCCAGGCTGCCCCCCCGGGTCCTCTGCTGCTCCCGCTGCCCCTACCGCACCTCGCGGCGGGACCGGCTCCTCCTGCACCAGACTCGTCGTCATGGCAACCACCACGACCACCCGACCACCATCACGACCGCCGCAACAACAACAGCAACAACCAACAATGACAGCAAATCCTCTGGAGGAGGTGGAGGAGATTTAGGAGGGAGATTTAGTGGAGGAGGAGGTGGAGGGGGTGGAGGAGGTGGTGGAGGGAGCTCCCTGCTCCGAGCTGCGCTAACCGCTGTCCCCTCGGCCGCCGCCTCCTCCTCGCCTCTCCGTATTAACCTGGGATCACTGCTCAAAGGCAGGCGGGCACCCTCCATGGGTCGGGGCTCTCGGACGAGGCCACGGCCACCACCGCCGACGACCACGAGGAGGAGGAGGCCCTCGCAGGAGGAGGTAGAGGGAGATCTGGAGGACGTGGAGGGAGATCTTGGAGATCCAGAGGAGGTGGGTGTCCTGGACGATCTGGAGAAGGCGGAGGCCCAGGAAGATCTGGAAGGGGAGGAGGAGGCCCACGCTGACCGAGGAGATCTGGAGGACAACTCTCACAGTGACCTGGGGGAGGCGGATCACTTCAAGTCGCCAGGACACCTGGCCGCCGTGACATCGGAACCCCTCAACGGAGACTCTGGGACCACCGCCTCAACCACCACCGCCCTCTCAACCGATGCTGCCGACAGCGACCGCTGCTCCACCACCACCGCCACCTCTGCTGGTCCCGCATCACCACCGCCGCCACCACCGCCTCAACCGCCGCCACCGCCGCCACCGCCTCAGTCGCCGGCGTTGGGCGGACGCAAGGTGCCCCCTTTGCGCCAAGCCAAGTCCCGGGCCTCCTTCAGCCGCCCGTCCCCGTTCCCTCCGCAGGCGGCCGAGGGCCCCGCCTTCCGGCGGGCCGCGGGAGGGCACTACCAGTGCCTGCAGTGCCCCTTCCTCACCGCCCACCGTCGCTCCATCTCACGCCACGTCCTCAACATCCACACGGGGGGCGCCCGACGTCAGCCCGGCGGTGGCGGAGGCGGCAGCGGCGGCGGGGGGCCGTCGGCATCATCCGGCGCCGGCGGGCGTCGGAGGAGCAGGGGGGGTAAGGACGGCGGGCCAGATTTTAACACCCCGGGAACTCGGCCCGCCCAGGGCTTCTCCTGCCAGCGCTGTGACTTCCGCTGCGCCACAGCCTACTCCTTCGTGCTGCACGTGCAGGCTCACCGGGGCAGCGGCGGGGGGGCAGGGACCGGCACAACGGGCGGCGGAGGGACGGGGACGGGCCCCGGGACCCCCGTGGATGGAGGGGCGGACGACGGGGCCGGCGGGCAGAGGAAGACGCCGGCCCGGAGGTTGCGCTGCGCGTGCTGCGACTACCGGAGCCACTCGGTCAAGGGTGAGTGAGAGGGGAGCGAGCCTCTCTGTTGCGTCTCTCTCTGTTTCTCGCTTCCTGTCTTTTTGTCTCCCCGCATCTCTCCGCGTCTACCTCACTTCTTGTTCACGGGAGTTGGCTGCTTCCACCTTTCTCTAAGGTTTCTCCCCCGTGTCTCTCCTCGCATCTCCCCACAACTCCCCGTGGCTCCCCGCATCTTTGCGTTTCTTCCTCTCTTCATATTCACTAGTTCACCGTGGAGACATCTGCTTGAAAGTCCTGAGCTACTCATTAACAATCAAGTAATTCGAGCTGCTGCTGTTGCTTGTAAAACTAACGAACACCATGCGGGGGGCTTGCATTCGCTGTCTTCACCGCTGTCAGAATTATTTTCTGAGCTTTCGGTCTGCTACACTGTGGGGTCACTTTGCTCTCACGATATCATCCGTGGTGACCTGAACTGTCCCGGGCCGACTGGGTTCTTGTGGTAAAATGAACGGCGAATTATCTTGGTGAGATCATCGATAGTCGCGTTTTTTTTCTAAACCGCAACATGTTGCTCGGGAAATCTACCGGATCACATCCTCTCACATCCGCTGATGCCGTAACTGTGACCGACGTTCAGATCACGGTCTCGTGATGAACAAAGTGGCTTTGCCGATTAATCCCCCACCCCCTTACAACTATATCACAATCTTGATTGGAAGTTCGTGACGGCAGGAATCCATACTCTTTGGTTCTTTCGGTAAAGTCACGTAGGTAGAAAAAGTAATAGATCACGAAGTTTCGATCGCAACACAAGCAATCGTCATCAGGCGGAAGAAAGAGGAGGGAAGCTGCTGATGCAGGCTGCTTGTAAAGGTTAGAGATGGGCCTGGCCCCAGAGTCATAAACCAAGTGGGGGGGGAGGGGCGAGTGATGTTAAAGTGAGATATATTTGCATGTGAATGTACTGTGTAAATGTGATTAGCATGTCAATGTAAGCTCGCAGCGCACCTTCACATCAAGGACTGCATGTTAATGTAAGATCGGATAAATGTGCATGTTAATGAAGTGTGTAAATGTGATTGACTATATCATACAGAGACTTATGATGCTTTCCTTCAGAAGATCCGGTCATCGTCAGCACGTCTAAATCTTGCATCGACAGTTGATTCATTTTCAGCTCAATTAGAAAATTACATAACTGCTGTTGTTGATGGACTCATGCCCATCTAAACGCGCAGACTCGACAGTGCTCGCTGAGCTGCATTGGCTTCCACTTGCCGAACAAAAGCATTTATAATGTCGCACCCATAACACACAAAGTGCTTGACCCAAATTAACCGCAATACCTCGCCGATCTTGTCAAGGAGCATAAACCATCATCGCGCAACCTCCGGTCATCCTCGCAGCGGCTTTTGGCTGGCCATCCAACAAAGACGGTCACTGCATCGCGTGCTTTCAGATGCTCTTGAAAGCAGCCATCCGGAATGCTCTTCCGGATGTGAGGAAGCCACTCAAGCTATGCACTTTTAAATCGTCCATATTTAGAAGTAATTTCTCAGATGTATGTGTTTAGTTTATTTTGCTTTCCACAAACCTCCGATTAGCATGGTTGGCTATGTACGGTGCGAAAGAAGTTCCTCCTGAGTCTCCCCTAGAGGTCGCAAACGGGTTTTGATTCCGTACCCGTACCCGGCCGCACCAGGGTCGCAAACGGGTACCCGTACCCTACCCGATAACCGGCTACCCGTACCCGACCGGGTACGGGTAGCCGGGTATCGGGTAGGGTATCGGGTACCCGATTGCGAACTCTGGTCTCCCCATGTCTCCTCGCATCTCCCCGAGTCTCCCCGCGACTCCCTCGCTTTTCACTCACGGGAGTTGGCTGCTTCCTCCTTTCTCTAAGCTTCCTCCCCCGTGTCTGCCCATGCCTCCCTTTGCCCCCTCTCCCCTCCTCTTCTCCCTACCCCCCTCCCCCGCCTCCCCCTCAGGCCTCCGCGTTCACCAGCAACTGAAGCACGGACTGTGCGACTTCACGAAGGGTCTCCTCTACGACGAGGTGGAGGAGGAGGAGGAGGAAGAGGACGGGGAGGCCGCGGGGAGGGGGCGGCGGCGGCTTCGCGGGTCTGCGGACGCCGCCAACCGCCCATCCCCCTCGTCGTCGTCCGGCAACAACAACAACAACAACGCAACAACAACAACAACGGCAAGAGGCGCCCAGGCGATTCCGTACCCCGAGCCGGGCGAGATCTGCACAGATGGAGACAGAGTTCACATCCACCTGGACGGAGAGGGTTTCGACGATGACGTGGAGGACGATGATGAGGACGACGAGGAGGACGATGATGAGGATGAAGACGATGACGAGTATGGGGAGGTGGAGGATGGCGAGGTGGAGGATGGCGAGGTGCTGGATGGGGAGGTGGAAGACGGCGAGGTGGAGGAGGAGGGGGAGCTGAGATGCTACGTGGACACGACGGCTCCGGGGAGACGCCGGAAGTCGCTGTCCGGCGTCGTCTCCCGGCTGCTGCTGCCGCCACCGCCTCCCTTCCACGCAGAGCCGCCCGGCAGCAACAACGCCACCGCCGCCGCCGTAAGCCCCCTCAGCACCACAGCCACGGAGCCTCCCGGCGCCTCTCCGTGGGGGGCTCACTCTGCCACCGCTCACCACCACCACGATGCTCACCAAGACCACGCTCAGCACCCGGCGCAGCGAAAGCGTCCACGCATCGACGAGATCGCGAGCTCGCTGCACACGCGCATCCAGCGTCGCCACGTCCTGCTGGGCTCGCCGTCCTCCTCACCGCAGCCCTCCTCGCCGCCGTACTCCTCCTCCTCCTCGCCGTCGTCCCGCTACCACCACAGGCAGCACGGCTACGGCGGTGACGGCGGCGGCGGCGACGTCGGACGTAGGACGAGGAAGAGGAGCAGGAAGGGAGGAGGCGTGATCTGCGGCGATGGCGGTGATGGCGACGATGATGGTGGTGATGTCGACGGCGGTGAAGACGACGGCGGCGACGATGATGATGGTGGCGACGACGGTTACGACGACGGTTACGACGACGGTGGCGACGATGACGATGGGCGATGGTGGCATGACGACGGCGGCGGCGGCGGCAACGGCGACGGCTCTCCCTATCGACGGCAGCAGCAGCAGCTGTCCAACAACTCTGGCAGATCGTTTGGTGGTGGCGGCGGCGGCGGTGTACCACGACCATCCCCCGCATCGTCCTCCACCGGGTCGACGACGACGACAACAACAACAACGGCGGCAGCAACAACAACAGCAGCGGCGACGACGTTCCGCTGCAAGCACTGCGAGTATCACAGCGCGACGGCGCGAGGCGTGAGCACGCACTACCAGCGCATGCACCCCTACGTCAAGTTCAACTTCCGCTACATCCTGGACCCGCTCGACCGCTCGGAGACCTACCGCTGCCTCGAGTGCCCCCACGAGTCGCCCGCGCTGCCCGCGCTCAAGCGCCACTACTCGCGACGCCACCCGCAGGCGCTCTACGTGCACAGCCTGGAGCGGCCCGGCCGCTCGCTGTACCGCTGCGTCGCGTGCCCCTACACGAACGCCAACGTGCGCGGCATGATGCCGCACTACCAGAGGATGCACCCAGGCGTCGCCGTCACCAACGCGCTCATCTTCTCCAGCTTCGTGAGGCTGCCGGACGACGGTGGTGGCGGCGGAGATGGTGGTGGCGATGATGACGATGGCGGCGGCGGTGGTGATGGCGATGCAGCATCGTCCGTAGCCAGAGGTGAGTCTGGGGGTAATAGGAGTGCGAGTCGTTTGGTGGGTCCACCCGCTCGCTCGTTCGCTCATTCGTTCGTCCACCCATTGATGTGTTCATTCACTCAACTCGGTCACCCACTCACTCACCCATTCATCCACCCACCTCACTCACCCAATTACCCATGCACTCAATCATCCCATTCACCCACTTAATCATCCCATTCACCCGCTCGCTCACCCGCTCACTCATCCGGTCACTCACCCGCTCACTCACTCGCTCACCCACCCACTCACTTAACCACCCACCCATTCATCCACCCACCTCCTCACCCACTCACCCACCCAATTACCCATGCACTCTATCATCCCATTCACCCACTTAATCATCCCATTCACCCGCTCACTCAACCACTCACCCACTTACTCATCCACTCACCCACCCACTCACCCACTCATTCACCCACTCACTTACCAACCCACTCACCCGCTCACTCACCCGCTCACTTAACCACCCACCGACTCACCTACTCACCTGGTTAGGTGGAGGAGGAGGAGGCGTTGAAGGAGGCAAGTCGCGTGGACACGGCGGCCCGTCTCCAGCGCCCGGTCGCTGGCAATCGCCGTCGCCCGACGCCACAACAACCACAGCAACCACTGGACCCGCCGCTGGCCCGCCCCAACCGCAACCGCGGCCAACCACGGCCTACCAATGCGACCTGTGCACCTATACGCACCTCAACATCCACTCGGTCCTCATCCACTACCAGCGTGGTCACCGCGACGTCAAGGCCTCGTACTCGCGCATACGCAAGGTGGCGCTGGGTCCCGACGGCGTTCCGCGGTCTCCCACCCTCGCCCGCCCCGCCACCAACTCCCCCCCCTCCTCCTCGTCAGCTGGGGCGGCGGCAGGGGCGGCGGCAGGGGCGGCGGCGGCCCCTGCAGCAGCAGCGGCCCACGCAGCCGTCGCCCCGGGAGACCTGCTCTACTTTTGCCGCCACTGCACCTACTCCCACCGCAGCGTGGAGTCCGTGCTGGCGCACTACCGGCAGTCGCACCCGGACGTCGTGGTCACCGCCGGTTACATCCGTCGCGGCTACAGCCTCCTGCCTCGTCCCACCACCGGCGCTGGCATCGCCGGCGCCGGCGCCGCCGCCGACGCGTCCGGAGCCCAGCGCGGCGCACTGCAGCCGCTCGGCGCCAGGGTGAAGGTGGGAGGGCTGGAGAAGGCGGAGCCCGCCGACCCGCTGACACTCTTCTACTGCCGGGTGTGCCCCTACGACAACCGCACCCTCAAGGGCGTGCTGGTGCACTACCAGAAGCGCCATGGCGAGGTGAAGATCACGGGGCTGGCGGTGAGGGAGCACACGGAGGTCGTGCGCCGTCGGATCCTCCTCATGCAGCAGAGTCAGCAGCAGCAGGACGGGAATCAGAATCAGCCGCGGAAGAAGATGGAGTTCCATGATGGAAATCAGCAGCAGCAACAGCATCAGAAGATGGAATTGGATGACGGAAATTTGCTTAAGCAGCAGCAGCATCACCAGCAGGGCATGCTTAGCAGCTCATGGCAACAACCACTCTACCCTCTCTCTGAGAAAGGAAAGGAGATGATGATGATGATGGTGGTGGGCGGTGGTGGTGGTGGTGGTGGTGGTAGTAGTAGTAGTGGTGGTGGTGCCAGGCTAGGTGCACCGGTCGTTTCAGCTTCGGCTGCGTTGGAAGCGGCTTCGGCAGCTCCTTGCGCGCCGGTCATGGCGGCCGTTATGGGCGGAGGAGGAGATGGCAGTGCAGCAAGGGGGAAGAGAGCGAGTGGAGGAGGTGTCGGTGGTGGAGGAGTTGGAGGAGGTGGAGGAGGAGCAGCGTCCAGAGCCGAGGCGCGGGCACTTCGGTTGGCACCGCCTGCCCTGTGGTGCAGATTCTGCGATCGGCGGGAGCGTTACATCCTGGATCTCCGCAGGCACTACGAGGAGGCTCACCCCAAGGTGAGGGGCGGGGTGGGTGGGTGAGTGGGTGGGGAGTTGCTCACCTACCTTGTATACAAATCGTTTATTCACACACACTCGCCGTGGCCGAGTACATCATAAATACATGACAGATAAATATATATATTTTTTCATAATTTACATTTTGGGTCAGATCGCGTTATTTATAAATGTGTCGTAACCCTCCACCACCCGACACGGCCAAACAGTAAAAAATGTGTCACGTTTTCAACGGACAAATTAATTCACTTCTTTAGCCCACCGGTGTGCTGAAGAGAGAATCAACACCATTTTTAAATTTGAGTAGTACGACGTTTCGCTGATAATTACAATCAGCTTCATCGGGCAAGAATGGTGAAGCTCTCCTGTTGCTTCCGGTCTTAAATAGAGCAGCAGTAGGGTGACGTCATCATTTAATACTTATGTCGGGGAATGGTGGTAAGGGCTACGGCACATTGCCAAAGGGGGAGAAAGGGGTGGGGGTCAGATTAGTGCTGCTGTATACAATAATATGCGAAGATAATTCATAATAAAGTTTTTTTGGGTTGGATCGCGTAAGTATAAATGTGTCGTAACCCCTCCACCACCCGACACAGCCAGTCGGGTTTGCCACGTAAATTAAACGTGCCAATTAGTCACTCCTTCAGCCCACCGGTGTGTTGGCAATTACATCCAGAATCATCGGGGGGCTGAATTAGTGACTAATTGGCACCTTCTGTTTACGTGCCAAGCTTTACCGGCTGCGTTGCATGGTGGAGGTTTTCGACATACAGTCATACCTCGGTATACGACCGCTTTGGAATACGTCGAATTTTGTGTACGTCGTGTTTTGACGAGAACATTTTTTCTTGGGATACGACGTCTTGCTTGGGAGACGACGTGCTTGCTAGAACTTGTATGGGTCGGGATGAGTCACCGCGTCCCCGCGTAGACCCCTTTCACGACTCCTCCCCTTCCTCACCACCATCCTCGTAGGCTATCAACCCCTCTCAGCAAGGTAAAGTGACGTTAAATTTTATTTTAATTTATTTTAATTTATTTATGCATTTGTTTTAATTTATGTATGCATTTTAGTAATAAGTAGTGTCTAAATTATTTGATACAACCCCATTAATGTATAATATGCCACTTAAAATATAATTTCTTATACTCTGGAACGGATTATTTCCTTTCCCTTTATTTCTTATGGGAAAAATTCATTTGGTGTCCGTCATTTTCGGTGTAAGTCCTACCTTCTGTAACGAATTAACGACGTATACTGAGGTACCACTGTAATTATACTTGACACAATCTAACCCAAAAACCTTTATTACGAATAATATTGGTCGCACAAGCCTGCGTGTTAAAATGCAATCGTCAACGGGTGTATCCACAATCAAGCAATCGAGATTAATAATAAAAATAAAGCATACGAACTATAAAGGGCCGGTCTCCTAGCAGAGACGTCTTACGTGGCAGGGCACGGTTGTGCGGTCGCGAGTGGAGGGGATAATACGTTATTTTGATCCATAATATAGTTGTTTTTCGGTTAGATCATGTAAAAAACCTATATTAGGCATGATATTGGTCCTGAAAGCTTCCATGTTAAAGTTATTTAGATTTTCGGGGGCGGGGGGGGGAGCAGATGGGTGTAGAATGTGGCCACAAATCTGGCTGCCGCCTGATGTTGGCAGTTGCAATTACTGGCGAAACGTCGAACTTAGATTGTAAATGTTGTGGCTCTTTAAAACACCGGTGTGCTGTACTAGTAACGAATTGACACGTTCTGTTCACGTGACATAAACTTTACTAATTGGTTGTGTTGGGTGGTGGTGGGTTTAATGACACATATTTACGCAATCTAACCCAAAACAATCCCCCTATATTATGGACGATATTGGTCGTGAAAGCCTGCGTGTTAAAGTTCTTGATTTTGGAGAGGGGTGGGCGACAATTGTGGTAGAACGTGGCCATGGTGAGATTGAATAGAGGTGAAGATGGCCGAGTGGGCGGCTCTGCAGGTCTCCTCAACGAGTGGCGTGCTGGCTGCGCAGAACCACCGCTCTTTTTCCTCGCCGTACAACTGACTTGAGCCGATCACGCTTAGCGGCGTTGGTAAATCCCCACCAGGCTGGAGGGCAGTTAGCTCATCCTCGTGATGGACTGGACTCATATGAGTGCGCAATATGAAATGTTCTTACTCTTACTTACTCGGTGATAATGGTTGAGGCTTAAACAGTATGAACGCACCATTGCGGCTTTCCATGCGCTCGTAATATGTGCGAGGCATAAAAGTACGAGCACACGAGGCAACTATAGAGGCAATATTCTTGGTTCTTTCGGTAAAGTCACGTAGAAGGGAAATAATAAAATAATCAAAAATTAAACAATAAAATTCTCACGACCGCCACTTTTTTCAAATTCTTGCTGTGCTTTTCACACCTGATGATGATTGCTTGCTGCAATCTAAACATCGTGAGAATTTTATTGTTTTAGATTTTTATTATTGTATTATTTCCCTTCTACGTGACTTTACCGAAAGAACCAAGAATATTAATCCCTGTAGTCACGAAAGCTTTAAATCGAAATATAGAAGCAATGTCGGGGGCCGTTAATAAGTTACTGGTGATGACCACACCCAAAATTTTCATCACTGCCTCTCGATAAATTTAAGTGGAGGTTGATCAGGGGTAGTGGTTGATGCTGCGGGCTGCCTTGGTCTTCCCTTTGGCCCGACCATCAGTTCTGTGAACTTTTAATGATTGAGCGTGACATTATTCCAAGTGGCCCACCTCTGAATGTGGCCGATTTATTCGGCAGTCGATGCAGAATTGGATTCTGGGATAAATGAAGGTGTCGCCTGCGAATTTTAACGAGCACAATATGTCAGCGGTTGTCGGTTGTTGGCGGTAATGGCAAAGCCTGCAGGGCCAAGCGCTGACCCCTTGGATTACACCGGCATTGATCGTAGCATACTCGGAAGCCTTCATTGCAAACTTGGTGCACTGAGAATGGTTATTGATAAATGAGACCGTCCAGTGTCAAGATGTTGTCCTGACCGTTCATGATTGAGAGTTACTCAAAGTATACTCTTTGGTTCTTTTGGTAAAGTCACGTGCGTATAAAATACAAATACTGAAAGAACCAAAGAGTATGGATTCCTGCAGTCACGAAAGCTTCAAATCTCGAGTGTAAACGAGCGTGACGGAGAGTTACATCATGAGGACTCTTGCCAGGAGCAAAATAGAATAATAGTTTTTTTTTTCCCCTTTTTTATGACAACAAAACTGAAACCTTTTTACTAGGAATCATATTCACATTAACCATAATACTTGCCGTCAGAATGCAAACAAAAAAACATGCTGATAATGTATGCAATGTCCTTGAAATTGATTGGTCCACACCAGAGACAGCTCCCCCGAGCCCTCATTACTCTGATAGTGCGTTGTCTTTGAGTTGTGCGCCTTTTGGCATCATCTGGTTGAACACCGTATGAGACTAGGCTCTAAAGAAAGCTGTCTCTGGTGTGGACCAATCAATTTCAAGGACAATGCATACATTATCAGTGTGTTATTTTTGTTTGCATTCTGACTGCAGGTATTGTGGTTAATGTGAACATGATTCCTCGTAAAAAGGTTTCGGTTTTGTTGCCAGACAAAAAGAGTAAAAAACCTATTCTGTGACGGAGAGTGTCGAAGGCTTTGCTGAAGTCCGAGCAGATGACAGGAATGTACTCGTTTGTGGTGAGCCATGTCAGCAACGCTGATGAGGGCAGCAGTGGTGGAGCCTGAAGGGTGGAAGGCAAATTGATCTGAGACATATTCTTGGTTCTTCCGGTAAAGTCACGTAGAAGGGAAATAATAAAATGATGAAAATAAAACATAACAAAATTTTCACAATGTTTCGACCACAACGCAAGCAGCCGTCCTCAGATGAAGAACAGAGCTGTCAGAAAGACATTAGGACGCTTCTACCATTAGCCAGCGGTGTTCCAGCAGCGCACCCACTCACTCACCCTCTCACCCACCCACTCACCCACTCACTCACCGACTCGCTCACCTACCCACCTCTCCGTGTACCCGCCAGGTTGCCGTCACGTCCGGCACGCTGCTGGCGTGGGCCTCCCAGGATGGCCAGGTGTCCCCTGGCTACCACTGCGAGCTCTGCGGCTTCCGCCACTCGCTGGCCAAGGGCCTGTACGCACACTACCAACACGGCCACCGCTCCCACGCCATCAACTACCAGTACGTCCTCACGCAGCTGTGCGTGCGGCCGCCGGACGACGCCGCCGCCGCCGCCGCAGCAGCAGCACCACCTACCGGGACCAGGAGAGGTTCCCGGACAGAGCAGGACGACGAGGAGGAGGTCCAAAAGACCAAGGAGGAGGAGGAGGTTCATGAGGAGGAGGAGGTGGGGGAGGGGGGAAGCTCGCTCCATGCGTGCGTCAATTGCAGCTTCCGCAGTTCGACGCGAGGCGACCTTCTGGTTCACTACGAGGCCTTCCATCCCTGGCAGCAACCTCCCGTGCAGCCATCACAGCCTCAGCCTCATCAGCCTCTGGTGGAGGTGAAGGTGAAGGTGGAGGTGGAGGAGGAGTTGGAGGTGGAGGAGGAGGAAGAGGAGGCGATGGATGGTGGTGATAACGGAGACGGATTTGCGACGAAGAAGAAAAAGAGGAGGAAAATTATGATGGTGATGCCATCGTTGCTGGGTGATGGTGGTGATGGTGGTGATGGTGGTGATGGTGGTGATGGTGGTGATGGTGGTGATGGGGATGCAGCATTGTCCTTAGCCAGAGGTGAGTCATTCATTGAGTTACCCACTCATTCATTCGGCTGCTCATTCACACACTCATTTGTCCATTCACCCACCCACACCAACCCATCCACTCACCTACTTATCCACCCACCCTCTCACTCGCCCACTCATTCACCCGCCCACTCATTCACCCACCCTCACCTGCCCACCCACCTACTCATTCACCCAGCCACTCAGCCACTCACCCAGTCACTCATCCACCCACCCTCTCACTCACCCACTCACCCACCACCCACTCAGCCACTCACCGACCCGCTTGCCTACGCACTCACTCACGCACCCACCCACTCATCCATCCACGCTCTCACTCACCCACCCACCCTCTCACTCACCCACTCGCTCACCCACATACTCGGCTTCTCACCCACTCACCCACCCACTTACTGACCCTCTCACCCACCCTCTCACCCTCTCTCCCCAGGTGTATCCCCGGCGAGCACTAGCCCAGGCCGCATGGTCACCTACCATTGCAAGCACTGCAGCTTCTACTCGTGCACGAACCTCCACGGCCTGCTCACACACTATGGCAAGAAGCACCCCGAGGTGAAGGTCAAGATGTCGGACTTCCTGCGTCCCGAGGACCCCAAATACAACTCTGTGTACAAGTGTCGGCACTGCCCCTACACCAACACGCGCATCCACGGAGTGCTCACCCACTGCCAGAAGAGACATCCGGATGTCAAGGTAGGTGGGAGTTTTTGTGGGAGTGAGTGTGTGGGTGGATGGGAGAATGGGTGGGTGGGAGTGTGGGTGGGGGTGTGGGTGGGAGTATGGGTAGGAGTGTGGGGGTTGCTGTGATGGATGTGAGTAATGCCTTGGAGGGAATGGCCAATTCCAAAATCTGCTATACCCCTTCATAGTCCTTTTAACCATCACAGTGGCCAAACGGGGTCTCTGGACGGCTGCGAGGGGCTGGTAACCCCTCCTCCACCTTTAATACAAGTGTAGTGACGTCGGGGATGGCACTGTATGGTGCCGGCCCGGAAGGGCCGTGCCGTTCGATGTTCCTACATCGTGGACAGCACCGTGTGGGTGGCTGTGTGTAACACCAGCCCTAGTGGGGCTTGGTGAGCACTCGGATAGTGCGGGCACCACGCACAGCGTGTGGTGGGCGCTCCCACGAGGCGGAGTGGGTGAGTGTCAACCAGAGTGCATGGCACTCTGGTTGACCCCGTAGACACGTGATCCGGAGTGTCCACACAAGGGGCCCCAGGTGGCGGGGGCTAGTGGGTGGTCACGTGTCCGGGGAGAGCTCTTGAGAAGGATCGAGAGAGAACGAGAATGGTCGAAGGCGGGCGGGGCCGAGGGCGGAGCGGCCCCGTCCGTAGGGGGATATAAGGTGGGTCCCTGAGCGGGACCAGAGTCGCTGCATTCTACAAGCCGGAAGCTCAACACCTACAAGCTGGAAGCTCAACGTCTACAAGCTGGAAGCTCAACACCTACAAGCTGGAAGCTCAACATCTACAAGCTGGAAGCTCAACATCTACAAGCTGGAAGCTCAACATCTACAAGCTGGAAGCTCAACATCTACAAGCTGGAAGCTCAACATCTACAAGCTGGAAGCTCAACATCTACAAGCTGGAAGCTCAACATCTACAAGCTGGAAGCTCAACATGTATAAGCTGGAAGCTCAACGTCTCAAGCCGAAGCTCTTCGTCCTACGAGGCAACCACGTGGTCGGAGACCCGAGTGAGGGTCCGACCCTTCGTAGCAGTAACTCCTCAGTATAGGGTAGTTAGCTGGGTGGTTACCACCCTAAGCTGTATCTGGTAAAGGGGCAATTTCCCCTTTGTGTTACGGCGTTACGATGAATGTGTTGCCTCTAAAAGGAACAACGTCTGTGACTCAGTTGTACTCATTACACAAGTACCACAAATTTTTTTTTTAAATCGAACAAAGCTTGTGCCGAAGGCCCCGGGGGGGACAGGCATCTATGAGATCTCCTGGCCAAACCCCATTTGGCGGAGCCAGGAGACTGAATCCTTACCCTCGGGGTTCCTCCAGAAACAGCAAAAGCCATTGTGAGTGGCCACGTGTGGAATCTTCGATCGCTCACTGCGGAGGAGAGACTGCCACTCCTCTGTCGGGAGCTGGGTCGGTACCGCCTGGATCACTGCGGTATTCCGGAGGTCTGGTGCACTGGTTCTTGCACCATGAGGGATGAATAGTCCCCTACTCAGGGCAGGAAACTGTCAAAAAAACAAGGAGTGGCTCTTAGAATGAAGGGGATGTGGGAGTGTGGTGGTGACGTATGGGAAGCTGTAAGCCCCAGGCTACTTTGGGCTCGCCTTCCCATCAACCAGAGGCGAGGAGTGGTGGTTGTGGTTACTTATGCCCCCACCAAAGATGAACATCAGTGGAGGGGATGCAGGCAAGGCCGATGAGTCAGATGCCTTCTATGACCTCCTGTCACAGGTGCTAGCTAAAGTGGCCCCTCGGGATAGAGTCATCCTGTTGGGTGACTTTAATGCTCGAGTTGGTCATGATGCTGGCACCTGTTCTGGAGTGATTGGAATGCATGGGCCAGATCAGCTCAATAACAAGAGGGGGAGGCTGCTAGACTTTTGTGCAGCACATGGGCTTATAATTACCAACACAACATCATCAATGCACGCCAGGTCCAAGCAAGAACATCTGCTGAACTATACAGTGACGGAACAGCGGATGCGGACCCATGTCCTTGACACCAGGACCTACCATGGAGCGGATCTGCTCACTGACCATCGGCTAGCCGCTTTTGTCTTCCCAGTGGTGAAGGTTTACTACACAACACACACTCTTTTGAGGCTAAATCGACCGAGGAGAGGTCCATGACTGGATTTAGATAATCGTCACTGGCGTTGGTAGCCATGAGTGGGAATCGAATTTGGGTCACTGGGTTCATAGCGCTAACCGCTACGCCAACGCACCCCACATAGTTCAACACACACACTAACACTCACTAACATACACACTCATGAACACACGAACACTCACACACCCACAGTGGCCTGGTCTCAGCTGGCTTATATTATAGTTTAACTACCCCCTTACCAACCCCCCACCACCCTCCACGACCCCCCTCACCCGACCCCGCAGGTGACTGCGGACGACTTTCTGCGCGACGCCGAGTTCACCCCGAGCTGCGGGGTGTCCCCGTGCCCCTCCAGCCCCCTGTCCAAGCCCAGCTTCGGCGCCTACCGCTGCCCCGTGTGCCCCTACGCCCACTCCAGCCTGGACAAGTTGCGGGCGCACTGCCAGCGCCAGCACTCCCGTGCCAGCCTGGCCGCCGCCGCCGGCGCCTCCGGGGCTCACTCCTCCCTCTTCCTGCCACCGCTGCCGCCTCCTCACCACGCCGCCCAACAGCCCCACCGCCCCGTCGGCGTCTCGTCGTCGTCGTCGTCTCCCACGGTCGCCCCCCTCTCGGCATTCTTCGCCACCTCCTCATCGCTCTCCTCCCCCACCCTCGTGCCCCTCTCCTCCTCGTCCGCCCGCTTCCGTGCCAGCATTGCGGGAACGTTGCCGCCGCCCGCATCCGGGATTCCCTCGTCCGGAACTCCGGTGGGGTCGGGGTCGGGTTTGGGGTCTGGGTTGGGGCCATCCCAACAGCAGCAGCAGCGTCACCCCCACCACCGCTACTTGTCGCTGGCTTCGCCACTGCCGCCGCTACCGCCGGCAAAGTCTCCGTTGGCCACCGCCGGTGGAGCGCAGCAGCAGCAGCAGCGGCAGCGCTCCGGCTCCCCCCTTGGAACGTTCCTCCAAATCTTCTCCTCTGCTGCATCTCCCTCGGATCGCTCCGCGGATTCCTTCTCCTCCTCCTCCGGTGGTGGTGGTGGTACCGGTGGTGGTTCTGGTGGTGGTGGCAACACCGGCCGGAGGATGGTTTCCTCCTTCCCGGAGCCCGGGCGCGCCGTCTTCCGCTGCCGCCTGTGCCGCTACGCGTGCGGCACTCGCAAGGGCATCGCCCGCCACTACCGCCTCACCCACAGTGACGTGCGGGCGCAGCCCGCCGGCGGCCTCAACCTGTTTGCGTGCACGCTGTGCGCCTACACCCACCCGCTGCGCAAGGGGCTCGCGTCGCACTACCAGAAGCGGCATGGGGACATCGAGGCGTACTACACCCACTGCCTGGCCGCCCTCTGGGACGTGACGCCCGAGGGGAAGGCCGTTCCCGTAGTGGGGGGAGCAGCGGGACTGGGACTGGGGGGAATGGGAGGAGGAGGGCTCGGAGCCGTGGGGCTGGGATCTGGCATCGGGAGACTGTCAGCCGGAGCTGCGGCCGGTTCCACGGCCGGAGTTGTGGGGCTGGGATCTGGCAGGAAGGCGGTGATTCTGGACGGCGCTGGGAAGGTAACCTTGGGGTGGTGGTCGTGGAGGTGGTGTGTGGTGGTGGTGGTGGAGAGTGGTGGTCGTGGAAGTGGTGTGTGGTGGAGGTGGTGTGTGGAGGTGGTGTGTGGTGGTGGTGGAGAGTGGTGGTCGTGGAGGTGGTGGAGAGTGGTGGTCGTGGAGGTGGTGGTGGTGTGGTGGTGGTTGTCTATCAAAAAACTACCGCCGACCTCCTCGGTAGTGTCGGATGGTAACGATTTGGTGGATTCTCTTTGGTTCTTTCGGTAAAGTCACGTAGGTAGAAATAAAACAAAATAAATCGCGACGTTTCGATCGCAACACAAGCAACCGTCATCAGGCGGAACCGATACAGCAAGACAACTGCTGATTTAGGAGAAAGATCTTCTAACAAGAGCTTAGAAAGGGTTTTGGTGGGCTCAAACCCAGGGGTAAGTGGGCGGAGCTAGAGAAGGAAGAAAGGGGGGGGGACTTTACCGAAAGAACCAAAGAGTATGGATTCCTGCAGTCACGAAAGCTTAAAATCAAGATTTGGTTGATGTGAGCAATGGCGTGGAGGAAAAGCCAATTCCAAAACCGGCTGTTCCCCCTCATCATGGTGCTTATAGCCACCACAGCGGCCAAATGGACGCCTCTGAATTTTAATGGCCACAGAAGCACGTGTATAGCTAAGCTTGTGCCGGAGGACCCGAGGAGACAGGCGGCTGTGACATCTCCTGGTCAAAACCCCATTTGGCGGAGCCAGGAGATTGAATCCTCACCCTCGGGGTTCCTCCAGGAACAGCAAAACGCCACAGCGAGTGGCCACATGGAATGTGTGGACACTCCAGAAAAGAGGCTGCCACTCCTCTGTTAGGAGCTGGACCGGTACCGCCTGGATCTCTGCGGCATTCAGGAGGCCCGGTGAACCGGCTCTGGTTCCAGCCTCTGAGGGGTGGACAGCCCTCTACTCGGGGCAGGAGACTGCCAAACAACGAGTGGCTCTCCTTCTCAACAAGAGAGTGACGGGGGTGTGGGAGAGTGATGGTGAGGGGGTGGGAAGCTGTAAGCCCCATGTTACTTTTGTGGGCTTGCCTTACCTTGAACCAGAGCATTGGTGGTTACTTTTGCCCCCACCGAAGATGAACATCAGTCTGCCTAAGTAGCCCGCGATCATAAATCACTTCTTTAACTCCATCAAAAAAGTTACTTGCAGCACCACATCTATCACAATCATTAGGGGAAAGAGAGGTTATCCGATTTGAGACCCCCAGGTTTGCAGAATTTCTGAGCGTTTCCGTGATACCATCAATAGGCTCTGGGTTGTACCCTGACTACATAGCCGGGAGTCGGAGCCTTTCCCTGTTCATCTTGGGGTGTGACAGGGATGTCTTCTGGCTTGCACATTATTTAATATGTTTTTCGACCACGTATTTCATGAAGCCTTCTATGGCTGTACTGGAGGAATTTCCATCTGCTATGAGAGGCTGATTGATGCCCGGGTGCAGTCAAGGGATGGCTCCCTATTGGTCAACCATGTTATGTATGCTGATGATCTGGTGATTGCTGCTCATTCAGAGGAGGCGTTGGAGGTGTTGCTGCTTGGCCTGGAATGTATTACTAAGAGGTGGGGCCTTACCATCAGCCCCTCTGAAAATAAGCACCTGCCTGGATATTTTGTGCGATCAAACACTCCACCCCTCAACTCCCCAATAGTGATGGGGCAGTTGTGGAGAGAGTGGAGAGTTTACCATACCTGGGCAGTATACTTACGACCAGCTCCGGTTTGACAGCAGAGGTCTCACTCCGAATCAGTCGAGCGGCATTTTTTTATCGACTGCGTAACGCTGTGTGGAAGCTACCTGGTCTGTCGTTTCACACAAAGTTTCGGATCTTCTCAGTCAGTCATGCCCTCCCTTCTCTATGCTTGCAAAACGTGGACCCCCTCATGGACTATCTTCACCGGTTAGATACTTGTAGGCTGGCCTGCTTATGATCCATCCTGGGTTTAGCCAGGCTGGATTGTGTGAGGAACTCACAAATCCTTGAAAGATCTGGACAAAGTCCCATCGGTGAGCTCCTCTGGCAGGCAAGGCTGCGTTGGCTGGCTCATGTAGCCCGCATGCCCAGCCACCGCATGCCTAAACAGCTTTTGTTTGGTCGAATAGAGGAGGCTAAACGGGCGCGGCACGGGCTAGAGAAGAGATGGAGTAATGTGGTACAGGAGGACGTGGAGCTTATTGGACTTGCCCCAGCGGTTTCAAGATTGGCCTTTGTGGAGGAGGCTTGTAAAGGACGCTACTGGGCAGTTGGAGGCAATTGCCCTCCAACAACAACGGAGGGAAGAGGAGTGACGCTCAACAACGAGCGGAGCACCGGGTGGCTAAAGCACAGCAAGTTGGTACAGGTGGTGCATCGGCCACTTGTCTCAGTCAGTCAACCCATGGCACCTGCTGCGTCTGTCCCATAACCTCCTGCCAGTGGGCGTTCGACACGTCACGTGGCTTTAATGTGCACATAGCCTGGCACAAGCGCCGTGGTGACGACACTGTCAGTGGTAAATGGCTGTTGTTGTGGTGGAGAGCAGTAGAGTTTAGGGAAGGTGGGGTTGTGTGGTGGGTGGCGGAGAAATACATTGAGCTGTGGGTCTGGGATCTGGCAGTAAGGCGGTGATTCTGGACTGCACTGGGAAAGGTGGTGGAGGTGTGGTGGTGGTGGTGGTGTGGTGGAGAAATGTATGATGTGGTGGAGGGGGTGGCGGTGTGTGGCGGAGGGGGAGGTGGGGTGGAGGTGGAGTCATGTGGTGGAGAGGATGGGGGTAGCTTCGTGGTGGTGGTGATGTAGTTTGTGAGGATGGCAATGATGATGATGTTGGTGATGGTTTCGATTTAAAGCTTTCGTGACTGCAGGGATTCATCTTCTTGGTTCTTTCGGTAAAGTCACGTAGAAGGGAAGTAATAAAATAATAAAAATAAAACATAATAAAATAATATAATAATATAATATAAAATAATATTTTATTATATTATTTTATTATGTTTTATTTTTATTATTTTATTACTTCCCTTCTACGTGACTTTACCGAAAGAACCAAGAAGTTGGTGATGGTTGTGATGATGATGGTGGTGATGTAATTAGTGAAGATGGCAGCGATGGTGATGATGGTGGTGATGGTATTAATGATGGTTATGATGATGATGGTGATGATGGTATTGATGATGATGGTATTAATGATGGTTATGATGATGATGGTGGTGATGTAGTCTGTGAGGATGGCAGCGATGGGTGAACTTCGGAGAGGACCGGAGCGGTGGTTGCCGTGGCGATGTTCATTCTGCGCCTTCCAGACGGAGACCAAGAAGGGCATCGTGTCTCACTACCTCAAGGTACTCGCTCACCTACTCACCTACCCACTCACCTACTCACTCACCTACTCACTCACCTACTCACCTACTCGCTCACCTACTCACCTACCCACTCACCTACTCACTCACCTACTCACTCACCTACTCGCTCACCTACTCGCTCACCTACTCTCTCACCTACTCGCTCATCTCCTCCCTCACCTACTCACTAACCTACACACTCACCTACTCACTCACCTACTCACTCACCGACTCACTCAGCTACACACTCACCTACTCACTCACCCGCCCACCGACTCGCTCACCTGCTCGCTCGCCTCGTTCACCTATACACTCACCTACTCACTCATCTACTCACTAACCCAATCACTCGCCTACTCACCTACTCGCCCACCTACTCACCTACCCACTCACCTACTCACTCACCTACCCACTCACCCACTCACCTACTCGCTCACCTACTCGCTCACCTACTCGCTCACCTACTCTCTCACCTACTCGCTCATCTCCTCCCTCACCTACTCACTAACCTACACACTCACCTACTCACTCACCTACTCACTCACCCACTCACTCACCTACACACTCACCTACTCACTCACCCGCCCACCGACTCGCTCACCTGCTCGCTCGCCTCGTTCACCTATACACTCACCTACTCACTCACCTACTCACTAACCCAATCACTCACCTACTCACTCACCTACACACTCTTCTACCCACTCACCTACACACTCACCTACTCACCCACTCACTCAACCACCCACTTGCCGGACCTCACGGAACCGCTGACCACCTCGCTCACATAACTTGCCCCAACTCTATGTTAAGGCTACACGGGGGGCCTTTGCCTTTATGTGTGCGGCATGCAGAAGCACCCAGGCATGTACCCCAAGAAGAAGTACTCCTCCAAGCTTCGCGAGTACTTCAGAGTTGTCTACGTGGAGAGTGCAGTAGCCACCACCACCGCTACCGCCACCGCCACCGCAGCAGCAGCACCCACACCACAGCTCCCACCATATCGGTGAGTGGGTGGATGGGTGGGTGAATGGGTGGGTGAGTGGGTGGGTGGGTGAGTGGGTGGGTGAGTGGGTGAGTCGGTAGGTGGATGAGTGGGTGGGTGAGTGTGTGAGTGGGTTGGTGAGTGGGTGGGTGGGTGAGTGGGTGAGTGGGTTGGTGAGTGGGTGGGTGAGTGGGTGGGTGGGTGAGTGGGTGGGTGAGTGGGGGGGTGAGTGGGTGGGTGAGTGGGTGAGTGGGTGAGTGGGTGAGTGGGTGAGTGGGTGAGTGGGTGGGTGGGTGAGTAGGTTGGTGAGTGGGTGGGTGAGTGGGTGGGTGGGTGAGTGGGTGGGTGAGTGAGTAGGTTGGTGGGTGTGTGAGTGGGTGATTGGGTGGGTTAGTGGCTGGGGAATGGATAGGTGGGTGGGTGAGTGGCTGGGTGAATGGATAGTTGGGTGGGTGAGTGGCTGGGTGGGTGGCTGAGTGAGTGGGTACTTTAAAGGAGTCTACCACTACCACCACGACTCCCAGGCATAGGGGGTGGTATGGTCCTGATAACCACCACCACCATGGTCCTGATCACCCACCACCACCCTAGCGGGCACCACTGCACTTGCCCCTGTGGCTAGCTGGAGGCTACCTGGGGTGCCGTTGCCTTGTGCAGGTGCGTGAGCTGCGCTGAGTCGGAGTTCGGGGACCTGGGGACTCTGGCGGCGCACTACACGGAGACTCACAGCCACCAGTTCCCGCGCGAGTTCTCGGTGAGTCCGGGGTGCAGATTATGGGGAGTGCTGAGTCTATGGGCAGTGCTGAGTCTATGGGCAGTGCTGAGTCTATGGGCTGTGTTGAATCTATGGGCAGTGTTGAGTCTATGGTGCAGTGTTTAGTCTATGGGTAGTGTTGAGTGTATGGGCAGTGGTGAGTCTATGGGCAGTGTTGAGTCTATGGGCAGTGTTGAGTCTATGGTGCAGTGTTGAGTCTATGGGTAGTGTTGAGTGTATGGGCAGTGGTGAGTCTATGGGCAGTGCTGAGTCTATGGGCAGTGTTGAGTCTATGGGTAGTGTTGAGTGTATGGGCAGTGTTGAGTCTATGGGCAGTGTTGAGTCTATGGGCAGTGCTGAGTCTATGGGCAGTGTTGAGTCTATGGTGCAGTGCTGAGTCTATGGTGCAGTGTTGAGTATATGGGCAGTGCTGAGTCTATGGTGCAGTGCTGAGTCTATGGTGCAGTGTTGAGTATATGGGCAGTGCTGAGTCTATGGTGCAGTGTTGAGTCTATGGTGCAGTGTTGAGTCTATGGGCAGTGTTGAGTCTATGGTGCAGTGTTGAGTCTATGGGTAGTGTTGAGTGTATGGGCAGTGGTGAGTCTATGGGCAGTGCTGAGTCTATGGGCAGTGTTGAGTCTATGGGTAGTGTTGAGTGTATGGGCAGTGTTGAGTCTATGGGCAGTGTTGAGTCTATGGGCAGTGCTGAGTCTATGGGCAGTGTTGAGTCTATGGTGCAGTGCTGAGTCTATGGTGCAGTGTTGAGTATATGGGCAGTGCTGAGTCTATGGTGCAGTGCTGAGTCTATGGTGCAGTGTTGAGTATATGGGCAGTGCTGAGTCTATGGTGCAGTGTTGAGTCTATGGGCAGTGTTGAGTCTATGGTGCAGTGTTGAGTCTATGGGTAGTGTTGAGTCTATGGTGCAGTGCTGAGTCTATGGGCAGTGTTGAGTCTATGGTGCAGTGTTGAGTCTATGGTGCAGTGTTGAGTCTATGGGCAGTGCTGAGTCTATGGTGCAGTGCTGAGTGTATGGGCAGTGGGCAGTGTTGAGTCTATGGGCAGTGCTGAGTCTATGGCAGAGGTCGCTAATGGGTTTTGATTCCTTACCGTATCCGGCCGGGTACGGGTACGCGTTTGCTACCTCTAGTCTATGGGCAGTGCTGAGTCTATGGGCAGTGATGAGTCTATGGGCAGTGTTGAGTCTATGGTGCAGTGCTGAGTCTATGGTGCAGTGTTGAGTCTATGGGCAGTGTTGAGTCTATGGGCAGTGTTGAGTCTATGGGCAGTGTTGAGTCTATGGGCAGTGTTACCCACAATGCACTGCTCCTGATCTTGGACCCCTCCCCCTTTTCCCTTTGCCCAGGTTCAGGAGGAGGGAGACAAGGAGAGAGACACGGAGGGAGACACGGAGGGAGACACGGAGGGAGACACGGAGGGAGACAAGCACGGAGACATGGAGAGAGACACGGAGAGAGACACGGAGGGAGACACGGAGGGAGACAAGGCCAGAGACACGGAGGGAGCCAAGGAGGGAAACAAGGAGGGGGACACGGAGGGAGACACGGAGGGAGACACGGAGGGAGACACGGAGGGAGACACGGAGAGAGACACGGAGAGAGACACGGAGAGAGACACGGAGAGAGACACGGAGAGAGACACGGAGAGAGACACGGAGAGAGACACGGAGAGAGACACGGAGAGAGACAAGGACGGAGACAAGGACGGAGACACGGAGGGAGACACGGAGGGAGCCAAGGAGGGAAACAAGGAGGGGGACACGGAGGGGGCCGGCCGGCTATCGTGTCTCTCTTGTGGACTTATCGTCCGCTCTGTGGGGGACATGGGGAGACACCTGGAGCAGCACGGGGATGCGGGGAGACATGCCGGCGAGACCCGCGGGGGACAGGGAGACAATGCGGGGGGACAGGGAGACAACGCGGCTGAGGTGAGAGATGCGGGGAGACGCAGGGAGACTCGGGGAGACTTGGGGTGACTCAGAAACGTGGGGAGTCTAAGGGAGACGACACGGGGAGACTGGGAGACTCTGGGAAACTCTGGGAGACACGGGGAGACTCAACGTGGGGAGTCTCAGAGAAAGGACACGGGGAGATTCAGGGAGATTCAGGGAGACTTGGGGAGACACGGGGACACCCGGTGAGATGCAGGGAGACACGGGGAGACTTGGGGAGACTCGTGATGGTCAATGTTGTGGAGCTGGCTTGTCTAATCACCCCCCCACCCGCCTCACCCCCCCCACCCCCGTAGCCCGAGTACAGTGAGATTGCGGGCTATCAGTGCCGCTTCTGTGGAGAAACTCACCACTCCATGAAGGCCATCGCCAACCACCTACGCAAGCACGTGAGCCACTCACCACCCACCCACCCACTCACCCACCTACTCACTCACCCACCCACTCACCCACCCACCCACTCACTCACCCACTCACTCACTCACTCACCCACCCACTCACTCACTCGCTCACCCACCCACTCACTCACTCACTCGCCCACCCACCCACTCACTCACCCACCCACCCACCCACTCATTCACTCACTCACCCACCCACCAACCCACCCACTCACTCTCCCACCCACCCACTCACACTGTACTCGCATTGCACGCACGCTCACTGTACTTGTGTTGCACTCATCACATTGTACTCCTCACAATGCACCAATCACACCGTACTCACACTGTACCCCCTCACGGCACCCACCAACTGTACACACTGTATGTGCTGCCACTACACTTGCACGGCACTCCTCACACTGTACTCCTCGCTGTACTCGTCACGCTGCACTCATCACACTGTACTCCTCGCTGTACTCCCAGCTCAACAAGCGCGCCTCCCAGCCGGTCTTGACGCCGGGTGGCGGAGGGCCCCACAACGCTCTCCCCGGCTCGACTCCGTCGCCCGCCGCCTCCTCGCCTCCACCCTCCTCATCGTTGTCATCGCGAGGACGGGGAGGAGGAGGAGGCAGCGGTGGAAGCTACGGTGCCGATTTTCAGTCTCCGTGCGCGGCCGAGCGGAGCTCCGGGGGAGTCGGATCGACGGCTGCTGTAGCCGCGGGAATAAAGGTCCCCGCTCCGTCCCTCCAGGGCGGCGTGGGCAGCAGCAGTGGCTCCCCCGAGGGCAACAACAGGGGCTACCCCTGCTCCGACTGCCCCCTGCTCTTCCGCTCGCTGGCGGGCCTGCGCTCGCACGAGAAGAGCCACGCGGCTCACGCTGCCTCGTCGGCGGCCGCCTCGGGCGTCCGCTACAGCCGGACGGAGGGGCGCTACAGCTGCGAACTCTGCTCCTTCGCCACGGCCTTTAAGCACAAGTGAGAGACAGCCTGCACCACTACCACGTACAGCCTGCGTCACTATCACTACCACGTACAGCCTGCGTCACTATCACTACCACGTACAGCCTGCATTACTACCACACTGGGTTGTTGGATGTTGATGTTTGAGTTGGCTCTGCCCTCACTCCCGCTCCCCCCCCTCCTCCCCCCAGCATGTTGAGACACGTCCAGAACCGTCATGGCCACCACAAGCCGTACCGCTGTAAGCTCTGCTCCTTCCGCACGGGCTACAAGACTTGCCTCACCAGCCATGTGCAGCGTCTACACCCCACTAGTGAGTAACACAACCACCCTAACCTCTTCTTGGTTCTTTCGGTAAAGTCACGTAGAAGGGAAATAATAAAAGAATACAAATAAAACATAATAAAATAATTCTCATGACGTTTCGGCCACAACGCAAGCAGCCGTCCTCAGGTGAAGACCAGGTCTGTCGGGGAGACAGCATCTGACCCTAACCTCCACACTCACTACCACACTAACCACGACAACCACACAGAGAGACATGGATAGGCACACAGACAAACAACGCCTCTGAGAGGGGGCAGAGAGGGGGGTAGAGAAATTTGCATGTCAAGGAGAGAATTGGAGCTTTCGTGACGGCAGGAAATACTAGAGATACAAAACAGAGACACAGAGAGAGAAAATCAACTTAATTAAACAAACTTAGTCAAATTTGGGAAAGTAATGCAATGCAACACAGAGTCGGTCAACACACAATTAACGCATAGCCTGGTTTGATTACGTTATTCCAAAAATTGCTAAATTAGAAGTTAAGTGTGAAATTTGATAGAGACAAGATACAGACACGGAGACACGAAGACACGAAGACAGACACACAAGCAGAGGGAGACAACACAGAGACACAGAGAGAGAGAACTAACTTAAATCCTCCCGTTAGAGGTGGATTAAACTTGATTTGAAGCTTTCGTGACTGCAGGAATCTATACCCTCTTGTTCTTTCGGTAAAGTCTATTGGTTAGAAAAATAAAATAAAAAAGAATCTATCACAACGTTTCAATCGCAACACAAGCGGTCGTCCTCAGGCAGAAAAAATAATCCAGCAGTGGAACTGCTGAACCAGCGAGAGAGCTGTTACAACAAGAGGTTATGTATGTGGCGATGGGCAAGCAGGCGGGGTCTCAGCTGGAAAGGAATTCCATCCCTGGATGCAAGCATGTCGTGTCAATGGGGGAGATTAGGGAGAGCGAGATTAGGGAGAGAGATTCGCATGAAATGAGCTTCCGTCGCCGCATAAGAGTATCGTCCCCCACGCATATGCGCACAACAGCAGTGTTAATGGGAGATTAATGATTCCAGTTATACCAAAATCAACAAAGATCCTACCAACCGCCTGGCTACAAAAAACAACAATATCATCACGAATTCCACTTCTCTAATCGAACCGACCAAGCAGCTCTCTCTAAAACCTTCGGCTGCTAGACCACCCAGATTCTATGGCCTTCCAAAAATCCATAAAGAAGGTACTCCACTCCGTCCTGTCGTTTCTACCATCAACTCACCTACCTACAAACTGGCCCAATTTCTGTCTGAGGTTGTTTCCATTCACGGGCAAGACCACCTCAGCAGTACTTAACCCAGCTCACTTGGTTTCTCTAATCAAGGACATTTCACTGTCTCCAGATGATTTGCTTGTCAGCTTCGATGTAGTATCTCTGTTCACCAAGGTACCTGTGCCTGATACCATAGCAATCATTGAAGACTTGGTCCAACAGGGCCTGAATCCTGATGTACCAACTTTGGTGAGGCACTGCCTTACCAACACTTACTTCACCAGGAATGGTACATTCTACAAACAAAATGAAGGTACCCCTATGGGTTCTCCCTTATCACCAGCGGTAGCAAATGTTTTCATGGAGAAATTTGAGACAGATGCCATCCTGACATCCACCCTATGTCCTTCATTGTGGAAGAGATAACGTAGATGACACTTTCGTCATCTGGCCACATGGCCAGCCAGCACTGAACCAATTTCTCAACCACATAAATTCCATACACCCATCCATCAAATTCACCATGGAAGTGGAAAATGAAGGCAAGCTATCATTCCTGGATGTTTTGATTGAGAAGAGGCCTGATGGCTCGTTGGGACATTCCATCTACAGGAAAGCCACCCACATGGATTCCTATCTAAAGTCTGACTCCCACCACCATCTGGCCCAGAAGAACTCCCTCATCAAAGCACTACACCATAGGGCCCGTTGCATCTCCGACCAGCATCACCTAGCCAGTGAACCGGAGCACGTACACCAAGCCCTCAAGATGAATGGATACTCAGACCGCACAATCCAACCATGGGGAGACAACCATCTGAGGACCCATCAAAACCATCATCTTGCCATCCATAGCAGGTGTTACCAAAAATATTTCCAAAATCTTAAACAAGAACGATCCAGGTCCGATTCAACACGGTACACAAAATCCGTGATTTGATCCCATCTGTGAAGGATGTCATTCTTGACATGCAATACCCTGGTGTCTACAAACTAAGTTGTGTCTCCGGCAGCAGTTACATTGGGGAAACGAAACGACGTCTCGGACCGTGTTCGCGAACACAAGGCAGATCTGAAACACGACAGAACCAATACCTCTGCAGTGGCTGATCATTGTTATAACGCAGTGGGCTCGCACGATATTGTTTTTTACGAGACCAAGGGACTTTACAAACCTTCGGGCTACCATCAAAGATTTGTCCATGAAGCCATCCAGATATATAAACACAGAGACAATTTCAACCGAGAAGATGGGTACAAGCTGGGCAATCATTGGAAGGACGTTATCAACCAAATAACGTCGTAACTTATTGTGGTGCTTCCATTCTTCTCTGCCGTTTGGCTGTTATCTCCGACTCTCTGAGTTGCATTGCCCTGTTGGGTGCCTCTGCATTAACGAGCTGGGGTCTCACTAACATGGCCACCTCTGCTCCCTTAGCCTCGATGTATCGATGGTTCTGGCTGTGTGATGGGCTGTGTGTCTCAATGGCGCGACCACCGTTGCGGTGGTTCTCTTGCGTGGACGCGCTTGCCTCACAGCGCAGTTGGCAGCGCCGCAGCTTGTGTCACACATAGACGTGACATTAACTTACTAATCCCCCTAATCTCCCTGCCTAATCTCTCCCATCAACATAGTGCCAATCTCCCATTAACACTGCTGTTGTGCGCATATGCGGGGACGATACTCTTACGCGGCGACGGAAGCTCATTTCATGCTAATCTCTCTCCCTAATCTCTCTCTCCCTAATCTCCCCCATTAACACAACTGAGGTGCTTGCGTCCGGGGATGGAATTCCTTTCCAGCTCAGACCCCGCCTGGTTACCCATCACCACATATATAACGTCTTGTTGTAACAGCTCTCTCGCTGGTTCAGCAGTTCCACTGCTGGATTATTTTTTCCGCCCGAGGACGACCGCTTGTGTTGCGATCGAAACGTCGTGATTTATTATTTTTTATTGTATTTTTCTACCCACGTCACTTTACCGAAAGAACCAAAGAGTACACAACAACCAGCTCACTAACCACAACAACCACTACACTAACCACAACAACCACCACACTAACCACTACACTAACCACTACCACACTAACCACCACACTAATCACCACTACACTAACCACCACACTAACCACCACTACCACACTAACCACCACCACAACTACCATACTAACCACCACCACAAAACCAACCACCATAACACTAACCACCACCACACTAACCACCACAACCACGACACTAACCACCACTAACCACCACTACCATACCACCACGACACTAACCACCACCACTACCAACCGCCGTGTGTGGTGGTGGTGAGTTTGATATAGGTGGTTAATGATGGTGGTGAATAGTTGCTGGTGAATGGTGGTAATGATGTTGATGGTGTTGATGGGTGTGATGTTGATGGTGGTGATGATGATGATGAAGGTTGTGATGTTGATGATGGTTGTGATGATGATGATGGTGATGTTGGTGGTGGTAATGCAATTGTGATGTTGATGGTGGTGATCTTGATGCAGATGTATCCTCAGCACCCTCACAGCTGAGAAGAGAAGTCTGCAACACAACTCCTGCAGGTACGGGGAGAGAGACACGGGGAGAGAGACACGGGGAGAGAGACACGGGGAGAGAGACACGGGGAGAGAGACACGGAGAGAGAGACACGGAGAGAGAGACGGATACGGGGAGAGAAAGACACGGGGAGAGAGAGAGACACGGGGAGAGAGACACCTGGAGAGAGACACGGGGAGATCGACACGGAGAAAGACACGAAGAGTGAGAGATACACGGAGAGAGACATGGGTAAAGAGACACGGAGAGTGAGAGAGACACGGAGAAAGACACGGAGAAAGACACGGAGAAAGACACGGAGAAAGACAAGGAGAAAGACGGGGAGAGAGAGCGAAACACAGAGTTAGAACACGGAGGCTTTCACAATGATTATCATTCATAATAGAGGTTTTTGAGTAAATATATAAACGTGTCGCTGAAACCCGCCACCACCCGACACAGCCAACTAGTAAGGGTTGTCACGTAAACAGAACGTGGCCAATTCGTCACTAGTACAGCACGCCGGTGCGTTGGAGAGCCAAGCCGCAACATTTACAAACTGAGTACGACGTTTCACCTTATATAAGGAACGAAACAGTAAGACTTCTCCACAAATCTGGCTGTCGCCTGATGAAGCTAGTTGTAATTACTGGCGAAACATCGTGGGTTTACTCTCCAACACACAACAACTGGTTAGTGCTGTAGTGATAACTAATGATCACATTTTGTTTACTTGACACAAACCTTGCTGATTGGTTGTGTCGGGTGGTGGCAGGTTTAACGACACAGCATTTATATTTACGCGATATAACCCTAAAACCTCTCTTATGGATCTGTGTTTGTCTCTCTGTGTATAGGTGCCTGTTTAATTAATTATTTGTGTCTCTCTTTGTCTCTATGCGTGATTCTCTCCCTCTGAGTCTCTCACCTCCCGTGTCTATTTCTCGGAGAGTGATTGAGTGGGTGGGTGAGTGAGTGGATGGATTAGTGGGCGATTGGGCAAGTGAGTGGGTGGGTGGGTCGGTGAGTGGGTGACTGGGCGGGTGAGTAGGTGAGTGAGTTGGGTGAGTAGGTGATTAGGTGAATGAGTTGACGGGTGAGTAGATGGGTGAGTGGATTGGTGAGTGGATGGGTGAGTTGGGAGAGTTGTTCAGGAGGTGAGTGACCCTCTCTCCCCCTCACCTTTCTGCTCACCTCTCTTAGCCGATGGCTACCAAGAACCCAAGTACATCGAAGCTCAGATCATGCAGTACCACAACAGGATGGCGATGGCTTCAACATTCACCTCCACCACCACCTCTTCCTCCTCCAACACGTCCACCACCGCCGACAATGCCACAGATCCCAACAACCACAACAACCACAGCAACCAAAGCAACCACCTCAACCACAATCAGAGCCCCCACCACAACACCTCACCACCGTCGCAGTCGCTCACCAAGTCGCTCACCAAGTCGGTGGCTCTCCCCTGCGAGTTCTGCTCCTTTGTGAGCTCCCACGTCCAAAGCCTCAAGAGGCACTACCGGGACCGGCATAATGGGAAACGTCTCCGCTGCTGCACCCTCTGCACCTTCTACAGCGGCAGCAGGTAGGTGGGGTGGGTGGGTGGGTGGGTGAGTGGGTGGGTGGGTGAGTAAATTAGTGCATGGATGGGTGCATCAGTGGGTGACTGGGTGTGTTTGTGAATGAGGGGGTGGGTAGGTGGACAGATAGGTAGAATAATGGGTGGGTAGGTAGGTGGGTAGACAAGTGGGTGAGTTAGCGGGTGAGAGTGGATTGAAGATTGGGTAGCATTAGTGAATGAGTTGGTGGGTGGGTAGGTTGGTAGGCATTTAGGTGCTTAAATTAGTGGGGGGATGGGCAGGTGAGTGGGTGGGTAGCTAGATGAATGGGTGCGTGGGTGAGTCACTAAGAGTTTTGTCTCCCTCTACCCCCCCACCGTGCCCCCCTCCCCACCGTGCCCCCCCCCACCGTGCCCCCCTCCCCACCGTGCCCCCCCCTACCGTGCTCTCCCACCGCCCCTCTCACCACAGGGAAGTGCTGGAGTCCCACGTCCGTGGGCAGCACGGAGGGGTGGGGCTCTCTGGCGGGGCGCCCCTCTCTGGGGGCGTGGGTCCCGCTGGGGTGGTGGGGGGAGGAGGGGGTGGGGGCTATCCCCCGAGGGCGGAGCTGCAGTGCCCTTTCTGCCTCTACAGCAGCCTGGACAAGGCGACCATGATCACTCACATCATACTACACGGAGGTACGTAGACACTCGCACGTAGACACATTCACACGTAGACACACGACAAGAACAACCGCCATTTGCCACTAAGTGACGGTAACATCACCATGGTTCTTGTGCCAGGCTATGTGCACGTTAGACCACGTGAAGTGTCGAACGCCCACTGACAGGAGGTCACGGAGCAGACCCAGGTGCCATGGGTTGACTGACTGAGATGACTGGCCGCTGCACCACCGGTGCCCTTACTGTGCAAACTTGCTGTGTTTTTGCCACTCGGCGCTCCGCTCGTTGTTGTGAGCGTCGCTCCTGTGCCTTCCGTTGTGGCTGGAGGGCGGCTTCCTCCAACTCCTGGACCTTTCCCGACACACTGAGGAGTGAGATGCCCCTGTAGTTGTTACAGTCTGTGTGGTCCCCCTTCTTAAAGAGGGGGACCACCAAAGCATCCACGTGATATTTTCCAGGCTGAGGGATTTCCCCTCCCTTAACACCTCAGAAATTCTCAGCATATTGACAATCCTCTTCCTGGGGGTAGGATATCGGATCGCCTTTCTTTCCCTTAATCATGGTGATAGGTGTGGTGCTGAAAGTTACTTTTTGATTGAGTTTTAGAGTGATCTGTGATCGTGGGCCACTGAGGCAGACCCCATCTCCTCAGCAACTTGCGACCACCACCGATCCTTGCAGTACCGCATGGCTCTCCGAACCTCCTAAACCTCTCGCCCATTTCCTCTCGGCATCACGAGGTTGGGTGGACAATGCCAACCCCAGCTGCCAGCAACGATGAAATTCTTGCTTGCAACTTTCATCATCTAACTGAGACCAGGCCACTGTGGGTTTGAATAGGGTCTTTGATGTACACCCAACACCGGAGTGGAAGAATGGCAGGCGCATCTTACGGATGACGTGCCGATGGTCAGTGGGTAGATGAGCTCCACAGTAGGTCCTGGTTTCAAGGACATGGGGCCCGCATCCGCTGTTCGTCACTTTGTAGTCCAGCAGATGTTCTTGCTTGGACCCAGCATGCATCCATGATGTGTGGATGCGTCGATGTCGGAACAACGTTGTGGTAATTATAATTCTATGGACTACACAGAAGTCTAACAGTCTCCTACTTTTGTTATTGACCTGATCTGGCTCATGCCTTCCAATCACTCCAGCTCAGGTGCCAGCATCCTGACCCACTCGGGCATTTAAGTCACTCAACAGGGTGACTCTATCCCGAGGAGCCACTTTAGGAGGTCATGAAAGACATCTGACTCATCAGCCTTGCCTGCATCCCCTCACTGATGTTCATCTTCGGTAGGGGCATAAATAACCACGACCACCACTGTTCCCCTCTTGTTGATGGGAAGGGGAACCCACATTAGCATGGGGCTTACAACTTGCCACACCTCACCGCCCCATGTTCCCACGTCCCCATCATGCTTTTGTTCAGAATAAGAGCAACATCCTCTTGTTTGGCAGTCTCCTGTCCCCGACTAGAGGACTGCTCACCCCTAATGGTGAGTTAGAGGCAGTCCACTGGACCTCCTGAATACCGCAGAGATCCAGGTAATACCGTTCCAGCTCCCAGCAGAGGAGTAGTAGCCTCCCCTCCGCAGTGAGCATTCCAACATTCCACATGGCCACTCGCAGTAGCTTTTTGATGTTTATGGAGGAACCCCGAGGGTAAGGATTCAGTCTCCTGGCTCCGCCAAATGGGTTTAGCCAGTAGATGTCTTTGACACCTGTCCCACCGGGGCCTCCAGCACAAGCTTTCATATATATTTTTCATGTAGTTCAGTGGTAGTTGATTTGAAGGTTGGAGGGGTTATCAGCCCCTCGTAACCATCCAGAGCCCCCATTTGGCCGCTGTCGCAGACACTCACGCAAACACTCAAGCAGACAATCACACAGACACTCATGGGGTGTGAATACTTCCCCCGATATTTGAGTCGCGGCAGCCCCGCTTTTGTGTCTCTGTGTCTCTCTACCCGTGTCCGTCTAGATGAGCGTCTGCTGCCCGTAGAGACGCGCCGCTCCAAGCTGTCGCGCCATCTCCGTGGCCGAGTCTTCCGCTGCGCCCGTTGCACTTTCTCGAGCGCCAGCCGTGCCACTCTGCTGCTGCACGCCTCACGCAAGCACGGCGGGGCGGGCACCGGGGCAGGGGGGCCCAGGATGGGGGGCGCACCTCCCCACCACCACCCCAACCCGCCCCCACCACAGGAGGGGATACGCGGGGGGGAGGCCGGGGGGTTGGCGCTGTTTGGGTGCCGGCTCTGCACCCATGAAACGGAGCTCCTGGCCGAAATTCAGAGCCACCTGAGGAGCATTCACCGGGTGAGGGGCAGGGGGATGGGGGTGGGGGGGCACACGGGGGGGGGGGGGGGCGGCATGGGATGGCTGAGTCGGGGAGACACGGCGACATGAGAAAGGAAGGGGAGGCAAGTAGACAGCGGAGGGGATGAGAAAGGAAGGGGAGGGGACTAGACAGGAAGGGGAGGGGACTAGACAGGAAGGGGAGGGGACTAGACAGGAAGGGGAGGGCTCTAGACAGGAAGGGGAGGGGACTAGACAGGAAGGGGAGGGGACTAGACAGGAAGGGGAGGGGACTAGACAGGAAGGGGAGGGGACTAGACAGGAAGGGGAGGGGACTAGACAGGAAGGGGAGGGGACTAGACAGGAAGGGGAGGGGACTAGACAGGAAGTGGAGGGGCACTAGACAGGAAGTGGAGGGGACTAGACAGGAAGGGGAGGGGCACTAGACAGGAAGGGGAGGGGACTAGACAGGAAGGGGAGGGGACTAGACAGGAAGGGGAGGGGACTAGACAGGAAGTGGAGGGGCACTAGACAGGAAGGGGGAGGGGACTAGACAGGAAGCGGAGGGGACTAGACAGGAAGTGGAGGGGCTAACCGCACCCCCACCCTGTCTCCGACCGCTCTGACCCTGGACAGGTCCAGAGGAACATGGAGTTGGTGACGGAGGTGGTTGTTGCAGAGACGCTGGGTGGTGAGGGTGGTGAAGAGGATGGGGGTGAGGAGGATGGTGAGGAAGAGGGTGGTGAGGATGGGGGTGAGGATTGGGCGGGTGAGGAGGATTCCAAGGTCTCCACTGGGGCAGGTGATGGCATCAGCATCACCATCATCAACATCACCATCTTCAACATCACCACCATGAGCACCATCAACATCATCATCATGATCAACATCATCAACATCCACCATCATTAACATCCACCACCAATCATCAACATCCACCACCACCATCAACAACATCCACCACCATCATTATCACCACCTTCAAGATAATCATCATCATCAGCACTACCATCATCATCATCATGGGTGGGTGGGTGAGTTGGTGAGTGGGTGGGTGAGTGATTAGTGAGTGGGTGAGAGGGATATGTGTGGTTTTTGCCAAACTCTGGGAGGGAGGGAATGGATGAGTGAGTGAGTGAGAGAGTAAGTGACACGCATTTGTGTGTGAGAGACACGTGTGTGTTTTTGCCAAACCCTTTGAGTCAGTGAGTGGGTGAGTAACACAACCCCCCCCCCCACTCTGTCCCTTCATATTGCAGAGAGTACAGGGAGTGCAGGGAGTGTGAATTCACGAAGATTCCCCTGTGAGTTCTGTGGCAGGGCATTTGCCTTCAGCGTTGACTGGGAGAGACATATCCAACGCCACCGCCTGTGAGTAGCCATTCCTCACCATTGTGGTCACCCACCCACACTCACCCAGCCAACACTCCCCCACCCACACTCACCCAACCAACACTCACCCACCCATTCACCCACCCACCCATTCACCCACCCACCCATTCACCCACCCACCCATTCACCCACCCACCCATTCACCCACCCACCCATTCACCCACCCACCCACACTCACCCACACTCACCCACACTCACCCGCCCGCTCGCCCACCCGCCCACTCGCCCGCTCACCCACCCGCCCGCTCGCCTGCTCGCCCACCTGCCCGCCCGCTCGCCCACTCGCCCACTCACCCACCCGCCCACTCGCCCACCATAAACACTTACTACCCAGGAAAAAAAAATGTTGTTACACAGTCTAATGTAGTGTCGTTGATGTGTTAGTGATGGTGCTGATGTTGATGGTGATGATGGTAGCAATGCTAGTTATAATGATGGTGGTGTTGATGGTTACGATGACGTTGACGGTTGTGACGGGAGCATTGATTGTGATAATGATGGTGGTCGGGATGGTAGCATTGTTGTAGATGATGGTGGTGATGTTAATGGTACTGCTGATGAGGTTGATGTGAATAAATGATGCTGATGTTAATAGTGGTGATGGTGGTGGTTGTTGTAGAGATGGTAGAGGGTTTCCCACACCTGGGCAGCGTGCTTATGACCAGTTCTGGTTTGACAGCAGAAATCTTACTCCGAATCAGCTGAGCGGCATTTTCTTTCATTGGCTGCGTAACGCTGTGTGGAAGCTACCTGGTCTGTCGCTCCACACGAAGCCTCAGGTCTTCTCGGCCATGGTCATTCCCTCCCTTCTCTATGCTTGCGAAACATGGACCTCCCCCTAATGGAACATCTTGACTGGTTATAAACATTTATGTTGGCCTGCTTACAATCTATCCTGGGTTTAACCAGGCTGGATTGTGTGAGGAGCTCACATATCCTTGAAAAATGTGGACACATTCCCATCAGTGAGCTCCTCCAGCAAGCAAGGCTGCGTTGGCTGGGTCATGTCGCCCGCATGCCCAAGCAGCTTCCCTTTGGCCGGATAGAGGGGGCTAAATGGGCACGACATGGGCTAGATTAGAGATGGACTGATGCGGTACGGGAGGATGTGGAACTGACTTGACTTGTCAATGACTGGTACCAGCGGTGTCCAGATTGGCCTCTGTGGAGGAGGCTCGTGAAGATGCTCCTGGGCAGTTGCAGGCAGTCATGCTCCACTTAGTGGTGAATGGGTGGGTATTGGTGGTGGGGATGTTGATGATGATGGTAGTGTTTATGGTGATGGTAGTGTTGAGGTCAATGGTACGTTTATAATAATGGTGGTGATGGTGTTGATGTTGTTGATGGTAGTGGAGATGCTCTTGATGGTGGCGTTGATGGTGATCCTAGCGTTGATGGTGATGATGCTTGCGTTGATGTTCCTGGTGATGGTCGTGATTGTAATTGTTCATGGTGATGATGCGAGCATTGATGTTGATGATGGCGATAATGGGATCGTCGATGTCAATGGGAGTTATGATGATGATGGTTGTGATTCACTCACTCCTCACGCGCAGTCATGGAAGGACCATAGTTCGTTCCGTGCATCGCGGGGGGGGGGGGGGGGGGGGGGGGGGGGGGGGCACCGCCGTTCCTCAGAGGGTCGTAATTCGCTTTTAACGTCGACTGCCGACTGAAGAGGGGTGACGAGTGTCCTGGAGTTTGTGCTTCAAGACCGGGCGACGCGTCCACGAAGTGAAGCCACAGCCGTCTCCTCCGAGCCGAGCTTTCGGCCGCGAGGAGACCGGTCGCAGACGCCAACGGTGACGTTTCTGATGGAGTCGAACCATCGTATGCCAAGAAGCCGTCTTTGACATTGCGTGTTGAAGGACTGGCAGCCGATGCCCAATCGGCTTGAAGCCATGTCCAGGCCTACGGCACCGTACAGCAACAAAACTGACAAAACACAGCACCGCCAGACTCTCACTTTGGTGCTCGGACTTAAAAGTTCTCGGACCAAATGCGACTCAAGAACATTACTCCTGAGGCCAGGCCGATCCGGCGCATGACATTAGATCCCAGGAAGAGAAATGCTTCCACTGCTTCAACCGTGCTGCCGTTCCTTGACTGCAAGGATCCATACTCTTTGGTTTTTTCGGTTAAGTCACGTAGGTTAAAAGAAAACAAATAAATTAAATCACGACGTTTCGGAGGCAACACAAGCTTCTGTCTTCAGGTGGAACCGTCACAGCTCCCCTGAAGACGGAAGCTTCTGTTTCCTCCGAAACGTCGTGATTTAATTTATTTGTTTTCTTTTAACCTACGTGACTACTGAAAAAACCAAAGAGTACGTGTTGCCGTTGTTAACGTAGGGTGCATTCCAGAGGTGCGGAGCCCGAGTTCTAGACTTTTGTTTTAGCTGCCACGGAACAATGGGTCCTGTTTTTCTCGCATTCTTGTTGAAACGTCGTGAGGAACTGCTGCGTGAATGTTTTAGGCTTCTCAACAAACGAGGCTGCCTGATTGGCGTGGTTGAGGTCCGGGATGTGGTGCCGGTCAATCCTGACTCCGAGGCTGTGGGTCTCGTTTTCAAAGATGCATTCAATCTGACAGGAAGGCGCCTCTCGTGCAAGAACGCATTCATGACGTGCTCTGGACGTCGTCTCGAATCGTGGCAACAGTCTGGAATCGACACGAACCCTTTTACTCATGCCTGCATGCAGATCTCTCGCAAGGTCCGGCAGGATGGCAGGGACCCTAATCCCTCTCAAGGCAGAGACCAGAGATCCGATCGATCCACAGGGTCAAACGCGGCCTTCAAACCGAAGCAAGCGACATGCAATGGGCGGTCGAAGTCGCAGTGCGGTTCCGCAAGTAGGCAGAGTGCAAAGCACACGGCATCCATTGTAGATCAACCAGCCGTGAATCCCGTTCGCTTTGGACGACGATGTTTTGTCAGGAGTGGTTGCAGCCTGCCCAGAAGTACGTGCGCAAACAACCTTTACTGGTACTGAATACCCAGCTACCTTCACCGCTTTTAAGCTGCATGAATGGCATGCTGAACTTCCCCTGATGTAGAAGGGTCTGTATTGGTTTCACAGTCTGAGTCAGCAGTGCATGCAGCAGCGGTGTCTGCCAATTTGGGATAAGCATCTGCTGGTGGATGGTTCAGTGCTGCTGCTGTATAATGCTCAGTCCATCTTGTGAGGACTTCCTCCACCCATGAGCAAGGAGAGCCGTCCAATTTGGTGAGAGGAGCCATGGCAGTTTGTCCACTACCTCCGGTGAGGTGTTTGACGACTGAGAAAGCTGTCCTCATGTCGTTGTGTAACATTGCGGACTCAACTTCATCAGCCATGGAGTTCAAATACTTCTCCCTGGTCAGCTTTTTGCTCGAGTTCTGAAAATTCCCTGAAGCTGCGATGTTGCTTTGATGTCGCCAGTCTGCCATGCGGCTGCCTTCGGAAAAGTGAAATCAGAGAGCCAGGGTTTACAAACAAGGCAATCGGAGGCCGAGCGTAGATTCAGCAGCCAGTGTAATGGAATCTCGTACATGGGACCAGGCATGATCGACATCAACAATGTCCGGTGAGACGTGGAGGCTGCCAAGCGGCACTCAACTGCCCTGAAGAATGTATCAGCAGTGTCATGGCTGTCCCCGAGTCTCTGGAAATCGTACTGCTTAACGTCTAAAGATGTCCTGGGTATTGGGAAGTGGCAGGCAACTTGTGTGAAAACCAGGCAATGGTCGGTGTTAGCAGGTGCCCTCGACTCCAAGGAAAACCCGGTGTGACTTACAGATGGTGCTGTCCTTGGTCAGGATATGATCTATTTCTTTGGTTGTGTGACCACCGTTGGAGATCCAAGTTTGTCCGTGCATTTTCAGTCTACGATGATACCTACGCTCTGGAGTCCTCCGGCTACAATTACCCTAGGGGAGGCTACCTAACCCGACCCAGCCAAGGTGCGGGTCTAGACTCTGGCTTCCTCGGAACTCGCCCTTACAAGGACGTAGAGCCGGGAGTCCCAGAGTCCCACCACTGGCCCGCACAGCGTCCCGGCCCTTACAAGGACAAGCGGGACGAGGGGGTCCAGGGTCCTAAGCTGGCTGGTCTTGGGTTTTGAGCTGCGACTAGCCCCGATCGGCTAGGGAGCGGCCCTTTTATCCCTCTTGCCCATTGAGGGGTGGGGTTGTGTGGGATCCCAGATACCCCACAGCCCCCCGTTGGTGGTGCCACCGATGATGCCCGATACAGATGATATACGCGAAATGGCGATGGAGGCGGTGGGAGGCGATGAGTCCCCTAGATGCACGAGGTGAACTATCTAGCCGGGTGTCTGGGGTGCCGCGACTTGCCTGATTTTTTTGTACCGCGGCCGCCGTTGGAGAGATGGATGCCTCGGGCCCTGACAGTAGAGGGGTCTACTCCTGCATGCCCTGGTGATGTGGCCCAGTCGGCCGCAGCGACAGCAGGTGATGGGTGGGCTTTGCCGCGGAGCCACCGTCTCCCCTCGGCTCCCATCGCCGAGGTGGCTGGGCCCCGTCTACCCGCGGACCACTGCCACCACCTCCTCCCGCGGACCTCCACTTCCTTCCGCTACTGCCGCGATTACCTTGCCCTCGCCCTGTTGACACCTCTCGTCCTGCAGCCCGAGCATGAAGCACAGGCAACGGTCTCCGGGAATCCTACCCGGACCACCACCCGGGCCAACACCTGGGCCACCACCCGGGTCCGTTAATTCATCTTTCTTCTGCCCGCAGACACCAGGCTACCCACAAGGGAGTCTGCACCTCCTTTTCTACTATAGGCAGCACCACGGCCATCTCGTGCACCAGCGTCAACATTTTATCCAAATCCAGGGAGTCCAGCTCCGCTTCATCCAGCTGAGCATAGGCCACCTGGCCGACTGCCATCAGGGCACTGCGTTAGACGAGGGGCGACTCGGCTTCTCGCTTGCGCTGCTGGAATTTTCTCTTCGCATTCGAGGGCGAGTCGAATGCCTCTGCCCTCACGTGGCAGGCTGCTTGGAACGTCGTCTTCTGCTCCGCCTGTATAGCCTTGAAGATTGCGAGAGCTTCGTCATTTAAGGTTGTAGGTAATGCCTTCAGCGCTTCGGCTTCTGATCATTCCAAGGCCCGATATACGGCCTCGAACCGTTGAGTGAAGGGCCCTCCCAGTCGCTACCCGCTGCTACAAACCCCTTTACTGGACCCAGTCGGCGAGGTCGGTCGGCTGCTCTCTCTCTTGCCGCCGGGGCTGTCTCCACCGATGGTGCCCCGGCCGCCGCCGCTGCTCTGGGCATCTCTGGCTCCCCGGCCTTCACCAGCAATCGATCGGACGGCTCCGACCACCGGTTCTCCCGCCGCCATCTCTGCCGCTCCCGGTCTCCCCTCCTTCTCGGCGAGCTGTAATGCTAGCCGGGAGACCGCATCTACGAGACGGTCGATCCATCCCTCTAGCTGCTCCCATCCTTGGGTCGTGAGCGGCACTTGGTTGAGTGGACGCTCCGGTTGCTGCGGCTGCACCTGCTCTGTTACCACTGGCGCCGCCGCAGCCTCCTCTCTCATGTCTCCGAGATTGATCTCTGGGTCCTCTTCGCTTGGGATGTTCTGGATGAAGACGACCTCGTCGTCGGACATCGCCGGTAGGTTTTTTCATCGGCTTGGGTGCGACATTCTCCCCACTTTACTGACACCAGTTGTGGTGATGCCAACACGCGTTCACACTTGACTTTATTCGGACACAGCACTCTATCTAGGCCGGGGCTTCGGTTTTGGTGCTTGAACTTTGTCTTCTCTCCAACCGTCCCCTCCCCATTTGCTATCCCCTTTTATATCCTTTCTGGAAACTTCACTCACCCCACTCCCTTCAGCCAATCGTCGTCGTCCTCCCAACGGTCGTCAACCGACTCCCCTACAGTCCACCCACGTTTGAATCTCTCTTCCAATCCCTTGAAATCTCATCTCCTGACCAATCGTTTTTGAGGCCTCCCTGCACCAATCGGAGGCCTTGATTGACTTCCTGACTGTCCGTCCGCCCGTACGCTTGTGCAGGTGAGTGGTCTATTGCTTTGGTCATTACAGGAGTCGAGACTCCACTGTATCCCTTACACGCACACTCATTGCTCGGGTTGCACCAGAGCGTGGGCGGGGGGGTGATGGACTTTTATAACCTGTGGTGGTGATGATGACGATGGATAGCTATGATGTTGATGACGTTGATGATGATGGTGGTGGTGGTGGTGATGGAAGTGTTGTTGTTGACGATGGTGTTGGTGATGGAAAGCGACGATGTTGATTGTGGTGGTTGTGATGGGTAACTATGATGTTGATGTTGAGTCTCCTCTGCTCCACCTGACAGTGCCTTCAATGGTGGAGACCTTCCAGTCACCTCCAGCCCGGTCACAGACCACCACCAACAGCAGCACCACCAGCAGGATGAGGAGGTGGAGGACAACCACAGTCGCAACAACAATGTTGACAACGTGAATCGTGAAGACACAGCGGAAGGTCCTGAGGAGGTGGATGAGGAAGTGGATGAAGATGATGAGGATGAGGAGGAGGATGAGGAAGATGATGAGGATGAGGAGGATGAGGATGAGGAGGATGAGGAGGAGGAGGACAATCACGGGAGCAACAGGAACAAGGTTGACGGTGTGCATCGTGAAGACGCAGCTGAGCGTCCTGAGGACGAGGTGGTGGAGGAGGAAGAGACCTTATTGGCTCAGAAGATCACCTTCAATAACCATCGTGATGGTGGTAGTGGAGATGGTGGTGATGGTGGAGCTGATGGTAAAGATGGCGATGGTAGTGGTGATGGTGGAGATGGCGATGTTGATAAGCGTGCAGATGGTGATGTCCAAGATGGAGGCATGGCCCACTGTGAAAAGGTGGAAGGAGGTGGTGGTGGTGGTGATGGTGGTGATGGTGATGATGTGGACAGGGATCTGTTGAGTTTCTTGCAGATGGAGTCCACTTGGCCCGCTGGGGGTGACTCGGCCACGGTCGCCGAGTCAACCTCGGCTAGCAGAGCTGAGTCACTCTCGGCAGCTGAGTCAGCAATAGCAGCAGCTGAGTCACCCTCAGCACCTGAGTCACTCTCAGCCCCTGAGTCAACCTCGACTAGCCAGAGCTGAGTCACTCTGAACACCTGAGTCACTGCTTGCTACCAAGAATCAGAGCTGAGTCACTCTGAGCTAGCCAGAGCTGAGTCACCATCAGGAGCTGAGTCACTCAGCTACCCAGAACCAGAGCTGAGTCACTCTGAGCTACCACAGATGAGTCACTCTGAGCAGTAGCCCCATCAAGGGTGCGTGGGTAGTTTGGTTGACAGGCGAATGGGTGGGTAGGCGAGTTGGTAGGCGGGTAGTTGGATGGGTGGGTGGGGGTGGGTAGGTGAGTGGTGGGGAGGGGTAGGTGAGTGGGGGGGTAGGTGAGGGGGGGGGTAGGTGAGTGGGGGGGGGGGGGTAGGTGAGTGGGGGGGGGGGGATGGGCGAGTGGGTAGGTGAGTGTGTAGGCAAGTAGGTGGGTGAGTCGTTTGTGGGTGGAGCAGCAATGGGAGCAGACTGCTGTGATGGTGATGGTAGCGATGATGCTGATGATGATTGTGATGATGATTGTGATGATGATTGTGCTGATGATGCTGATGGTGGTGATGTTCACGATGCTGTGATATCGTTAGAGGAACCGTTGTATCGGTAGCGTGACCATGGTGGTATCAGTGGTGGTATCACTGGGGCGGGGGGGGCATGGTGTCTCTGGGGGTATCGTGGTATAGTAGGAAGTATACAGTGGGGGGCCCATGGTATAAGTAAGGGTATGATAGTATCATGGTATCCGTGGGGGTCTCGTGGAATCATGGTATACTAGGGGTATGGTGGGATCATGGTATCATTGGGAGTATGATGAATTCATGGTATACTCGGGGTATGGTGATATCATGGTAATCGCGAGTAGCAGTAGTAATAATGATGATACTACGATGGTCGTGTTGTTTTTATATTCCCGTCGTCGATGTTGTCGATGTTGTTGATGTTGTGGTGGTGGTGGTTGTTGTTGTTGACGGTTTTGGTGATGGGAGGGGATCGCGAGTGGGGGGGGGAGGACCCGTTGCGCAATCAGTAACCATAGCAACGCTCTCGCAATTATGAACTCGTTACCGGGGGTGATGGTGGTGGTGGTGACGATTTGGTTGCGGTGCGTAGTAAACATCGCCACTGGGGAGACAAAGGCGGACGGGCGTGGTGCTGACCACCCACCCCCTCGTGTGCCGTGCCGGCCTTCGTAGGTGCTGCTCCTCGCTAACGGCACTTGCCCCGAGAGTCTGTTACAGGCTATGGGGAGGGGGGGGGTTGGTGGTGGTCGTGGTGATGATGATGATGGTGGTGGTGATGGTGGTGCATTAGCATCCGCTACACCCCGCCTCCCACTACACAGCACACACACAGCCTGTAACAGACTGTAGGGGCAAGTGCTGTTAGCGAGTAGCACCTATGAAGGCCGGCACGACACACGAGGGGGTGGGTGGCCAACACCACGCCCAGCCGTCTTTGTCTCCCTCGTAGCGATGTTCACACACCGCACCAGGTACTCATTTTAGGCTGAGTCGACCAAGGGGAGGCCCAGGACCGGTTCAGATCATCGTCACTGGTGTTGGCCGTGAGCGGGAATCTAACCGGGGTCGCCGCGTTTGTAGCGCAACAAACTGCTTCACCACCGCTCCCCATTCACTCCCCACTCACCTGTACACACACACACACACGACCCACACACTCACCCACTCGTTCGCCTACCCACTCACCCACCCACTCACCCACCCACCTACTCACCCACAGTTTGGGCTCACCCCCGATGTTTGTACAGAAACTCTGCCAACTCATTAAACGATTTTGTTTCTTACTCAACGACTGAGTCTGTGTGTGGGACATGGGTACAGCATCATTCAGAGCCTCGCTCAGACTCGGAGACTCGCACATTTCGTCTGACATTTTTGGTGATTGCACTCTGAGAACGATTGTTTAAGGGTGCATTATCAATTTAAATTATTATTGCAACAGATCACACACTGATGTCGAGATTTAAATATCGATTAGACTACCGCAGGAGTAGATGTGTATTTGCTTCAGATCGCTGTTGAATGATACGATTGGTTAGCCGTTAACGATATATTGCGTGGTCTGAGATGTGACACCAACACAGTCACACACTGGATTCTCTGCAGAGTGTCCGGATCAAGGAGGAACCAAGATCTTCCTCGATAGGTCAGATCCGGGTTGGAGGATTGTGGGGTCGCTGGTGATGGATTTCTGCCGCGGGTTGGTGTTTGCCCAGGGCTTCCCTCCATCGTGCTTCGATGGGCTTGTCATGGAGGTTCTTGGCATATTTACAGAAAGGTGTTCTGGATTTGAGCCACCTTGGTTCTTTCGGTAAAGTCACGTAGAAGGGAAGTAATAAAATAATAAAAAAAATATTGTGTTTTATTTTTTGTTATTTTATTACTTCCCTTCTACGTGACTTTACCGAAAGAACCAAGAAGATGAATCCCTGCAGTCATCGAAAGCTTTAAATCGAAATTGAGCCACCTTGTTTGGATTTCTGGTGGCCCTACGCTACTCCCTCGCGCAGCGGACGAGCTGCGCATGAGCGATATTTGCGAGGAGCGGAAGCCGCAGGCACAGCAGTGTTGCTCTTCACCGTCCCTGAGATGATCCTCGTGGCTGCATGTGTAGCGTCAGAAATTCGTACACACACACCGCCTATGTGCACTTACCTGCAGTTACGGCGAGGGGTCTGTAGGCGGCGCCAACCTGTACAAGTGGTCATACTCTTAGGTTTTTTCTGTAAAGTCACGTAGGTAAAAATAAATAGTAAAATAATAGAAATAAAATGATAAATCACGACGTTTCGGAGGCAACATAAGTCTCTGTCATCAGGTGGGACCGTCACAGCTAGATTTACTGTATCAAGTGAGGCAAAATTCCAAGAGACAGGCCCTTATATACAAGTTAAGGGGGGGAGGAGGGGGAGGGAGTTAAGGGGGGGAGGAGTATTTAAGGGCCTGTCTCTTGGAATTTTGCCTCACTTGAGACAGTAAATCTAGCTGTGACGGTCCCACCTGATGACGGAGACATGTGTTGCCTCCGAAACGTGATTTGTTATTTTATTTCTATTATTTTATTATTATTTACTTTTACCTACGTGACTTTACCGAAAAATACCTAAGAGTATTAATCCTTGCAGTCACGAAAGCTTAAAATCTAGAACTGTACAAGGGGATGTAGAGAGAGCCGGACCATAGAGAGGCCGGGTTCCCCTCCCCGACCCCAGGTGAGGGGCTGGGGGGGGGGGCTTTCCAGGATCCCCTGGAAGGTTCCAGAAAGGGGGCGGTACCGGGGGCGGAGAGTCCGCGGGACAGGTATAAAAGGCGGCTCTCAGCTCGGCTCGAGGCAGTGCTACGAAGACTGAAGACCAGCTCGGCTAGGACCCCGGGACCCTGGGACCCGACTTTCTTGTAAGGGCCGGGGCTGAGTGTGGACCAGTGGTCAGGACCCGGGGTCGGGTTAGTCAGTCTCCCCTAGGTCATCCCGAGCCAGAGGGCTCTCGGTTACCCCGAGTGATAGGGCACGCTAGCCCGGAGGCTGTACCTCCATAGAGAGCGGGATAAAGGGGGTACCCTGTTACATTGTTATCCATAAAAGTATTGCCTCCAAGTTACGCCGCAAGTCTGGAACCCACTACACATTTACCTGCGGCGTATCCACTGGCTTCGTGTGCACGCTTTTGTTCCAGGCTGGGGCACAATATTCTGCGGCAAAGAAGACCCGGCGCTGTGCTGTGCTGGCCGTCCGGAGCGTCATTGAGTTTGCTCCAACATGTTGTTCCGGCCGGATTTGAAGCACCGAGATTAACTCGTGCGATTTTCTTTTTTACAGAAACATTGTTCTCCTCTCGAGAGTTGCACCCGAGGTATTTCGGGCTACTTGTGCTGGACCTCTTCGCCACAGAAAGTGATGGCCAGTTTTCTGTCCGGCGTTTGCACTGTTCAGGTACAAACGATGCGGTGGCAGTTTTCTTGGGTTTGGGCAGAGCTTCCGATACTTGAAGCACATCTCAAGTTTCTTGAGGTCTTCGCACGCACAGCTTGTTTTGGACCTCATTTTGGGTCCTTCTTTGGACGGCAAGTAACAGGTCATCAGCGTCGCCAAATTTCCAGTCGTTGGTGACATGGAGGTCACTTGTTTACGGCCATCCCTGTTAACGACTAATCACTTAACAGCGAGCCTCCACAGAGCCCAATGTGTAGTGTATAGTGTAGTGTATAGTAGTGTATTGCCTCCACAGAGCCCAATGTGTAGTGTATAGTGTAGTGTATAGTAGTGTATTGCCTCCATAGAGCCCAATGTGTAGTGTATAGTGTAGTGTATAGTAGTGTAGTGTATAGTAGTGTATTGCCTCCATAGAGCCCAATGTGTTTGTTTACCGACCGTTCGCCTGTTAACGATGGGCTGTAGTAGGTACAGTAAATATTAATGCATTGATTAACCACGTTTCTTTTATTGTTGTGCGTTTATATGTGTGTATCTTTATGTATTAATATCCATTGTTTAAATATTATAAAGTACAGATAGTCGCCGAGTTACGATGGTCCGACTTACGATATTTCGATCTTACGATGGCGATAGCGATATGACAAAATTGTTAAATATAAAAAAAATTTGTGCGGTAGGCAAACGCAGCAGCGAACGTTCAATGCATGTATGATACGTAGCTTTAGCGAATTCATTTTAGGGTTACCACGATACGATACGTTCAATGCATGTAAAACGTTTTTTTTTTTAACAGATAGGATTGTTTCCTGAAAAAGCTTTCTGTTAAATTGCAGTTCATGTAGGTAGGCTAGGAATTTACCTTGTTTTTTTACTCTACATTTTACTGTGCAATACAGTATTGTAATTAATACATACATAAGGTATATAGTTTATACAGTACGGTACTGTAAATTGCTCTGTTTTGCTAAATTATCACCATTCTTTAAGATTCCTGGGTAGGCTAGGCCATCTTCGACTTACGATATTTTTGACTTACGATGGGGTCGTCGTAACGCATCTCCATCATAAGTAGAGGACTACCTGTATTTTATTGGGTGAAAAAATGTAACTTGCAATGCTATCGGAACGATATTAAGCCTTTCACGTCCATTTCCTATGCTCGCTTAACCACCAAATCACTTAACGACCGGTTTCTTGGAACCAATTACCGTCACTAAGAGGGGTTCTACTATATCGCTGTTAAAAAGTCCTGGTGCAAGTGCTGATCCTTGTGGGAGCCCGTCATGGAGTCGGCGTTTTTCGGTAACCTCTTCGACAGCTTTAGCACGAGGTCTTCCCCACCATACTGTGTCTTAGGCCGCTGATAGGTCTATGAAAGCGGCTTCTGCCATGTCCTTGAGCTGGAAGCCAGCTTCAATGTACTTTACTCTTTGGTTCTTCCGGTAAAGTCACGTAGGTATAAAATAAAATAAATCACGACGTTTCGGGCGCAACACAAGCGTCCATTAGGTGGGAAAGCATGGTTTGCTGCTGAGGCAGACTAACAGTCTGCCTTTACCGAAAGAACCAAAGAGTATGGATTCCTGCAGTCACGAAAGCTTCAAATCAAGATTCAATGTACTTTTTGAGTGCCAGCACCTGGTCGCATGTGCTGCTGCGGCTGGGGCAGAAAACCAGCACGCTCAGTTGGTATCGCATCCTCGAAGATTGGTGACATTACGGGTCATTTGCATCCTCTTCAGGAGTTTGTACACCATACTAAGCAGAGATATGGGGCGGACGTTATTTGGATTTGTGGTTGATTTTCCAGGCTTCGGAATGGCAACGACCTTCCGTTTGATGCCATTTTTTCGGAATTTTGCCTGAGGCCATTATGTCCTAAAATATTCTGGCCAGCCAACGGCATCCTTTTTGGCCAAGGTGTTTCAGGAACTCCGGATGAATCCCCATCTAACCCTGTGGCCTTTCCTGATCTGGTGGCGTTTATGGCGTCAATGGCCTATTCTTTCAGTGAAAGGAGCAGGGACTTTGTCCACTCCAGCATGGTTGATATTAGACCTGGTGACCCTGTGAGATTTGTGAGCAGGCCGCTTTCAGCACAAGCTTGGTTCAAAACGTGTCGTAGTTTTCTGGCTTTGGTGGGCTCCGGGAGATGGTGCCGCTCGATGTCTTCAGTAAAAGATTCCCAGGTTGGCCTTTCTTAAATTTTATCGTGGCACAAGGGGTTGGACGTGATACAAGACCGGCATGTGCCGACCATTCAGGGAACTTGTCCACAACCATTCTGGAAGCGCAAGTGATTCACCCGAACTGGCACACGACATAGAGCTTAGGGTCAGAGGTCAGGGTTTGAATCCTTCATCCAATGTGCAGAGTGGAAGGTGCCTCGATCTTTCGCGTAGAGAAGGAGGCACTGGTCACCAGTTGCTGCCCAGTCGATGATGGCCTATTGCTCTACACAGGTTTCATCGGGTGCATAGCCGCAGGCCGTATAGACTCTCACTCATAGACTTCGTAACGATTCGATAATAGTTGCGGGGTTTATGGGGAGTGAGATTCCTTGGGGAGGGATATAATACACCAAGCAGGTTGCTGTTTTGACACACTTTATAAATGTTACTTGCATGCACACCTATAGACAGAACCCCACAATGATTGTGTAGCCCGCGTGACCAGCCACCGCATGCCTTAACAGCTTTTGTTCGGCCGGATCGAGGGGGCTAGACGGGCGCGGCACGGGCTAGAGAAGAGATGGAGTGATGTGGTACAGGAGGACGTGGAGCTGAGTGGACTTGCCGATGATTGATACCAGCGGTGTCAAGATCGGCCTCTGTGGAGGAGGCTCGTGAAGGACGCTACTGGGCAGTTGGAGGCAGTCGCCCTTCAACAACAACGGAGGGCGGAAGAGCGACGCTCACAACAATGAGCGGAGCACCGGGTGGCTAAAGCACAGCAAGCTGGCACAGTCGGGGACACAGGTGGTGCATCAGTCAGTCATCTCAGTCAGTCGACCCGTGGCATCTGGGTCTGCCCTGTGATCTCCTGCCGGCGGGCATTCGCTTCAAGGTGCACATGGCCTGGCACAAGCGTCCTGGTGACGTCACCGCCACTTAGTGGCGAATGGTGGTTGTTGTTGGCTGAGTGACGTCATCCCTCCCCTGTTAACTTGGGAGGGAAACCCCCCCCCCCATTCCCCCATACCCCTCCCCCTTCATTGGGATCAGTGACGTCACAATCCCGTCCTGTGTTAAATAATGGCGGGAAACCTCTCCCCATTGAATTTGCTCGACGAGTTTAGTGTCGGGATGGACGATTAATTGATTTCAAATCGAAATCGCAATTTGAAACAATGCGATTAGCAAATTGCAAAGGCTGCAATTATTTAAGAGATTTGAAAATTTCTATTACTTTCTTATTGGAATGTTTTTATACCTTTATTTATTGAACTTAACAATTGTTCTATGTTCGATCGTTCTATTTCAATTAAAACATTTTAATAAATGCATGTTGGAAGCAATTCACATATTTTAAGTTCTCTTCCTTGCATTAGAATATATAGAGTAGTTAATATTTGATGGTACCATGTTTTAAATCTATTAAATAGTGATTGTGGAACTGAAATTTAATCGCAAATCAAATCGCAAAATTTGTCAGAAAAATCGCAATTAGACGTCACCCCCAAACTGCCCCCTCCCCCCCCTTGAAATTTTGGCGGGAAACCTCTCCGCCATTGACTTTACTGGCGAGTTTAGTGACGTCAACCCCTAACCCATTGTTTTTTGGCGGGAAACCTCTCCCAATTGACTTTGCTGATGACATTAGTGACGTCACCCTTCCATCCCTGCTAATTTGGGGGGGGGTGGGGACACTTCCCATTGACTTTGCTGGCGAGATTAGTGACGTCACCCCCAACATTACATTTTGGCGGGACACTTCCCATTGACTTTGCTCGCGAGATTGGTGACGTCACCCCCAACATTACATTTTGGCGGGACACTTCCCATTGACTTTGCTCGCGAGATTGGTGACGTCACCCCCAACATTACATTTTGGCGGGACACTTCCCATTGACTTTGCTGGCGAGATTAGTGACGTCACCCCCAACATTACATTTTGGCGGGACACTTCCCATTGACTTTGCTCGCGAGATTGGTGACGTCACCCCCAACATTACATTTTGGCGGGACACTTCCCATTGACTTTGCTCGCGAGATTGGTGACGTCACCCCCAACATTACATTTTGGCGGGACACTTCCCATTGACTTTGCTCGCGAGATTGGTGACGTCACCCCCGACCCCTCCTCACCCCATAACCCCCCCCCCCCCCGCTGACTTTGGTAGAGAGTTTAATGACGTCACCCCCCCCCACTGTCCCCTCCAACCCCCACCCCTCCACCCCGGAAACTTCTTCCCATTGGCTGAGCTCACGATATTAGTGACGTCACCCCCCAAACCACGCCCCTGTTAAATTGGGGGCCACGTGCGTTTCGCGTGCGGTGAATTCCCGGTGAGGATAATTTTCTTGCGTTTATTTTTTACTTTTCCTCGCAATATAAAAGAAATTAACGTTTAAACAACAATAATAACGACAGTAACAAGGACGACGACGACGGGAGCGATTACGTTGTGTTTATTTTGGTGGGAAAGATTACAATGGTAAGGCAAACAACATACTGCGTATTAACGATAAACAATTTATATTATTTGGGTCTTTCGGTAAAGCCACGGAGATAGAAACAGAATATGACGATTGCTTATGTTGCGATCGAAACGTTGTGATATTATAATTTTTCTATCTACGTGGCTTTACCGCAAGACCCAAAGAATATGAATTCCTGCAGTCACGAAAGTCAAAACAGCATTTAATTTTTGGTTAAACTTGAAGTAAAACAAACTTTTTTTGCATGTTTATTCAATGGCGTTTAAACTAAGCCACCCACCCATTAACCCACCCATTAACCCACCCACTATAACCCACTCGCTTACCTACCCACCCACTCACCTACCTACTCACCTACCTACTCACCTACCTACTCACCACCCACTCACCACCCACTCACCACCCACTCACCACCCACTCACCACCCACTCACCACCCACCCACTCACCCACTCACTCACTCACCCACTCACCTGCCCACTCACCTATCCACCCACTCACCTATCCACCCACTCACCGTTGAATCAACGCGACCACCACGTGACCTCCCACCCCACCTCCACTCCCCTCAGGAGGCGCGAGGCACAGTGGAGCACGCGCTGCAGAACCGGTACGAGGGGCGGGGCTGGGGGTGGTGAAGGGAGGGGCTGGGGGGAATAAGGGGAGGGGGCTGAGGGGGGAGGGGCTGAGATGGGAGGGGCTGAGGGGGAAGGGGCTGAGGGGGGAGGGGCTGAGGGGGGAGGGGCTGAGAGGGGAGGGGCTGAGGGGCTGAGGGGGGAGGGGCTGAGAGGGGAGGGGCTGAGAGGGGAGGGGCTGAGGGGGAAGGGGCTGAGGGGGGAGGGGCTGAGGGGGGAGGGGCTGAGAGGAGAGGGGGCTGAGGGGGGAGGGGCTGAGGGGGGAGGGGCTGAGAGGGGAGGGGGCTGAGGGGGGAGGGGCTTAGAGGGGAGGGGCTGAGAGGGGAGGGGCTGAGGGGGAAGGGGCTGAGGGGGGAGGGGCTGAGGGGAAAGGGGCTGAGGGGGGAGGGGGCTGAGGGGGGAGGGGCTGAGGGGGGAGGGGGGAGGGGCTGAGAGGGGAGGGGGCTGAGGGGGGAGGGGCTGAGAGGGGAGGGGCTGAGGGGGGAGGGGCTGAGGGGGAAGGGGCTGAGGGGGGAGGGGCTGAGAGGGGAGGGGGCTGAGAGGGGAGGGGCTGAGAGGGGAGGGGCTGAGGGGGAAGGGGCTGAGGGGGGAGGGGCTGAGGGGGGAGGGGCTGAGAGGGGAGGGGGCTGAGGGGGGAGGGGGCTGAGGGGGGAGGGGGCTGAGGGGGGAGGGGCTGAGGGGGGAGGGGCTGAGGGGGGAGGGGCTGAGGGGGGAGGGGTTGAGAGGGGAGGGGCTGAGGGGGAAGGGGCTGAGGGGGCTCAGAGGGGAGGGGTTGAGAGGGGAGGGGCTGAGAGGGGAGGGGCTGAGGGGGGAGGGGCTGAGAGGGGAGGGGCTGAGGGGGGAGGGGCTGAGGGGGGAGGGGGCTGAGAGGGGAGGGGCTGAGAGGGGAGGGGGCTGAGAGGGGAGGGGCTGAGGGGGGAGGGGCTGAGGGGGGAGGGGCTGAGGGGGGAGGGGGAGGGGCTGAGAGGGGAGGGGCTGGCGAAAGAATCGATTCGTGTGTCGTGAATTGTTACAGGGGGAATATCTCCCTCACCACGTCTCTCTCACGAACTCACCATGTCTCTCTCCCTCACGAACTCACCACGTCTCCCTCACGAACTCACCACGTCTCTCACCACCTCACCACCTCACCACGTCTCTCCCTCACCACCCCCACCACCACTAAGATGGACTCTGTGGTTCATGAAGAATGGGAAGGCTCGCCCATGGCACCTCAACCTGAGACCCATCATCAGCTTCAACTCCGTGGAGATGTTCTGGAGGTGATGGGGGTGGTGATGGGGGTGGTGATAGAGGTGATGGTGGTGGTGTTGATGATGGTTACAACGGTGGTGATGGGGGGATTGATAAAGTGTCTGGTTGAGTGAGTGAGTGGCTGGGTGAGTGAGTGAGTGGCTGGCTGGGTGAGTGAGTGGCTGGCTGGGTGAGTGATTGGCTGGCTGGCTGGCTGGGTTAGTGAGTGAGTGAGTGAGTGGCTGGGTGAGCGGGTGAGTGGCTGGGTGAGTGGCTGGGTGGGTGAGTGAGTGTCTGGTTGAGTGAGTGAGTGGCTGGGTGAGTGAGTGAGTAGCTGGGTGGGTGAGTGAGTGGCTGGCTCGCTGGGTGAGTGAGTGGCTGGGTGAGTGGCTGGGTGAGTGGCTGGGTGAGTGGCTGGGTGAGTGAGTGGGTGAGTGGCTGGGTGGCTAAGTGGCTGGGTGAGTGAATCTCTCTCTCCCCCCGTAGTCTCTACAACCACATCCAGCCAGCCAGCTGTCTCATAGCCGGCAGTGACTACGCAATGTTCAAGGTGACTCAGTCAATCACTCATCCAGTCACCGCCCGACTCAACCACCCACCCACTCACCCAACCACTCACCAACTCACCCACCCACTCACTCGTCCACCCACCCACTCTCACCCAACCACTCACCCACCCTCTCACCCACTCACTCACCCACTCACCCACCCACTCACTGACCCACCCACTCACCCCACCCACCCACTCACTGACTCATTTCACCCACTCACTCACTGACTCATTTCACCCACTCACCCACCCACCCACTCACCCACCCACTCACCCACCCACCCACCCACTCACCCACCCACTCACTAACCCACTCATTCACCAAATCACTCACCCACTCACTCACCCAGTTACTCACCCACCCACCCGCTGTGTTGTCTAGGAGGGGGTGACTCCAATGTGGGAAGACCCTGCGAACCTAGCTGGTGGACGATGGTTGATCTCACTCACAAAGCAGCAGCGCTACCTGGACCTGGATGCCCTGTGGCTGGAGACGGTGAGGAGTAGTTGTGGTGGTGAGCAGACGCTCATCCGGCCACTCACTCAGCCAGCCACTCACTCACTCACTCACCCACTCAGCCACTCACCCACCCACTCACCCACTCAGCCACCCAGTCACTCAGCCAGCCACTCACTCGCCCACTCAGCCACTCACCCACCCACTCACCCACTCAGCCACCCAGTCACTCAACCACCCAGTCACTCAGCCACTCACTCACTCGGCCACTCAGCCACTCACCCACAAACACAATCACCCACTCAGCCGCTCACTCAGCCACTCACCCACTCAGCCACTCACCAAGCCACTCGCTCACTCAGCCGGCAACTCACCCACTCAGCCAGTCACCGACTCTCAGCAACCTACTCTTAGCCATTCGCTCACAAAGCCGGCCACTCACCCACTCAGCCATTCGCTCACTCAGTCACTCGCTCACTCAGCCACCCGCTCACTCAGCCACCCGCTCACTCGGCCACCCGCTCACTCGGCCACTTGCCCACTCATCCACTCACTCTCCCACTCGCTCACCCACCACAGCTGCTGATGCTGGTTGGTGAGGCGCTCACCCCGTACGGTGAGCAGGTGTGTGGTGCGGTGGTGAGCGTGAGACGCAAGGGAGACCGCATCGCCCTGTGGACCTCGAACGCTGACAGCAGCGATGCCGTCATCACCATCGGGTGAGCGAGACGCTAACCTACTCACAAACTCACCTACTCACTCACCAACTCACCCACCTACTCACCTACTCACCCACATACTCACCCACCTCAGCCACCTACTCACCTACTCACTCACCCACTCACTCGCCTACCCACTCATCTACTCACCCACTCACTCACTCACCAACTAACCCACCTACTCACCCATCTACTCACCCACCTACTCGGCCACCTACTCGGCCACCTACTCGGCCACCTACTAACCCACTCACTCGCCAACTCACTCACCTACTCACTCACCTACTCACTCACCCACTCACTCACCAACTCAGCCACTCATTCACTCACCTACTCATTCACCCACTCGCTCGCTCACCCACTTGCTCGCTCACCTACTCGCTCAGTAACGCACTTACCCAGCCACTCACTCAACCACTCACTCATCTACCTACTCTCACTCTCCCACTCACTCTGGCTGTGTCTTTGTCTCATCTCTCTGGCCGTGTCTCTCTGACCGTGTCTTTGTCTCTGTGTCTCTCTGACGGTGTCTGTCTGCGTCTCTCTCTCTATCTGTCTGCATCTCTCTGTCTGTGTCTCTGTCTCGCAATGTCTCTGTCTCACTCACTGTGTGTCTCTGTCTATCTAGGCGTGTGTACAAGCGCAGGCTGGGCTTGCCTGCCGACACGCTCATCGCTTACCAGGCGCACGGAGACAGCATGGTGAAGAGCGGACAGCCCTCGGCGGACAGCACCCGGCAGTCATCGGCTTGGTCGGACAGGGAGAGAGCAGGGGACGGAGAGACAGCGGCACCAGCTGGAGGAGACACGGGGTGGTGAGACACGGGGAGAGTGAGACGCGAGGAGAGAGGGATACAGGGAGAGAGACACGGGGTGATGAGACACGGGGAGAGTGAGACGCGAGGAGAGAGGGACACGTGGAGAGAGAGACACGGGGAGAGAGAGACACGAGGAGAGAGGGACACGGGGAGAGAGAGACCCACGGAGAGAGAGACACGGGGAGAGAGAGACACGGGGAGAGAGACACGGGGGGGGGAGGGTGAGACACGGGGGGGGGAGGGTGAGACACGGGGGGGAGTGAGACACAGGAAGAGAGACACGGGGGGGGAGGGTGAGACACAGGGAGAGAGACACGGGGGAAGGAGGGTGAGACACGGGGGGGGAGGGTGAGACGGAGGGGGGTGAGACACAGGGAGAGAGACACGGGGGGGGGAGGGTGAAACACGGGGGGGGAGGGTGAGACACGGTGGGGGGGGTGAGACACGGGGGGGGGTGAGACACGGGGGTGTGTGACACACGGAGGGGGGGGGGGGTGAGACACGGGGAGTGATTTTCTGTGTTCACTAAAATAAATCTGCAGCCTCATGAGATGTGGTGCTGATCGTTATTTGAATGAGTGAGTTGGTGGGTGGGTGACTTGGTGGGTAGGTGATTTGGTGGGGGAGTGAGTGAGTTGGTGGGTGGTTGAGTGAGTGGGGGAGGAAGTGAGTTGGTGGGTGGCTGAGTGGGTAGGTGGGAGGGTGAGGTGGTGAGTGAGTTGGTGGGTGGGTGAGTTGGTGAGTGAGTTGGTGGGTGGCTGAGTGGGTGGGTGGGTGAATGAGCAGGTGAATGAATGTGTGAGTGACTGACTGTCTGCGTGGGTGACTCACGCTCAGCAAGTCCAGGCCGGCAGGGTTCAGCGTCTTGACGGAGCTGCCCAGGGTGCTGCCCATCCACTGGGGGATAGACGTCTGGAAGTTGGGCAGGGCCTCCACGGGGAGAGAGACAGGGAGAGAGGGACACGGGTAGAGAGAGATGGGCAGTGTTGAGTCTATGGGCAGTGTTAGTCTATGGTCAGTGTTGAGTTTATGGGCAGTGTTGAGTCTTTGGGCAGTGCTGAGTCTATGGTGCAGTGCTGAGTCTATGGTAATTCGACAGTACAGAGTCCAGAGTAGCTACGACCGTCTTACCGGAAGATGCGGAACAGCTGTACCGTGTCTCGAGAACACGGTACAGACTCCACAGTACAGAAACCACAGTACAGACTCCTGCACAGCGGCGTGCCCAGCGGCCTCCACGGCCACCGCTGCGGAGTGGCAGGGAGAGCCCAGCAGCACCTCGGGAGGGGGGGGGGGGGGCGCGGTACCACAGCGTCACCGCCTGGGGTGAGTGGCAGACTGATGGGGGGGGGGGTGGGACAGATGAGGATGAGACACCGACAGAGAGAGACAGGCAGAGAGAGTGAGTGAGTGGGTGGGTGAGAGACAGACATAGAGATGGAAACAGAGATAGGCAGAGAGACATAGTGAGTGAGTGGATGAGTGAGTGGGTGGGTGAGTGGATGGGTGAGTGCTACAGATAGAGAGACAGAGAGAGATACAACAGAGAGAGAGCGAGGAACAGCGAGAGAGACAGACAGACAGACAGAATGGGTGAGTGAGTGGATGAGTGTGTGTCTTTTGTGTGTGTATGAGTCTGTGTGCGAGTCTGGGCAAGATCTGGGCAAAGTCCCATCGGTGAGCTGGGGGGGGGGGGTCAGACATTTGTGACGATGGGGGGGGGGGGGGGTGAGAAATGTGACGTCACATCAAAATGCGCAACTTTAAATGAATAAAGACAACACGTTCTACTTAGTTAAATAGACTTTTTATTGTTTTCTCCTGCAACATCAGAGTGCAGCGCCACATTAAATACGCACTACGATGACAATAGTTTAAAGCGATTTGAAGCAGGTTTTATTTTTTGTGGGGGAGGGGGGGCAGAGCTTTGTGAAGTCATATTTGAGGGGGGGGGGGTCTGACTTTTTGTGACGCTGTGTGACTATGGGGGGGGGGGGCGGCGTCCCCCTACGCATGAAAGCTGAAGGGGAGGCACTTGCAGCTATTGACATTCTCGTCGTTCTCGGCTTAGCGAGTCCACGCACTCCCAACCGAGTCGACGCTGCTCACCCCCGGCTCTTGAAGTTGTCTCTCCCCACTCCAGCAGCAGCTGTTGGAGTGACGCCTCCACTCCAGCAGTAGAGACAGGACCCACACCTCTCAGTTTCATTTATTAGGTGTAGCCCTGTGAGCCATTCGGCTCTTGAATCGGGTGCAACCGCAACAAACAAAAAACATGAACGAGAACAAGGAAATATTTTAAAGTGAATTTCGATTTAAAGCTTTCGTGACTGCAGGGATTCATCTTCTTGGTTCTTTCGGTAAAGTCACGTAGAAGGGAAATAATAAAAATAAAACAATAAAATACAATTCTCACGACGTTGCGGCCACAACGCAAGCAGCCGTGCTGAGGTGAAGAACAGGGCTGTCATTAGGACGCTGTCTTTCCGACAGCCCTGTTCTTCACCTGAGGACGGCTGCTTGCGTTGTGGCCGAAACGTCGTGAGAATTGTATTTTATTACGTTGAATTTTTATTATTTTATTATTTCCCTTCTACGTGACTTTACCGAAAGAACCAAGAAGATCTTAAAGTGACTGTGACTTAAGTGCAAACAGAAAATCCAGGAAAAGACAGCAAAATATTCCAGAAAAAAGCACCGCACACCAACGCTGTGTGCAAAAATCCCAGTGGGATGCAAGTCAAACAACAACAACAACCACAAGACAACTTAGATTAAGGCCATCAGTCAAACTCCATACTCCAACGAACAAACATGGCCAAACCAAAAGACGTTTTCGAAATCACCAAAATAAAGCCATGAAAGCAATGTAACAGTGATCATAGGAACTGTGACCAAATTTTCACAATAAACAACATGTGCCACCATACCCTGCAGCCATCACAGCTGGCTGCATGAGTCACTCCACAACAGCGCACTCAGCCCCAGGTACGGCACTCACGGCGTTTGTACCACCACCAAACCCTGCAGCCATCACAGCCGGCTGCACGAGTCACTCCACAACAGCACTCAGCCCCAGGTACGGCACTCACGGCGTCTCGGGCTGCACTGCTCGGCAGCCCTGCGCGTGGTTGCTCCACACTCCCACGATGGATGAGGCCTGGTGGCTCCACTCCCTTTCTCCTATTTCGTTGCCCCTATTATAGACGGTACATTTGCACAATCGGGCTTCCCCACTCATAAGTGGGTGACCTGTATCGGCATTCATCTTTAGTGGCTGATATTCGTTTCTGTATTTTAATGCAGCGTGCCAAAATCTCACTCGAATATTTCGTTTTTGGTCGCGAAAGCCGACGGTGTTAAATCTGCGAGCCACCGCGGGTGAAAGGCAGTGACGTGCGGTCAGGGGAGGCAGGGGGAGGCAGAGCCTCACCTGCCATACTCCAATGAAATTAGCTGTTACGAAAAGTAAAAAATAATCAAATAAATTTTTTTATTCCCCCCCCCCACCCACTGATCTGTGTTATAAATGTAATTTCTGTACGATTCCAATTATTTATAGTCAAAATCGCCAAATTTGCAGAGCTCCGCTGCAAATACAGGGAGAGAAGAGAGACGAGAGGTGAGGCAGCGACGAGCTCAGCCTCCCCTCTGATTGCGCAACCCCTCAGTAACTGGATGGAGCGCGGGCAATAAGCGCGTGCCCGTTACTATCTCTCTGTCATGATTGGAATCGTACAGAGATGACATCTATAGCACAGATCAGTGAAAAAAAAAAATCTAAATTTACTTATTTATTTTTTCGTGACAGCGATTTTCATTGGAGTATGGCAGGTGAGGCACTGCCTCCCCCTGCCTCCCCTGACCGCACGTCCCTGGCTCAAGGGTCAAAGCAGGGCTCGGTGACCTGCGGCTCCAGAACTACATGCGTCTGAATGTTCTTTTTGCCAGGACACGTCTCGTCTCGTTCCTTGGTTTTCGTTCTCTTCGCAACAATTTTTTCCCCGCGATTCGCAACGCCCCCGTCAAACAATCTTGTGGCGGTGGTGGCAGGAGGGTGACACAGCGGGGAGGGTGACACAGCGGGGAGGGTGACACAGCGGGGAGAGTTTGACCCCGACTCGGCTAGCCGTGCGTGACGTCACCGCGCACGGTGTTTTCCGTGCGCGGTGACGTCACGAGATTTGCGCGATGACGTCATCCCGCTAGTCTTACGCTCTGACGTCACCGGGCAGCGTGGGGCCGATCCGCGCATGGGGACGTCACGCGCGTTGTACGCGTCTACGTCATCGCGCTCTGGCTCCTTCGCGCGCGATGACGTCACCGCGAGATTAATGGTGACGTCACCGCGCAAGCGACACTTCCGTTGGCGAGGCGGCATCGTGCGGGGGTCGTGACGTCACCGCGCACGGGCTCCCCCAGTTCAGCGGCGACGTCACGAGCGCGAGCGCGGAACGGTGACGTCAGCGCGTACGACTAGCGTGATGACGTCATCTCGCACTGCCTCTTCCGTGCGCGGTGACGTCAGCGCGCGCTGAGTAATGGTGGTTGCGTGAAGGCCGCAACATCTTCAGCAACATCATCATTATTAGCAACTACAACATCATCATCAGCAACAACATTATCAACAACAGTATCAGCAACAACATCAACATTATTATCAACAACATCATCAACAACAGCAACATCAAGAACGCCATCACCACCATCATCACCACCACCATCACCACCACATCACCACCATCACGATGATCGTGACGCTGAAGACGCTCCAGCAGAAGACATTCCGTGTGGAGATCGAGGGGACGAAAACGGTGAGAGGATGGCATCGCTACCACCATCAACATCATTACCAACATCACCACCACCACCATCATAAACAACATCAATACCTACATCTTCAACACCATCACTACATTATCATCACCACCATCAACATCATCAACAACATCAACATCATCAACAACACCACTACCAACATGATCACCAACAGCATCAACACCTACACCATCACTGCCATCAACACCATTAACATTATCACCATCAACACCATCACTACCATCACCTCCTTCAACACCAACATCGTCAACACCATTACTACATACATCATCGCTATCAACATCACCACCTACACCATCACTACCATCAACACCATTAACATTACCACCATCAACACCATCACTGCCATCGCCATCATTATCTACATCACTACCATCACCTCCATCATCACCTACATCACCAACATCGTCAACACCATTACTACATACTCGCTATCACCAACATCACTACCTACAACAACACCTACACCATCACTACCCTCAACACCATCAACATCATCACCATCAACATCACTACCATCTACATCATCAACATCATCACTATCACCATTAACATCATCAACACCTACACCATCAACATCACTACCATCAACATAATCACCATCACCACCTACATCGACAGCATCACAAACACCACCATCACCTACATCAACACTAACACCATCACCATCATCACCTACATCATCAGCTACATCATCATGACCATCACCTTCATCACAAACACCAACACCATCACCACCTACATCATCAACATCATCACCACCATCAATATCATCACCACCACTAACATCAATATCATCACTAGCAGCATAAACATCAGCAATAACATCGCCACCACTTACATCAACAACACCACTAACATCAACATCACTATTGATGTAACTAGCATAACTACGATCAGGATCACCATTAATACCATCACCAACAACATCAACAGCAGCAACATAGTTGGAATCACGTGCGCAGTAATCATGCCTAACATCATCAGCCAAATATAGACACAGACACTCACACACTGACACAGATACTCACACAGATACTCACACACAGACACTCTCACAGACACTCACACACTGACACAGATACTCACACAGATACTCACACACAGACACTCTCACAGACACACACTGACACAGATACTCACACACTGACACTCACACACTGACACTCACTCACACAGACACTCACTGACACTTACAGACACTCACACACTGACACAGATACTCACACACAGACACACACACTGACACTCACTCTCACAGATACTCACACACAAACACACAGACACTCATTCTCACAGACACACACTCACACACAGACACTCATTCTCACAGACACTCACACACTGACACAGATACTCACACACAGACACTCACACACTGACACTAACACACTCAAACACAGACACTCACACACTGACACTCACACACTGACACTCACTCTTACAGACACTCACACAGACACTCACTCACACACAGACACTTACACACTGACACAGATACTCATACAGATACTCACACACAGACACTCACACGCTGACACTCCCACAGATACTCACACACACAGATACTCACACTCACACACTGACACTCACACACTGACACTCACACACTCACACAGATACTCACACTCACACACTGACACTCACACACTCAAACACAGACACTAACACACTCAAAACAGATACTCACACACAGACACTCACACACTGACACTCACACACTGACACTCTCACAGACACTCACACACACAGACACTCACGCACTCACAGACACTCACACACTGACACAGATACTCACACAGACACTCAGACAACAACAACCGCCATTCGCCACTAAGTGGCGGTGACGTCACCACGACGCTTGTGCCAGGCCATGTGCACCTTGAGGCCACGTGAAGTGTCGAACGCCCGCTGGCAGGAGGTCACGGGGCAGACCCAGGTGCCACGGGTCGACTGACTGAGATGACCGAGATGACTGGCTGATGCACCACCAGTGCCCCCTACTGTACCAACTTGCTGTGCTTTAGCCACCCGGCGCTCCGCTCGTTGCTGTGAGCGTCGCTCCTCCGCCCTCCGTTGTTGTTGGAGGGCGACTGCCTCCAACTACCCAGTAGCGTCCTTCACGAGCCTCCTCCACAGAGACCGATCTTGACACCGCTGGTACCGATCATCGGCAAGTCCACTCAGCTCCACGTCCTCCTGTATCACATCACTCCATCTCTTCTCTAGCCCGTGCCGCGCCCGTTTCTCCCCCTAGATCCGGCCGAAAAAAAGCTGTTTAGGCACGTGTTGACTGGGCATGCGGGCTACATGACTCAGTCAACGCAGCCTTGCCTGCCGGAGGAGCTCACCGATGGGACTTTAAAGGATTTGTAAGCTCTTCACACAATCCAGCCTGGTTAAACCCAGGATGGATTATAGGCAAGCCAGCCTAAATATTTCTAACTGCCGAAGATGTTTCATTAGGGGGGTCTACATTTTGCAAGCGTAGAGAAGGGAGGGAATTACTGTGGCCGAGAAGATCCGAAGCTTCGTGCGGAGCGACAGACCAGGTAGCTTCTACACAGCGTTACGCAACCGATGAAAAGATAATGCCGCTCGATCAGCTCCATGGTAGGTCCTGGTGTCAAGGATATTGGCCTGTGGCTGTTCCGTCACTAGATAGTCCAGCAGATGTTTTTGCTTGGACCCGGCATGCATCCATGATGTTGTGTGGATGTGCCGATGCCAGAACGGCGTGTTGGTAATTACAAGCCCATGGGCTGCACAAAAATCTAGCAGCCTCCTACCTTTGTTATTGAGCTGATCTGGCCCATGCCTTCCAATCACTCCAGACCAGGTTCCAGCATCATGACCAACTCGGGCATTAAAGTCGCCCAACAGGGTGTCTCGAGGGGCAACTTTAGCTAGCACCTGTGACAGGAGGTCATAGAAGGCATCTGACTCATCAGCCTTGCCTGCATCCCTCCAATGATGTTTATCTTCGGTGGGGGCAAAAGTAACCACGACCACCACTCCTTGCCTCTGGTTGATGGGAAGGCGAGCACAAAGTAGCCTGGGGCTAACAGTTTCCCACACCTCACTGCCACGGTCCCACGCTGTCTTCATTTTTTTGTTGAAAAGAAGAGCCACTCCCTGTTGTTTGGCACTCTCCTGCCCCGAGTAGAGGATTGTCCACCCCTCATGGTGGCAGGAACCAGAGCTGCTACACTGGACCTCCTGAATACCACGGAGATCCAGGCAGTACCGGTCAAGCTCCTGACAGAGGAGTGGCAGCCTCTTCTCCGCAGTGAGCATTCGAACATTCCACGTGGCCACCCGCAGTGGCTTTTTGCTGTTTCTGGAGGAATCCCGGGGGTAAGGATTCAATCTCCGGGCTCCGCCAAATGAGGTTTCGCCAGGAGACATCATAGATTCCTGTCCACCCGAGGCCTTAGGCACAAGCTTAGTTAGATATTTTTTTCGTGGTAATTAATTGGATGTGGGGCGATTGACAGCTCCTCGCACCTGTCAGGAGCCCCCTTTGGCTGCTGTGGTGGCTACAAATGCCATGAGAGGAATGGCTAATCGAAATTGGCCCTCCCTCCATGGCACTGCTCACCACAGCGCTGCCGTCCGGCACCAACGAGGAGGGGGGTTGTTTTGCCGGACACACAGCCTATACCACACACAGGCTGTACTACACACAACCTGGAACACACACAGCCTGAATGACATACACACAATAACAACAACCGCCATTCGCCACTGAGTGGCGGTGACGTCACCACGATGCTTGTGCCAGGTTATGTGCACCTTGAGGCCACATTGAAGTGTCAAATGCCCGCTGGCAGGAGGTCACGGGATGGACCCAGGTGCCACGGGTCGACTGACTGAGATGAGTGGCTGATGCACCACCTGTGCCCCCTACTGTGCCAACTTGTTGTGCTTTAGCCACCCGGTGCTCCGCTCGTTGCTGTGAGCGTCGCTCCTCCGCCCTCTGTTGTTGTTGGAGGGCGACTGCCTCCAACTGCCCAGTAGCGTCCTTCACGAGCCTCCTCCACAAAGGTGGATTTTGACACCGCTGGTACCAGTCATCGGCAAGTCCACTCAGCTCCACGTCCTCCTGTACCACATCACTCCATCTCTTCTCGAGCCCGTGCCGCGCCCGTTTAGCCCCCTCGATCCGGCCGAACAAAAGCTGTTTGGGCATGCGATGATTGGGCATGCGGGCTACATGGCCTAGCCAAGGCAGCCTTGCCTGCCGGAGGTGCTCACCGATGGGACTTTGTCCAGATCTTTCGAGGATTTATGAGCTCACGCATTCCAGCCTGGTTAAACCCAGGATTCATTGTAGGCAGGCCAGCCTAAATGTTTCTAACCGGCGAAGATGTTCCATTAGGGGGGTCCACGTTTCGCAAGCGTAGAGAAGGCAGGGAATGACTGTGGCCGAGAAGACCCGAAGCTTCGTGCGGAGCGACAGACCAGGTATCTTCTACACAGCGTTACGCAACCGATGAAAAGATAATGCCACTCGACTGATTCGGAGTGAGACCTCTGCTGTTCAACCGGAGCCGGTCATGAGCACACTGCTCAGGTATGGGAAACTCTCCACTCTCTCCACAACTGCTCCATCACAGATTGGGAGTTGTGGGGGTAGATTGCCCGATGGTACAAAATACCCAGGCAGGTGCTTCGTTTTGGTGGGGCTGATGGTAAGGCCCCACCTCTTAGTGGCACACTCCAGCTTCAGCAGCAGCGCCTCCAACTCCTCCTCTGAGTGAGCTGCAATTACCAGATCGTCGGCATACATAACGTGGTTAACCAATAGGGAGCCATCCCTTGACCGCACCCGGGCATCGATCAGCCTCCCATTGTATCTGTACCAGATGGAAATTCCCCCGGTACAGCTGCTGAAGGCTTCACGAACTCCGTGGTCGAAATAGATGTTAAATAATGTTGGAGCCAGAGGACATCCCTGTTGCACCCCAAGGTGTATAGGGAATGGCTCTGACTCCCGGCCACGTAGTTTTACCCAGGCCTGCTCACCATCATGAAGGTCCTTTATGAGCGTGAGCAGAGGGTCAGGGACTCCAAAACCACAACGAACAACCCAGAGCACAGGCATATTGATGGTATCATAGGCCTTGACGAGGTCAATGAAGCAGAGATGTAGGTCTTGTTGGAATTCCCTACACCTCTGCTGTAGCAGACGGACAGAAAATATGGCTCAATCTTAACTTTGGAGCTTTCGTGACTGCAGGAATTATTCTTTGGTTCTTTCGGTAAAGTCACGTATAAAGAAAAAATAATAAATTAAATAATAGCATACGACGTTTCGATTGCAACACAAGCAATCATCATCAGGTATAGTGAAATAGCGACATAATATCTAACCAGAAAAAATTGTAGACAGACATATAAGCAGACAGATATCACCAAGATACACCGAGCGGGCAACACAGGTTGATGGGAAGGCAAGCCCAAAGTAGCCTAGGGCTTACAGCTTCCCACACCTCACCGCCATGCTCCCATGCCTCCCTGTTGTTTGGCAGTCTCCTGTCCCGAGTAGAGGACTGTCCACCCCTCATGGTGGCAGGAGTCAGAACCGGTCCACCAGACCCCATGAATGCCACAGAGATCCAGGCAGTACCGGTCCAGCTCCCGACAAAGGAGTGGCAGCCTCTCCTCCACAGTGAGCGTTCGAACATTCCACGTGGCCACACGAAGTGGTTTTTGTTTCTGGAGGAGCCCTGAGGGTAAAGATTCAATCTCCTGGCTCCGCCCATTGGGGTTTGGCCAGGAGACGTCATGGTCGCCTGTCTCCCCGGGGCCTCCGGCACAAGCTATTAGTTACATAGTTAATTCGTGGTTTAGTGGTAATGAATTGAAGGTGGAGGGGTTACCAGCCCCTCGCACCCGTCCAGAGCCCCTGTTTAGCCACTGTGGTGGTCACAGACGCCATGAGGGGAGAGGGCCAATGCCCATTGGCCCTCTCCCCACAGTACTGTCCACGACAGAGTTGCCCGTCCGGCACCGCGAGGAGGTAGGGGGTTGTTTTGCCGGAAACACACAGCCTGTATCACACACACACTCACACAGCCTGTACCACACACACACACACAGCCTGTACACACACACACAGAGACCCACATCCTCACCACTGCTCACCGTGCCCCTCCCCCCAGGTGCGGGAGCTCAAGGTGAGGATTGAGGAGGAGCGAGGCAGTGAGGCCTTCCCAGCCGACTCCCAGAAGCTCATCTACGCCGGTACTACCTACTCACCTACCTACTCATCTACCTACTCACATACCTACTCACCTGCTCACCTACCTACTCACCTACCTACTCACCTACTCACCTACCTACTCACCTAGCTACTCACCTGCTCACTTACCTGGTCACCTACCTACTCACCTACCTACTCACCTAGCTACTCACCTGCTCACTTACCTGGTCACCTACCTACTCACCTACCTACTCACCTACCTACTCACCTACCTACTCAACTACCTACTCGCCTACCTACTCACCTGCTCACATAATTGCTTACCTACTGACCTCCCTATTCACTTACTCACTTACCTATTCACCTACTAACCTCCCTATTCACCTACTCACCTATTCACCTACTTACTACCTTCTGCCTACTCACCTACATCCGTACTCACCCACTCGCTTACCCACTCGCTTACCCACTCGCTTATCTACTTACCTCCCTCTGCACCTACGCACCAACCCACCCACTCACCTACCCACTCGCCTGTTCCCCCCTGTTTGCCTCTAGCAGGCTGTTAGTGGCAGGTTCTGTAGTGAGACGCTGGCGGTGAGACACCGGCTCGTACCCTTGACGTGTGCTGTCTGTCTCCCTCTCTCTGTGTGTGACCCCAGGTAAGATTCTGAGCGATGAGTCTGCAGTCTGTGACTACAACATTGACGAGAAGAGCTTCGTGGTCGTCATGGTAACCAAGGTGAGATACCCATAGAAACCGGGGTGAGGTACCCATAGCAACTGGGGTGAGATACCCATAGCAACCAGGGTGAGGTACCCATAGCAACCTGAATGTGGGCCCATTAGCAACCGGGGTGTGGTACCCATAGCAACTGGGGTGAGATACCCATAGCAACCGGGGTGAGGTACCCATAGCAACCAGAATGTGGTCCCATTAGCAACTGGGGTGAGGCACCCATAGCAACCGAGGTGAGATACCCATAGCAACTTGAATGTGGGCCCATTAGCAACCGGGGTGTGGTCCTCATAGCAACCGGGGTGAGGCACCCATAGCAACCGGGGTGAGGTATGGCTAGAAGGTGTCCATGGTGATGTTGACCATGATGTTGATATTGATGGTGATGGTCATGTTGATGTTGATGGTGATGGTCATGTTGATGGTGGTGATGTTGATGGTGGTGATGATGATGTTGATGTCTCCTATTCCCCCTCCCTCCCTTCTCCCCCTCTCTCCTCCCCCCTCAGCCCAAGCCAGCCCCTCCCCCCATCCCCCCGGCCCCCACCGAAGCCCCTCCCCCCATCCCCCCAGCCCCGGCAACCACCCCGGCAACCACCCCCCCGGCCACGCCCACCCCTGGGCCGGCCACGCCAACCACGCCCATACAAGGGCAGGCCACGCCTACCCCGGCCACGCCCACCCCCACCCCGGCCACACCCCCCGCTACCCTCGAAGAAAAAGAGGCAGGGCCCGAAGTGGTGGAGGCCACGCCCACGGGGGAGGGGCCTGGGGTGGGGGAGGCCACGCCCCCAGGGGAGGAGGCCACGCCCCCCGGGGAGGAGGAGCAGGAGGTGGCTGGGAGGTGAGAGCTCATTACTATGCATGCGGACGTGGTCAAGCTTCATTTATGTTCATGAGGGTTGGGCGTGGTCACTTGTTATTCATATTCGTGAGGGTGGGAGTGTTGATGGTGATGTTGATGGCGGTGATGGTGATGTTGATGTCGATGGTGATGTTGATGGTGATGTTGATGGTGGTGATGGTGATGTCGATTGTGATGTTGATGGTGATGTTGATGGTGATGTTTATGGTGATGTTGATGGTGATGTTGATGTCGATGGTGATGTCGATGGTGATGTTGATGGTGGTGATGGTGATGTTGATGGTGATGTTGATGGTGATGTTGATGGTGATGTTTATAGTGGTGATGGTGATGTTGATGGTGATGTTGATGGTGATGTCGATGGTGATGTTCATGGTGATGTTGAGGGTGATGTTGAGGGTGATGTTTATGGTGGTGATGGTGATGTTGATGGTGATAGCGATGGTGATAGCGATGGTGATAGCGATGGTGATGTCGATGGTGATAGCGATCGTGTTTTTGATGGTAATGTTGTTGATGGTGATAGCGATTGTGATGTTGATGGTGATGTTGATGTTGCAGTGATATTGGAAATCAAAACCTGGCAAAGGAGGCTGCATCGGCTCTAGGTAAAATTAATAATACCACCATCATCAACATCATCACCACCATCACCACCACCATCAGCACCACCATCAGCACCACCATCAACATTACCATCAGCACCACCATCAACATTACCATCAACACCACCACCACCATCAACATCACCATCAACACCACAATCATCAAAATCACCATCAACGTCACCATCATCAACGTCACCATCAACAACACCATCATCACAAACATCACCACCATAATCATCATCATCACCACCACCATCACTACTGTCTGTGTGTGTCTCTGGCTCTGCAAGTGTCTCTGTGTATATCTGTGCATCTCAGTGGGTTTCTGTGTATCTCTGTGTGTCTCTGTGTGTCTCTGTGAGTATCTCTGTGTCTCTGTGTGTCTCTCTGAGTATCTCTGTGTGTCTGTGTCTCTGTAAGTGTCTCTGTGTGTCTCTGTGTGTTTGTGAGTCTATCTGTCTATCTGTGTGTGTCTCTGTATCTCTGTGTGTCTGTGTGTCTCTGTGAGTATCTCTGTATGTCTGTGTCTCTGTGGCTCTGTAAGTGTATCTGTGTGTCTCTGTGAGTGTTTCTGTGTATTGCTTTGTGTCTGTGTGTGTCTCTGTGGCTTTGTGAGTGTCTCTGTGTGTCTGTGAGTGTATGTGTGTGTCTGTGTGTCTCCGTGGCTCTGAGTATCTGTGGCTCTGTGAGTATTGCTGTGTATCTCTGTGTGTGTCTCTGTATCTCTGTGTGTCTCTGTGTGTCTGTGAGTGTATGTGTGTGTCTGTGTGTCTCTGTCGCTCTGTGAGTGTCTCTGTGTGTCTGTGTATGTCTCGGCGAGTGTCTGCATTTCTCTGTGTGTCTCGATGTGTCTACATTTGTCTCTCTGTCTCTGCGAGTGTTTGTGTCTCTGCGAGTGTCTGTGTGCCTCCGTGTGGCTCTGTGTGGCTCCGTGTGTCCCCGTGTGTCTCTGCATCTCTGTAAGTGTCTCTGTGTTTCTCTTTGCGAGTGTCTCTGTGTGTCTCTGTGTGTATCTGTGTGTATCTGTGTGTATGTGTGTCTCTGTGTTTCTCTTGGCGAGTGTCTCTGTGTGTGTCTGTGTGTGTCTGTGTGTGTGTCTCTGTGTGTCTCAGTGACTGGCCAGGCCTATGAACAGATGGTACAAGAGATGGTGTCTATGGGATATGAAAGATCCAAAGTCGTGTCTGCTCTGAGGGCAAGCTACAACAACCCAGACAGAGCGGTGGAATACCTGCTTACGGTACTCACTCGCTCATAGACTCACTCACTCATCGACTCGCTCATACACTCACTCGCTCATAGACTCACTCATACACTCACTCGCTCATAGACTCACTCGCTCATAGACTCACTCGCTCATAGACTCACTCATAGACTCACTCGCTCATAGACTCACTCATAGACTCACTCGCTCATAGACTCACTCATACACTCACTCGCTCATAGATTCACTCATAGACTCACTCACTCATAGACTCACTCATACACTCACTCGCTCATAGACTCACTCATAGACTCACTCACTCATAGACTCACTCACTCATAGACTCACTCATAGACTCACTCATAGACTCACTCACTCATAGACTCACTCATACACTCACTCACTCATAGACTCACTCATAGACTCACTCACTCATAGACTCACTCATAGACTCACTCACTCATAGACTCACTCACTCATAGAATCACTCACTCGCTGAGCTTCCCGTCTCTCCCCGAGTCTTCCCGTCTCTCCCCGAGTCTCCCCACATCTCCCCAAGTCTCTCTGCGTCTCCCCAAGTCTCTCTGCGTCTCCCTGTGTCTCCTCATGTCTCCCCGAGTTTCCCCGTCTCTCCCCGAGTCTCCCCGCATCTCCCCAAGTCTCTCTGCGTCTCCCTGTGTCTCCTCATGTCTCCCCGAGTCTCCCCGTCTCTCCCCGAGTCTCCCCGCATCTCCCCAAGTCTCTCTGCGTCTCCCTGTGTCTCCTCATGTCTCCCCGAGACTCCCCGTGACTCCCTGGTTCTCCTCGCGTCCGCAGGGCATCCCAGGTTCTTCGGGATCAGCTCCGGAATCCGTTCATGCTGTGGCTCCGTCTCTTACCGTGGATGTCCCCACGGATCCCACCACCACCTCCTCCACCTCCACTGCCACCACAACCACCTCCTCCTCAACCACCTCCTCAACTCCCTCAACCACCACCACCACCACCTCCTCAACCTCAACGCCTGCAGCAGCAGCAGCAGCTTCACAGCCTTTACCCCAACGGAGACAGAACACAGGTGATGGTGGTGTTAATGTTGATGGTGTTGATAGTGGTGATGGTGATGTGTGTTTGGTGTCTTTGTGTGAGTGGTACAGGCAGTGTGTGTTTGTCCTTGACCCTCTGCTCACGATCATTCAAGATGGTGAGCAGACCCGGATTAAACTACGTGGCCGGGAGTCGGAGCCATTCCCTTTACACCTTGGGGTGCGACAGGGATGTCCTCTGGCTCTCACATTATTTAACATCAATTTTGACCACGTAGTTCGTCAAGCCTTCAATAGCTGTATCGGAGGAATTTCCATTTGGTACAGATACAATGGGAGGCTGATCGATGCCCGGGTGCGGTCAAGGGATGGCTCCCTATTGCTCAACCATGTTATGTATGCCGATGAACTGGTAATTAATGCTCACTCAAAAGAGGAGTTGCACGCGCTGCTGCTGATGGGGCAGTTGTGGAGAGAGTGGAGAGTTTCCCATACCTTGGCAGTGTGCTCATGACTGGCTCCGGTTTAACAGCAGAGGTCTCACTCCGAATCAGTCGAGCAGCAATATCTTTTGATCGGTCGCGCAACGCTGTGTGTAAGCTACCTGGTCTATCGCTCCGCATGAAGCTTCAGGTCTTCTTGGCCACGGTCATTCCCTCCCTTCTCTACGCTTGCGAAACGTGGACCCCCCTAATGGAACATCTTCGCCGGTTAGAAACATTTAGGCTGGCCTGTTTACGATCCATCCTGGGTTTACCCAGGCTGGATTGTGTGAGGAGCTCACAAATCCTTGAAAGATCTGGACAAAGTCCCATCGGTGAGCTCCTCCGGCAGGCAAGGATGCATTGGCTGGGTCATGTAGCCCGCATGCCCAGCCACCGCATACCTAAACAGCTTTTGTTCGGCCGGATCGAGGGGGCTAAACGGGCGCGGCACGGGCTAGAGAAGAGATGGAGTGATGTGGTACAGGAGGACGTGGAGCTGAGTGGACTTGCCGATGACTGGTACCAGCGGTGTCAAGATCGGCCTCTGTGGAGGAGGCTCGTGAAGGACGCTACTGGGCAGTTGGAGGCAGTTGCCCTCCAACAACAACGGAGGGCGGAGGAGCGATGCTCACAACAATGAGCAGAGCGCCGGGTGACTGAAGTATCAGCCAGTCGTCTCAGTCGATCTGTGGCATCTGAGTCTGCCCCGTGACCTCCTGCCAGCGGGCGTTCGACACTTCACATGGCCTCAAAGTGCACATGGCCTGGCACAAGCGTCGTGGTGACGTCAACGCCACTTAGTGGCGAATGGCGGTTGTTGGGTGTGTTACACGCTGTGTGTGGTACAGGCTCTATGTAGGGAATTCCAACAGGACCTACATCTCTACTTTATTGACCTGGTCAAGGCCTATGATACCATCAGTAGATCTGGGCTCTGGGTTGTTCTTCGTTCTTTCACAGTCCCTGGCTCTGCTCACAATCATTAAGGACCTTCATGATGGTAGGCAGGGCTGGGTAAAATTACGTTACCGGGAGTCGTAGTCATTTCCTGTTCACCTTTGGGTGTGACAGGGATGTCCTCTGGCTCCCACATTATTTAACATCTATTTCAACCACGTTCGTGAAGCCTATGTCTGTACCAGTAAAATTTCCATCTGGTACAGGTACAATTGGAGGCTGATCGATGCCCGGGTGCGGTCAAGGGATTGCTCCCTATTGGTCAGCCACGCTGATTGTATGCTGATCATCTTGTGATTGCTGCATTGGAGGCTCTGCTGCTGATCCTGGAGCGTGCCACTAAGAGGCATTCCTACAATCCATTCTGGGTTTAAACAGGCTGGATTGTGTGAGGAGCCCACAAATCCTTGAAATATCTGGACACATTCCCATTATTGAGCTGCTCCGGCAGGCAAGGCTGCGTTGGCTGGGTTATGTAGCCTGCATGCCCAGCCACCGCATGCCCAAGCAGTTTTTGTTCGGCCGGATCGAGGGGGCTAAACGGGCATGGCACGGGCTAGAGAAGAGATGGAGTGATGTGGTACAGGAGGACGTGGAGCTGAGTGTTCTTGCCAACGACTGGTACCAGCGGTGTCAAGATCGGCCTCTGTGGAGGAGGCTGGTGAAGGATGCTACTGGAAAGTTGGAGGCAGTCGCCCTTCAGCAACAACGGAGGGCAGATGAGCGACACAATAATGAGCAGGGCGCCGGGCGGCTAAAACACAGCAAGTTGGCACAGTAGGGAGCACAGCTGATGCATCTACCAGTCATCTCACTCAGTCAACCCATGGCACATGCAGCGTCTGTCCCGTAATCTCCCGTTACACTTCACGTGATGGTGATGATATCACCATCACTTAGTGGCGAATGGCGGGTATTGGTTGTGGTGGTGATGATAGTGGTGGTGTTGGTGATATTGATGGTGATGTTGATGGTGGTGATGTTGAAGGTGGTGGTGATGGTGGTGTTGACAGTGATGGTGGTGGTGTTGGTGGTGATGTTGATTTTGGTGGTGGTCATGGTGTCCCACTCCAGCCGCATCGAATCCTCTGGAGTTCCTGCGCTCCCAGCCCCAGTTTCAGCAGATGAGGGTGGTTCTGCAGCAGAATCCCTCCCTGCTCCCCGCTCTGCTGCAGCAGCTGGGACGGGAAAATCCCCAACTCCTGCAGGTACCCTGCCCCAGTCTCCCCACATCTCTCCGTGTCTCCCCGCACCTCCTCACGTCGCCCCGCGTTTCCCCGAGTTTTCCCGAGTTTTCCCGTGTCTCCCCGTGTCTCCCTGAGTTTCCCCGTGTCTCCCCGCACCTCTCCGCCATAAAGGAGGAGGCTCTAGCTCTGTTGCATGCAAATCAGTTACAATGCCAATGCGTAGATCATCGTCATTTATCTTCTATAGACATACGCTAAGAGACTTTGTTCCTGTAACGCTCTGCCCTCTAATTGGCTGGTTGGTCGTGGTGACGTCACGCGCTGCAACCAATCGGCGCTTTCGACGGGTCTCCTTAACGCAATTTTACTGAGCAACCATCGCACAGGCTGGCTGGCTCCTTGCTGAGCGTTCCGTCACGTAGCACACACGACCCGTGAACGCGGCAAGACGCCCTGCGACGTTATTTGCCACGCACCACCATCATCACTCATTACGAGCGGTCCCCACCTTACGAGCCGGTTCTGTTCCCGAGGCCCGTTCATTGGCCCAACTGATCGTAAGTGGACAACACCCATTGGGCGAAAGCGCCGCCACTTACGACAACGCGGAGAAAACGCATCCCGTGCAAAAACAAACTGCGCCAATAAACAACTTGCAAACGCCTCCTCACACCGACGGAACGAACCGCCCAACTGCGATCCTGTAATGAGTCCTCACGTCACCGCTGGGACTGCGCATGTGTTGAGGGTGTGTGTACGCGCTTGCACGCGTAGTGAGTCCAACTGAGTCATAGACATTGTCTTGGGAGAAACACTTTCACCAACTCAACACAACATAACAACATAACACAACCTACACTTGGGTGTTGAATGCCCATCTAGCCACACTACGGCAGACCAATAGACACGGTTCGCTATCCCGGCCCGGACCACGAGCTGGGTCCCGGACCGCGTGGCTGGAGGCTTCTTCAACCCGCCGTGGATCTTCTTCACCAGCGACACGAAGAACCCCGAGCCCCTCACGGGCCCCCCGTTATGTCGGCCTGGGCTGGGGCTGGCTCCGCCCCTCGCCCCGCCCACCTTCTAGATCTCTCGAGCTCTTTCCCGAAGGCTCCTGAGAGCTCCTTTAGACCACGTGACCGCCCAGCGGCCCCCATCCACCGGTGGCACCCCTCCAATAGCATCCGGTGACGTGTCGGCAGGTCAACCGGCGTATCGTGCCAAAACGTAACCCTGGCTGGCTGACGCTCCCTCTCGCTCCCTCACCGTGAGCCCGCACCGCACACTGTACGTGATGCCTCCGTGCTGACCAGCGCTCACCCAAGCCCCGCTAGGGCTGGTACCACGCCCAGTAAGCGGGCTGCACTTAATGCCAACACAACATCCGCCGTGGCTTCGTAAGCCCGGCACCACACACAGTGACATTCACAGTCACTACATCTGTGTGTGTTTGTGATTTGTGTCTTGTGTGTCAGGAGCGGTAGTGCAACGCTTAGCGCTACCCAGTTCGATTCCCCCTCGCGCCCAACCCCAGTGACGATTATCTGAACTGCTCCTGGGCTTCCCCTAGGTCGATTCAGCCTCAAATGAGTACCTTGTGTGGTGTGTAGTAAACATCGTTATTGGAGAGACAAAGGCGTGGTCCTGGCCACCCACCCCCTCGTGTGCTGTGCCGGCCTTCATTAGGAGCTGCTCGCTAACAGCGCTCGCCCCGACAGTCTGTTAAGGCGATACGGGGGATCTTTGTGTGTGCACGTGTGAAAGTGAGTTTCTGTGTGTGTGTATGTGTGTGTGTATGTGTGTGTCTGTGTGTGTCTATGTGTCTTTGGAACAGACCCCCTTTGTAAAATCCTCACTGAAGTTCCATGGGTTGCTGCTCGTTATTATGATCATCACAGCGCGTGTTTGCATTGTCCTTGTACTGGACACCACTCGGCGTAGTTCTCTGGTCTAACTCTCTCCGCTGTCTCCGCCCGTAGCAAATCTCCCAGCACCAGGAGCAGTTCATCTCCATGCTGAACTCTCCCAGCGACGGGGGCGGCGGTGATGGAGACGATGGCGATGATGGCGATGATGGCGGTGATGGCGATGGACTGGGAGGTGCGGCGGGGAGTGGAGGCGGTGGAGTGAATTACATCCAAGTCACGCCCCAGGAGAAAGCAGCGATAGAGAGGGTAAGAGACTTGCCGGGGAGACTCGGGGATGGTGATGATGCTGATGATGCTGATGATGATGTTGCATACTTGACCTCTCCCTCTAGCTGCGGTGTAGGTCAGGCTACCTGGGTGAGTGATACCTTTACCTCTGTGGAATGGTGTGGTGTGTTGTGGTACGGTGTGGTGTGTGTGGTGTGGTGCGGTGAGCAGCTGAAGGATCTGGGCTTCCCAGAGGGGCTTGTAGTCCAGGCGTACTTCACTCACTCTCTCCCTCCACCTGTGTGTTGTGTGGTGTGTGTGGTGCGGTGTGTGTGTGGTGCGGTGTGTGTGGTGTGGTTGTGTGTGGTATTGTACGGTGTGGTGTGTGTGGTGTGTGCGGTGTGGTGCGGTGAGCAGCTGAAGGATCTGGGCTTCCCAGAGGGGCTCGTAGTCCAGGCGTACTTCGCCTGTGAGAAGAATGAGAACATGGCCGCCAATTTCCTGCTCCAGCAGCAGGGAGATGGGGATGACTAGCGGGGTGCTGAGGGGGGTGCTGAGGGGGGTGCTGGGGGGGTGCTGGGGGGGTGCTGAGGGGGGTGCTGAGGGGGGTGCTGAGGGGGGTGCTGAGGGGGGTGCTGAGGGGATCGAGGGTGGGACTCAGAGCGCTAAGGGTACTTATGGGGGACTGGGGGGCGGAGGAGAGAGGGGGGGGGGGGAGAATTACCCCCTCTAAAGACCCCTACAGAGACCCCTACAGCGACCCCTAAACTCCCCTACAGAGACCCCTACAGAAACCCCTATACTCCCCTACAGAAACCCCTATACTCCCCTACAGAAACCCCTATACTCCCCTACAGAAACCCCTATACTCCCCTACAAGAACCCCTACAGCGACCCCGACAGAAACCCCTATACTCCCCTACATAGACCCCTACAGAGACCCCTACAGCGACCCCGACACAAACCCCTATACTCCCCTACAAGAACCCCTACAGAGACATCTATAGGGGAGCCCTATACTTACTTACAAGGACCCCTAAAGGGACCCCTAAGGACCCCCTAGAGTGATGCCCATGGATGATTTGAGACTCCTAGACCCCTGTAGATCTCAACAGGGACCCCTATGGATAACCCCATCACTGTGGTTACCCTCACTGTGGTTACCATCAACGTGGTTACCATCTCCATGGTTACCATTGACGTGGTTACCATAAGTGTGGTTATGTGTGGGGTCCTTGGATTGTTAATCACCATGACAACCACAACAATAACCACGACAACAAATACCATCACCACAACCACCAAAAACCACAACCACACCAACCACCAAAACTACCGCAGCCGCCACAACAACCACCACAACCACCTAAACCACAAGAACCCACCACCACAACCACGACTACAACCATCCCAACCACAACTACCACCACAACAACTACCACCACAACAACTACCACCACAACCACGAAAACCACCAAAAACACAACCACCACAACCAACAACAACTGACAACCACCACCACAACCATTGATGATGATGGATGTATGAGTAGTAGTGGTTGTGATGGTGGTGATGATAGTGGTAGTAGTGGTGGTTGTAGTTATTGTGGTTGTGATGATGATGATAGTAGTGGTTGTGGTAATAGTGGTTGTGGTAGTAGTGGCTGTCACACTGCATGTTGATTCTCGTGGCTGTGAAGTTCAAAAGATTTTAATAAAAATATTTCACCCCGTGTCTCCCTGGGTCTCTGTGTATCTCTATGGGCCTATGTGTCTCACGGTGTCATTATGGGTCTGTCTCCCTGTGTCTGTGTGTATCTCTGGGTTTCTGTGTATTTCTATGGGTCTCTGTGTATCTCTATGGGTCTCTGTGGGTCTCTATGAGCCTATGTGTCTCACGGTGTTTTTATGGGTCTGTGTGTCTCCCTGTGTCTGTGTGTATCTTCCTGTATCTCTGTGGGTCTCTGTGTATCTTCCTGTCTCTCTATGTGCCTCTGCGTCTCTATGGGCCTCTGTGTAACTCTATGGGTCTCTGTGTATCTCTATGGGTCTCTGGGTCTCTATGGGCCTATGTGTCTCACGATGTTTTTATGGGTTTCTGTGTGTCTCACTGTGTGTGTATCTCTGTGGGTATTTGTATCTTCCTATATCTTTGTGCCTCTGTGTCTCTGTGTAACTCTATGGGTCTCTGTATATCGATCTCTGTATCTATATTGGTCTGTGTGTATCTTTCTTATTGGGTGCAATTGTGAACAGCCATATCAGACATTACTACATCTAATCGGCATATAATCCATGGGTCACTGCAGGACCAAAGTCCCAGCACAACAAGGCGTGTGATGAAGTTAGGAGATTTCCACGTGAGCGGCATTTGAACACCTGAAGACCAGATTCGGTTGATCTCGCCGACAATGCGTTCATCAAGGAGGCAGAGTTCCACATCTGGACAGCAGAGTGAAGACGGGAGCTTCTGTCCAGGGAGCAATATGTGCTGGCGACGTGCGGGGGGATGAGGCGTGACTTAGCAGGGTTGTGCATAGCGGCGTCTTTCATAAGGGGGTGGAAGTGTGGCCTGAAGGTTTGTGGGGGGTGGGGGGGGCAGTGGTTGGTGAGCATTTTGTACCAGGGGACTGTGACAGCAGCGACTTGACGACGGTGATGCAGGCTGGGGATGGTGAGTTGCGTGCTGGCGGTGGATGCGTCGACACCAAATTTTTTTGGCGCCTTCCTCTGGATGTTGTGGAGATGGTTGAGGTGAGTTGGTTGGGCGTTCTGTCCAGCACAAAGAAGAGGCATGCTCCATAACACTGCGCACGTGGGCTTTGTAGCCTGTGGCTTGGCCCTCTGCGTCAAGTTTATTGGCCACAGTGCAACCCAGTTCCTGTCCTGCTCCGAGGGAGATGTTGGTGAGATGTTTTGACCGATGTGAGCTTGCTGTCCTTGACCACAGGCACACTTGAGCAGTGTGGTGGAGGTGTAACGCTGTACACGGCCTGATCCGAAATCATCCGAAGACTCAACAGATCATGTTCAGGCAACAGCCACTCTGTCTAGGATGGGGTTACCAGCGTTTTGTTATACCCCCACTATCTCTATGCGTCTCTGTGTGTCTCTTGAGTCTCTGTGTATCTCTATGAGTCTTTGGGTATCTCCCTGTATCCCTGTGGGTTTCTATGTGTCTGTGTATCTATTTAGGTCTCTGTGTATCTCTGTGTCTGTGTGTCCCTACGAATCTCTGGGTTTCCGTTCCTGTTAACCTCTTAATTATCAGTGCCTACCTTATTACAGACCAATTCAGAACGTATTGCTCACCCTGTGCCCTTATAAATCTCAACGTTCATCTTACAAAGACCCATCACAAGGGAGAAACACAAACAAATATACTTTTTTGGCCCGTATTGAAACGTCTGTACGCCATATGACCTGAAAACTAAATTTCCCTGTACAAAAATATGAATAAACAGTATGGGTTGACAGGTATGGGTTGCTGTGTATCTCTATAGGTCTCTTGTGTATCTACATAGGTACCTCTGTATCTCTATGGGTCTCTATAGTTCTCTATGGGTCTGAGGATTCTGGTTGTTGTAATTACAGGCGAAACGTCACTGTACTCAAATTGTAAATGTAGAAGTGGGTTTACTCTCCAACACACAACCGGTTAGTGCTGTACTAGTAACGAATTGGCATCACGTTTTGTTTACGTGACAAGTCGTGTCGGGTGGTGGCGGGTTTAATGACATTTACATTCAAGCGATCTAACCCAGCAAAACATCTCTTATGGATTATATTGGTCGCGAAGGACTCCTATTCGGTGTTAAACTGCCTTTTAACTATCCCAAGAACAGGAATTGTAAGGGGCGACAAAGTCTTTGCCATTGCAGCACCAACTAACGTTTTGCAACAAGCTTGTTACCCCCCCTGGAACAGCGTCGTGAAGTCTTCCTTCAACAACAAATATCCTGGAAGCAGAAGATCAAGTGCTGGATACCGCAGCCACGTTTTGCAAATGTGACTTGTAACTTGGATCCTTTCCTGCCCATCTAAGTATCGATCGTTCAATGTTAACGTGCCCATCGTCCTGCCTCTACTTACGCACGAGTTAGGTTCCTATGGTCTGTGTTCGTAAGTCCCTACTTTACTCCCGTCGATTTCAAACGTGTTGTACGGCATGTACAGTACTACTATACATGATACACTACTATACTACATTATATACTACTACACTACTATATATTACTACACTACTATATACTATTACTACACTACTATCCTAACTACACTACGATACACACTACACTACTAAATACGACTACACTACTATACACACTACACAATTCAGGGACTCCAACTTTACTCCTGTCGATTCCAAACGTGTTGCATGGCATGTACACTAAACACGGGGAATGGCTTTAATCGTTAAATAATCTCCTGTATATGTAGACGCCACTGGTTCTTCACATTCTGCAGATGTAGATTCCACTAGTTATTCACGTTCTGCAGACGTATATGCCACTGCTTCTTCACTTTCTGCAGAAGTAGGTGCCACTGGTTCTTCATGTTCTGCAGATGTAGATGCCACTGGTTCTTCATGTTCTGCAGATGTAGATGCCACTGGTTCTTCATGTTCTGAAGATGTAGATGCCACTGGTTCTTCATGTTCTGCAGAAGTAGGTGCCACTGGTTCTTCATGTTCTGCAGAAGTAGGTGCCACTGGTTCTTCATGTTCTACAGATGTAGATGCCAACACCGCCATCTATTTCCCGAGGCAGTTGAACTTACGACTCTCGGTCCGAACAGCTGCAACTGGACATTACGGACCAGAGTTTGTTCGTATCTCTGAAAGTTCGTAAGTTGAATGTTCGTAAGTTAATGAGTCCCGTATTGAGGAACTGCTGTTGTTGTATATGGTGTTGTCTTGCTGTGGTCTGGGACTGTTTTTGGGACATTTGCTGCCTTGGCTAAATCTTGAAAAAAATATAATTAGTTTAAGTTTAACATTTAGGCTTTCGCGACCAATATCATCCATAATACCGTTTTTTTGGTTGGGTTAGATCGCGTAAATTAAAATGGTGTGTCATTAAACCCGCTACCACCCGACTCAGCCAATTAGTAACGTTTGTCACGTAAACAAAAAGTGGCAATTCATTACTAGTACAGCACACCGGTGTGTTGGAGAGGAAATCCATAACATTTACAATAATTAGTTTAAACCCAAGATGGATGTTAGGGCAGGCCAGCCTGAATGTTTCAAACCGGCGAAGATGTTCCTTTAGAACACACACTGTATATATACACACACACACAATTTACTCTGTGTAACAAAAAATAACATTTGTCCCTGGGTAGTAAGTGTTATTTTCTAATTGCTGATGCCTCAAAAGTACAGAAAATGGCTATTATTCCCCACAAACTTTGCTTTTGTGACCAGGACAGTGATATTTAGAAATTTACCTATTTTCAATGAGAATTCCAGATAGTCATATTCTTTAGTTCTTTCGGTAAAGTCACATCGATAGAAAAATTATAATAACTGGCAGTCTATCATGTAGACTTATTCTTTGGTTCTTTCGGTAATAAAATAAAACAAAAATAACAAAAGCCACGACGTTTCGATCGCAACATAAGTGGTGCGCCCCCCTCACCCTAACGTCATGGTTTTCGTTTTTTATTTTATTTTTGTATATTACCGAAAGAACCAAAGAAAATGTCTACATTATAGACTGCCAGTTATTATTTTTCTATCTACGTGACTTTACCGAAAGAACCAAATAATATAAATTCCTGCAGTCACAAAAGTTTTAAGTAAAAATTCCAGATAGATTCAGTTCTGAGTAAACTTGGAGTAACTTTTAGAACATTCTAGAACTTTCCAGTAATATAAATAGTGGTATAAATACAGGAGCCTTAAGCCCATCGGTTCAGTTTAGTTCCAGCTGCCTAAGTGGATACATTTCTGCATTTTTCTGAGATGACATCAAGAGGCTGCAAGCATCCGGCAGACGCATTTTGCCATGTCTGTGGCTAATTTATCAAGATAAGAGCGAAAAAGTACTCTGTGGAAGCATCTGCTAAGATGTCTGAGGCCTACAAGGCATATTTCGGCATGCCTGTCGGGGATCAAGACAAACCCTGGGGACCTCATTTCACCTGCGAGCAATGCAAACAAACTCTGGAAGGTAAGATGGACAATTGTTGCTCAGAAATGTATGTTATAAAATTTGTTTAAAAAAGTATTTGTAATAGTTTTTAATTTTTAAATGTTTAACAAATTTCAATGTTATTGAAAAAATACATTATATATGAAAAATGTTGCGAGAATCTCTTCCACATTAGTCATCGGTGAAATAAATGTATCTTTGTAGGATGGTACAGAGGGGAAAAGAGAGCCATAAAGTTTGCTATCCCAAGAATTTGGCAGGAACCCACTGACCACTCAAGTAACCGCTACTTCTGCATGGTGGGCCCTTTCAAACGTTGGACTGGCAAGAATGCACATGCTCTCAGGTATTTTAACCTTCCTTCATCCATCGCCCCGGTGCCACACTGCCATGAGCTCCCCATACCCACTCCTCCAGAGAGAGAGCAGCTGTCTTTAGAAGAGAGCAGCAAGTCAGAGAGCGAGGAAGACGACGTAGATCCAGATGACAATTTCAGAGGTGGAGCTGAGGAGAGAAACCCATAATACCCCAACCAAAAAGACCTCAACGACTTGATCAGAAATCTCGGTCTCACCAAGTCCAATCTAGGCTCAAGCAGTGACATTTGTTGGATGCAAGTGTGCAAGTCACAGATCAGAGGAAGCGTCACCAACCTTTTTGTTGCTTCTTCACCCGTCAAGATGGGCTTTGCTTCTGCCACAATGTGACCAGTCTGTTCGAGGCAATCGGAATCGCCTGTAACCAGAATGAGTGGCGCCTCTTAATTGACAACTCATCCAGGAGCCTCTAAGCCGTGCTGCTCCATAATGGTAACAAGTACCCGTCTCTTTCCCTGGCTCATTCGGTGTACCTCAAAGAGGATTACAACAGCATCAAGACCTTGCTTGAAGTATTATGAATATTGCTGGGAGGTCATCGGAGACTTAAAAAAATTAACCCGTAAAAACAAAGTTTTTCACTATAAATCCTTTATATGCGTGGCATCGGTTTCATTTTATTATTCATTTATGTTTTTCTTGAGTAAGCAAGCAAGCAAGCAAATGAAGTTAATATAAAGGATTTAATATAAAGGATTTAAAAATGAAAGATCACCTCTTGACATGCCCCGTATATTCCCGAGGGCACTAGCGTTGACCCGTTTTACCACTTTCAAGAACCTGGCGGCTTCAATTTAACCGCTCTATAAATAGTCTCCATTGTACAGCGTGGGGGCAGGGATTTCATGCCATGTGGTTAGTCAACATTTGCGTCATCATGAAACGGGCGGCTACAGTCCTCTCGTCCTCTGGCTTGAGATGGCTGCCACTTATGGGTCAGATGATTGTCTGCCACAATTAAGCAATTGGTAATTAAATATACTTAAAAAATTCCCTAAACAGTGTAAAATTTTGGAAAAAAATTTTCACGAAAATAAATTGTCACGCACAACGAGTCTGTGTGCAAAATGTCAGCTCGATTGGATCACGGGAAGTGGGTTAAAAAAACGACCGAAAGATTTGCACCGTCGTAAGCAAGCACGCAAGCAAGCAAGTGAACTTAATATAAAGGATTTAAAAATGGTGGCATTCCTGATGGGTCTCCAAGGCGGTTTTACCAAGTTTCCCTGCTATCTTTGCCTTTGGGACAGCAGGACACCAAGGCGCACTACCGCAGGCGGGACTGGCCACAGCGGGCCGAGTTCTCTGTGGGGAAGAACAACGTCAAGTGGGAGCCACTGGTGGACCCCCGGAAGGTGCTGATGCCACCACTGCACATCAAATTGGGCCTTATGAAACAATTTGTCAGAGCTGTAGATAAGGAGTCGATAGCCTTCAAGTACCTTCAAGACTTCTTCCCTAAGCTGTCTGAGGCAAAGGTCAAAGCCGGTGTCTTCGTCGGACCACAGATAAAGAAGATCCTGGAGTGCAATGAATTCCCCAAGAAGCTCACATATAAGGAGACATCGGCTTGGAACAGCTTTGTCGCAGTGGTTCGTGGCTTCCTGGGCAATCACAAGGCCGAAACTGTGGAGCTGGTTGAGACTCTGGTGAAGAACTACGGCACAATGGGCTGTAGGGTGTCCCTCAAAGTCCATATCCTTGATGCTTATCTTGATAAATTCAAGGAGAGCATGGGAGTGTACTCGGAGGAGCAAGGCGAGCGCTTCCACCAGGATAGATTGAGAATAACGAGAACATGATTGGGGGCTGATTCGCGAAGTGATTTACAGTATAATCGTAAATCTCGAAAACTACTAACTTCTAAATCTTTTGTAGTCATTTTTGTATTACTTTAGTATAAATACATGTTAATTTCGATTCATATGTTTTTTTTTCCGACTTTAAGTGAACGAAAAAACACAAATTCGCCCGTTTTCTTATTGAAAATAGGTACATTTTAAAATATCACTGTCCTGGTCACAAAAGCAAAGTTTGTGGGGAATAATAGCCATTTTCTATACTTTTTAGGCATAAGCAATTCAAAGATAACACTTATTACCCAGGGACGAAAATTGTGTTCCATAGTGTTATCCTATAGAATGAATTCGTTTATTATTAACAAGTAAATAATTGACTGCTCGTGAAATATTTCTGCATTAGTCTCATTGTCTCAATTGTGCACTGCTATTGTGTATGTTGTCGGTTGTGGGTTGTTGTTGCCCCTACTGGACATCAGGTTGACAAAGAGCTTCATAGCTTCTCGGATTCCTGCGGGGCCATCCATAAATGACGTCACGCACCTGGGGGGGGGGCAGACATTTGTGACGATGTGTGACGAAAGGGGGACGTTTGAGACGTGACGTCACATCAAAATGCGCAACTTTAAAAAATATATACTTAATTAAATATACTTAAAAAAAAAATTTTCTCTTACAACATCAGAGTGCAGCGGCACATTAAAAACGCACTACAATGACAATAGTTTAAAGCGATTTGAAGCATGTTTAATTTTTTTTGGGGGGGGGAGGGCAGAGCTTTGTGACGTCATTTGATGGGGGGGTCTGACTTTTGTGACGTCGTGTGACGAAGGGGGGGGGGGTCAAAAATCGTCCAAAATCGCGTGACGTCATTTATGGACGGCCCTCTACGTATGAAAGCTGAAGGGGACGCACTTGCAGCTATTGACATTCTCGTCGTTTTCGGCTTAGCGAGGGGAGGGAGTGGGACAGATGAGGGTGAGACACCGACAGAGAGAGACAGAGAGACACAGTGAGTGAGTGGGTGAGAGACAGAGATGGAAACAGAGATAGACAGAGAGAGGCAGAGACAGAGAGAGTGATAGACAGTGAGTGGGTGAGAGACAGACATAGAGATGGAAACAGAGATAGAGAGAGAGAGGCAGAGAGACACAGTGAGTGAGTGGATGAGTCAGTGGGTGGGTGAGTGCTACAGATAGACGGAGAGAGACAACAGACAGAGAGAGAGAGCGAGGAACAGAGCGAGAGAGACGGACAGAGACAGAGAGAGACACAGAATGGGTGAGTGAGTGAGTAGGTGAATGGATGAGTGTGCGTCTTTTGTGAGTCTCTGTGTGTATGAGCCTGTGTGCGAGTCTGGGCAAGATCTGGGCAAAGTTCTATCGGTGAGCTGGGGGGGGGGGGGTCAGACATTTGTGACGATGGGGGTTGAGAAATGTGACGTCACATCAAAATGCACAACTTTAAATGAATATAGACAACACATGCTACTCAATTAAATATACTTTTTTGCTCCTACAACATCAGAGTGCAGCGGCACATTAAATACGCACTACAATGACAATAGTTTAAAGCGTTTGAAGCATGTTTTATATTTTTTTTGGGGGGAGGGGCAGAGCTTTGTGACGTCATATTTGAGGGGGTCCGACTGTTTGTGACGCCGTGTGACGAAGGGGGGGGGGGGGTCAAAAATCGTCCAAAATCGCGTGACGTCATTTATGGACGGCCCCATCGCCTCCTGCAGTCTCAATGAACGTACTCACGAAGATTCTCTTTCTGACATTGAAATATGTGCACACAATACAATTATGGTAATGACAGCACACGACCCACTTCGTGACGTCTTCGCCCCTACAACCCCACTCCATGACGTCATCTCCCCCACACACAAAACCTCACGCGTGACGTCATCCCGCCACACAATCCCCAGGTCGTGACATCATCCTCACACAACCCCACATCGTGACGTCACCCCCACACACACTCCTCTCGTTATGTCATCATCCACAACCCCTCCTCTCGTGCCGTCACGCACCCCCACCCAGCCTGTGACGTCACGCAGCCACGCTCAACCCCGCCCCAGGTGAAACTTTGGTTGGGGTGTGAGTCTCCACTAAGTACCCCCCCCCCCCCCACTGAGTCTCCCTCTGTCTCTGAGTTGCCACCTCTGTCTCTCCCTCTGAGTTCTCCCCCTGCCCCCCCGTGTCTCCCTCTGAGTCTCCCCCTGAGTCTCCCCCGTGTCTCCATCTGTCTCTGAATCTCCCTCCGCGTCTACCCCCGTCTCTGAGTCTCCCCCCGTGTCTCCCTCTGAATCTCTCCCCGTGTCTCCATCTGTCTCTGAGTCTCCCTCCGTGTCTCCCCCCCCGTGTCTCCCACCTGGGACCCCCTGTCCGAGAGGTGAGTTCCGGGGAGAGCCCTCCTCTAGGTCCCCTCGGCCTTAAACGAGACTTACCTGGTCACCTGTGTGTCGGTCGGAGAAACAAAGGCGGCGGCGGCGGCGGCCCCCAGAGCGGCACTTGCTCCAACAGCCCCGCGCGAGCTACCTGGGCGAGGGAGGTGAGCTGCGGCTTTACCTGTGTGGCGTTACACGTGTACAGGTGTGCAGGTGTGAGCCCGTCCCTGGGCCTACCTGGTGCGATGTCGTGTGTCCTGTGTGAGTAGTAAACGTCACTGCCGACGACTCTGTGTGTGTGTGCGACTGTTGCGGTGCTTAGAGCTCTGCTGCTACTCGCTACTAACTACAGCACTTGCCCCGGCAGTCTGTTGCAGGCTGCACGGGGGAGCTTTGTTTTTTTTTTAAACCTTCGTATATGTACAAGTGTGTGTGTACAGGTGTGTGTCCATGTTAGTATGTGTATAGGTGTGTGTGTTCTGTGTACAGGTGTGTGTGTGTGTGGTGTTCTGTGTACAGGTGTGTGTGTGTTGTGTGTACATGTTAGTGTGTACACAGGTGTGTGTGTTCTGTGTACAGGTGAGTGTGTGTGCACTGTTGTGTGTACAGTGTGTGTAAAGGTGTGTGTTGTTGTGTGTACAGGTGTGTGTGTGTTCTGTGTACAGGTGTGTATCTAGGTGTGTGTACATGTTAGTGTGTACACAGGTGTGTGCACTGTTGTGTGTGCAGGTGTGTGTACTGTTGTGTGTACAGGTGTGTGTATAGGTGTGTGTACAGGTGAGTGTGTGTACAGGTGAGTGTGTACACAGGTGTGTGTACAGGTTAGTGTGTGTACAGGTGTGTGTACAGGTGAGTGTGTGCGCTGTTGTGTGTAGAGGTGTGTGTACAGGTGTGTGTACAGGTGAGTGTGTATACTGTTCTGTATACAGGTGTGTGTGTGTACAGGTGAGTGTGTGTGCACTGTTGTGTGTACAGGTTAGTGTGTGTACAGGTGAGTGTGTACACAGGTGTGTGTGGTGTGTGTACTGTTGTGTGTACAGGTGTGTATACTGTTGTGTGTACAGATGAGTGTGTACGCTGTTGTGTGTACAGGTGTGTGTACAGGTAAGTGTGTGCGCTGTTGTGTGTACAGGTTAGTGTGGACAGATTAATGTGTGTGTACAGGCGTGTGCACTGTTGGTGTGTGTACAGATGTGGGTGTGTACAAGTGTGTCTGTATAGAGTGTGTGTATACAGTGTGTGTAGGTGTGTGTGTGTGGGTATACAGTATGTCTGTGCAGGTGTGTATATGTGTTCTAAGGGGGGAGCGGTAGTGTAGTGGTTAGCGCTACGCTGCGCTATGAACCTGGCGATCCGGGTTCGATTCCCGCTCACGGCCAACACCTGTGACGATTATCTAAACCGGTCCTGGGCCTCTCCTAGATCGACTCAGCCTGAAATGAGTACCTGGTGCGGTGTGTAAACATCGCCACTGGGGAGACAAAGGCGGTCGGGCGTGGTGCTGGCCATCCACCCCCTCGTGTACCGTTCCGGCCTTCATAGGTGTTCGCTAACAGCACTTGTCCCTACAGTCTGTTAAGGCTATATGGGAGATCTTTGTTTTTATGTGTTCTAAAGGGACATCTTTGCCGGTTATAAACATTCAAGCTGGCCTGCCTACGTTCCATCCTGGGCTTAACCAGGCTTGGCTTGTGTGAGGAGCTCGCAAATCCTTGATAGATCTGGACACATTCCCATCAGTGAGCTCCTCTGGCAGGTACGGCTGCGTGTGTGTACAGGTGTGTGTGTACAGGTGTGTGTGTATAGGTGAGCGTGTGTGTGTACAGGTGTGTCTGTACAAAGTGTGTGTACATGTGTGTGTATAGGTGAGCGTGTGTGTACAGGTGTGTCTGTACAAAGTGTGTGTGTGTACGATTGTGTGTACAGATGTATGTGTGTGTGTACTGTTGTATGTACAGGTGTGTGTGTACGGCTTCGAGGTGCACATGGCCTGGCACAGGCGTCGTGGTGACGTCACCGCCACTTAGTGGCGAATGGCGGTTGTTGTTGTTGTTGTGTGTGTACAGGTGTGTGTACAGATGTGTGTGTACAGGTGTGTATACAGACGTGTGTGCACAGGTGTGTGTGTTTATAGAGGCGTGTGTGTAAAGGTGTGTCTGTACATGGTTTGTGTGTATGTACAGGGGTATCTGTGCAGAGGGTGTTTGTGTGTACAGGTGTGTGCTGTTATGTGTGTGCGTGTACTGTAGTCGTCTGTACAGGCGTGTGTGTGCAGACAGTTTGTGTGTCTGTACAGGTGTGTATACAGGTGTGTATACAGGTGTGGTGGTGCAGCGGTTAGCGCTACACTGCGCTACAAACCCGGCGACCCGGGTTCGATTCCCGCTCAAGGCCAACACCAGTGACGATTATCTAAACCGTTCATGGGCCTCCCCTAGGTCGTCTCAGCCTCAAGTACCCGGTGTGGTGTGTAAACATCGCCACTGGGGAGACAAAGACGGCTGGGCGTAGTGTTGGCCACCCACTCCCTCGTGTGCCGTGCCGGCCTTCATAGGTGCCGCTCACTAATGCCACTTGCCCCAACAGTCTGTTACAGGCGACACAGAGGGATCTTTGTGTGTGTGTATACGGTGTGCGTGTGTGTGTGTATACGGTGTGCGTGTGTGTGTGTATACGGTGTGAGTGTGTGTGTGTATACGGTGTGAGTGTGTGTGTGTATACGGTGTGCGTGTGTGTGTGTATACGGTGTGCGTGTGTGTGTGTATACGGTGTGAGTGTGTGTGTGTATACGGTGTGCGTGTGTGTGTATACGGTGTGAGTGTATGTGTGTATACGGTGTGAGTGTGTGTGTATACGGTGTGAGCGTATACAGTGTGTGTGTGTGTATACAGTGTGTGTTCTAAAAGAACATCTTCGGTTCGAAACATTCAGGCTGGCCTGCCTATGATCCATCCTGGGTTTAACCAGACTGGATTGTGTGAAGAGCTCGCAAATCCTTGACAAATCTGGACAAAGTCCCATCAGTGAGCCCCTCCGGCAGGCAAGGCTGCGTTGGCTGGGTCATGTAGCCGGAATGCCAACCCACCACCAGTGACGTGCGGTGAGGTCAATGGCTGGGGAAGCTCTGGCGAGTGTCAGATTCACACACTGAGGGGGGCGTGTCCTCACAGAGGGGGGCGTGTCTAACACGCCCCCCTCCGTGAGGCAGATGTGATAGCTGCCTCCCCTGGTGCTTTTTCATTGCAGTTTCATGACGAGACCAGCGAGCGTAAATAGCTTTATACACATACGTGAAATAAGTTACCTGGAGTATGGAAGGCGAGGACATGAAATGAAGGGGTCTACAAACATTACATTGGTCACATACTGAGATGGTAACAGGCACGCGCTTATTGCCTGTGCTCCATCCAGTTACTGAGGGGTTGCGCAATCAGAGGGGAGGCTGAGCTCGCCGCTGCCTCACCTCTCGACTCTCCCTGTATTTGCAGCGGAGCTCCGCAAATTTGGAGATTTTGACTATAAAAATGATTGGAGTCGTACAGAAATGACATTATAACACAGATCAGTGGAAAAATCTTAATATTTATTTCATTTGATTATTCTTTTTTTTTGCTTTTCGTAACAGCTATTTTCATTGGAGTATGACAGGTGCGGCTCTGCCTCTCCCCTGCCTCCCCTGACCGCACGTCCCTGCCCACCACATACCCAAGCAGCTTCTGTTTGGCTGTATAGAGGGGGCTAGAGAAGAGATGGACTGATGCAGTACAGGAGGATGTGGAGCTGAGTGCACTTGCCAATGACTGGTACCAGCGGTGTCAAGATCGGCCTCTGTGGAGGAGGCTCGTGAAGGACGCTACTGGGCAGTTGGAGGCAGTCGCCCTCCAGCAACAACGGAGGGCAGAAGAGCAACGCTCACAACAATGAGCGGAGTGCCGGGCAGCTAAAATACAGCAAGCTGGCAAAGTAGGGGGCATCGGGCAACCCATGGCACCTACTGGGTCTGTCCCGTGACCTCGTGCACCTAACCTGGCACAAGCGCTCTCGTAACATCACCACCACTTAGTGGCGAATGGCGGTTGTTGTTGTTAGGGGAGCGGTAGTGTCGTCATTTACCACGCTGCACTACGAACCTGGCCACCCGAGTTCGAATCCCACTCACAGCTAAAACCAGTGAAAGAGAATATCTGAGTACCTGGTGTGGTGTGTAGTAAATATCACCACTGGGGAGACGAAGGTGGCTGGGCGTGGTGCTGGCCACCCACCCTTTGATGTGCCGTGCCGTCCTTCATAGGCGCTCGCTAATAGCGCTTGCCTCAATAGTCAGTGAAGTATGTACGAGGGATCTGTGTTTTTGTTTCTCTTTGTGTGTCTCACAGGAGTCCAGTCTGGGGAGAGACGATGGCTGAGAAGGATGTGAACGGGTGAGTCTCCCAGAGTCTCCCAGTCTCCCAGAGTCTCCCAGAGTCTCCCAGAGTCTCCCAGCATTTGCCCGAGTCTCCCAGAGTCTCCCAGAGTCTCCCAGAGTCTCCCAGAGTCTCCTCGCATTTGCCCGAGTCTCCCAGAGTCTCCCAGAGTCTCCCTGAGTCTCCTCGCATTTGCCCGAGTCTCCCAGAGTCTCCCAGAGTCTCCCAGAGTCTCCCAGAGTCTCCCAGAGTCTCCCAAAGTCTCCTCGCATTTGCCCGAGTCTCCCAGAGTCTCCCAGAGTCTCCCTGAGTTTCCTCGCATTTGCCCAAGTCTCCCAGAGTCTCCCTGAGTCTCCTCGCATTTGCCCGAGTCTCCCAGAGTCTCCCAGAGTCTCCGCACGTCTCCACACGTCTCCCCGCGTCTCCCCACGCATCTCTCTGCAACTCCATTAGTCTCGGAGACACCCATAGACTCACCACACAGAGACGCAGCTAATCTATGGGTCATTGTGTGGTGAGTATATGGGTTTCTTTATGGTGAGTCTATGGGTCTGTGTGTGAAGAGTCTGTGGGTTTCTGCTTGGTGAGTCTGTGGGTCTCTGCGTGGAGAGTATGTGGCTACCTGGGGGAGCTTTACCTGTGTCTATGTGTACGCGTTGTGGAACACCCATCCTCACCTTCAAAGGTCACGCCTATTTAGACGGAAGCAAAGCTCCCCCGTGTAGCCTCCAACACTGTCGTGAGACGAATATTTCCAACCACCCCACGTACAAATGTTTATTTGAAGCTTTCGCAACTACAGGAATACATACTCTTTGGTTAAATTTCGATTTAAGCTTTCGTGACTGTAGGGATTCATCTTCTTGGTTCTTTCGGTAAAGTCACGTAGAAGGGAAATAATAACATAATAATAAAAACATAATAAAATACAATTCTCAGTGATAATTAGATTTTGATTTTATTATGTTTTATTTTTATTATTGTATTATTTGCCTTCTACGTGACTTTACCGAAAGAACCAAGAAGATACTCTTTGGTTCTTTCGGTAAAGTCACGTAGTTAGAAAAAAAATAAAATGAAAAAAAATAACGACGTTGTGTTGCGATCGAAACGTCGTGATTTGTTTAATTTTATTTTATTTCTAACTACGTGACTTTACCGAAATAACCAAAGAGTATATACGAATGTTTGCGTCGTCGCTTACGAACGTCCATAAGACATTCGTATTTTATTAGCCCATCCGCCTTACGGACGAACTACACTTATGAATGGACCGCTGTTAGATGTGAGTATTCTTAGCCGTCTGACTTACAAGCATTCACACTTACAAACGGATCACGTTACTTGAACCATCCGACTTACGAACATTCGGCCCGTAACTTACGAACCTCCGTAGGACGTTATTACTTTCAACCACGCGACTTAAGGACGTTCGGCTCCTAACTTGCAAAGCGAACACGCGGAATTGTTTTGCTATGCGGAGTGATCCCCTGTATGGTGTAATGAGTCTCTGGCATCGCACCCGAGCCTCATAATTCCCCTTCCGGCTAGCAAGCCGGTGGCAGGATTCCGAGGTTAGTTGAAATAAAACTGATTTTGTTTGTTCTGGTCACGTTGCTTTATTGAACGTCGTATTTACTCCACCATATTGATCACTTTGACATGCTTCTGCGACCACGAGTGTCCAAAATAAAGGTTGTTTTTGTCGGTTAGATTACGTGAATATTAATGCTGCGTCGTTAAACCCGCCACCACCCGACACTGCCAAGTCGTTCAGGGGTTTGTGTCACGTAAACACAACGTGTACAACTGTGTTGGAGAGAAAACCCACGACTACATTACAATGAAGTGTAGTGTATAGTGTAGTGTATAGTGGTGTATCGTGTAGTATATTAGTGTGTAGTGTTTAGTAGTGTAGTGTGGTAGTGTAGTGTATAGTGTAGTGTATAATGTAGTATACTAGTACAGCACTAACCGTTTGTGTGTTGGAGAGTAAACCCACTGGTACATCTACAGTTTGAGTACCTGGTGACGATTAATTGCACGCCTATTCAGCTTATCGTATGTTGATTAACTGTGACTAACCCAACCGGTAACGTGTATCGCATATACTCAGATGAACGTAATGCACGTACGTGTGATGAACTTTCTTGGCACCGTGCGTGGTCAAACCGTGCTCATCGGCGGTGCGGGGACGGACAACAGATGCAAGACAACCATTGCTCTTTGTCACGACTCTGGATAATCGCCTGATGAGGCTGCTGCTTGTTCTTGTTGTCATCACCAGCGACACGTCACCGGCTACTTCAACTCTAAATGTAGCTGTGGGTTTACTCTCAAACACACAAGAACCGGGTAGTTGCTGCACTGGCAACTAATTGCACACGTTGTGTTTGCGTGACACACATCTTTCAACTGACTGGCCGTGTGGGGTGATGGCGGCTTTAATGACACGACATTCATCCTCGAGCAATTTAACCCAACATAACCCCCCTTTATAATTTGGTATGTATTTATCGCAGTATTGCATGCACAGGTGCAATACCACTTCTTGTTTGTGAGTCGAGAAAATGCCTCCCGTTTCTGTCGAGCCGTAGCAAGTTTCATCACAACCACCGTACGTGTATACGGTAGGGCAGTCCTTGACTTATGAACGGGTTACGTTCCGAGATTCGTTCATAAGTGGAATGGCCCTTCATAAGTCGGAACACAGAAATATAACTGTGTTTAAATGCCCGTACGGTCAGTGCTAGGAAATGTGCTGTACTTTTCAACAACAAAAAATGGGTGAGCATTGTTAAACTCGTGAATGAGAAGACGTACGGTGCGTTTGCACGCTCGTAACTCGGATGGTTACAAAATAGTAATGTCTTGTCTTCTTGGTTCTTTCGGTAAAGTCACGTAGAAGGGAAATAATAAAATAATAAAACATAATGAAATAATTCTCACGACGTTTCGGCCACAACGCAAGCAGCCGTCCTCAGGTGAAGAACAGGTCTGTCTTTCCGACAGACCTGGTCTTCACCTGACTTTACCGAAAGAACCAAGAAGATGAATCCCTGCAGTCACGAAAGCTTTAAATCGAAAAGTAATGTCTCGGTTTGCAAGTTACGGGCTGAAGCTTCGTAAGTTGGATGGTTGCGAAAATGAATCTCACGGAAGCTCGTTCGTAAGTGCGGATCGCTTGCTAGTCGGGCGTCCATAAGTGTGGCTCCCGCAAGTGTGGCAAGTGTGGCGTCCGTACGTCGGGAATTCGTAAGTCTGGGACCGCTCTGCATTTGTGACCTGAGCCCACGCTGCCCTTTGTTGTTGAACCGTGAGGGGTTTCGTAACGCTCACCGTACGCACAATGAACCACCGAGCTGTATGGACAAATCCACTTGCAAACGTTCGCAAGAAGTCGGAGGGGGGGGGGGGGAGCGGTGGCGCAGCGGTTAGCGCGCTTCTGCGCCACGAACCCGGCAGAGACCCGAGTTCGAATCCCGCTCAAGGCCATCACTCACACTACCAGTGGCAGTAGCGATTCATCTGAACCGGGCCTGGGCCTCCCCTAGTTCAACTCGGCCTCAAATGAGTACCCGGTGCGGCGTTTAGTAAACATCGCCCCTGGAAAGACAAAGGCGGCCAAGCGTGGTGCCAACCACCCGCCCCTTCATGTGCCGTTGCCACTCTTCATAGGTGCACGCTAACAGCACTTGCTCCAGCAGTCTGTTAGGGCTACACGGGGACCTTTGTCTTTGTATCTCTGTCTGTCTGTGTCTCGATATATCTGTGTGTATGTCTATCTCTGTGTCTCTGTGGATCTCTGTGTGTTTCTTGATAGGTCTCCTCTGTGTCTGTGTCTCTTTGGATGTCTATGGATGTCCATGGGTCTCTGTGTTTCACTGTGTTTTTCTCTGGGTCTATGTGTATCTCTGTGGGTCTCTGTATGTTTCTGTGTCGCTGTTTGTCTCTGTGTGTCTCTGGGTCTCTATGGGTATGTCTATCTCTATGGGTCTCTGTGTATCGCTATGGGTCTCTGTATGTTTCTGGGTCGCTGTGTGTCTCTGGGTCTCTATGGGTCTATGGGTATATCTATGGGTCCCTGTGTATCTCTGTGGGTCTTTATGTTTCTGGGTCGCTGGGTATCTCTATGGGTCTATGTGTGTCTCTATGGGTCTATGTGTATCTATATGGGTCTATGGGTATTTCTATGGGTCTATGTGTATCTCTATGGGTCTATGTGTGTGTCTATGGGTCTTTGTGTGTCTCTATGGGTCTGTGTATCTCTATGGGTCTCTGTATCTCAAAGGCACTACCGACTGCTACGCCACTGCTCCCAGCAGACACACACAGTGTGCTAATCGCTGTGCCACCACTCCCCACAAAGACAGACACATATCCCCCATACAGCCTCATCAGGCTGTTGGGACAAGTGCTGTTAGCGAGTAGCACCTATGAAGGCCGGCACGGTACACGAGGGGGTGGGTGACCAGCACAACAACGCCCGACCGCCTTTGTCTCCCCAGTGGCGATGTTTACACACCCGCATAAATAACTAATTTGAGGCTGAGTCGACCTAGGGGAGGCCCAGGACCGGTTCAGATAATCGCCATCGGTGTTGGCCGTGAGCGGGAAGCGAACTTGGTTCGCCGGGGTTCGTTGGGCAGCGTGGCGCCAACCGCTACGCACATGCAAAGTGACACACAGTCACCCAGTGCGCTAATCACTGCTCCACCACTCACTGGCCGGTTTTTCCGGTCCAACTCGAATTCTCAGTGACTCACCCCGTGATGTCACACAGCCTCACCCACTCACTGACTCACCCACTCACCCGGTCACTCATTCACTCACCCAATGACTGACTCACCCAGCCACTCACGCATTCACCCACTGACTCGCCCACTCACTCACCCACTCACTCACTAGCCCACTCACTCACCCAGCCACTCTTTCACCAACTCCTTCACCCAATCACTTACCCAGCCACTGACTTAACCAATCACTCACCCGGCCACTCATTCACTCACCCAATCACTCATAGACTCACCCACTCACGCATTCACCCACTGATTCGCCCACTCACTCACTCGCCCACTCACTCACCGAGCCATTCTTTTACCAACTCCTTCACCCAGCCACTCACCCACCCACTGACTTAACCAATCACTCACCCAGGCACTCATTCACTCACCCAATCATTGACTCGCCCAGCAGACTCACTCAATCACTCACTCACACAGTCACTCACCCACCCACTGACTCACCCACTCACTTACCCAGCCACTCACCCACCCACTTACCCACCCACCCACTGAATCACTCACCCACCCACTCATTCACCTACTCACTCACTAGCTCGCTTTGCTTTGTATCTCTATGAGTCTCTGAATGTTCCCCATGTCTCTCCGTGTCTCCGAGTGTCTCTCCGTGTCTCTGAGTGTCTCTTTGTGTCTCTTTGTGTCTCCCCTAGGCCTCCCGTGTCTCTGAGCGAGTCGACGCGTCTCTGCTCTGAGGCACTGGACCTCTTCTTCAGCAACCACTTCACAGAGGCAGCAGATGCACTGAAACCCAGGTCAGTGTCATGGCCTGGTAACCCGGTAACCCAATAAACCATAGATTCAGAGTACTGCCAATAGACTCAACACTGCACCATAGACTCAGCACTGCACCATAGACTCAGCACTGCCCATAGACTCAACACTGCACCATAGACTCAGCACTGCACCATACTCAACACTGCCCATAGACTCAGCACTGTCCATAGACTCAACACTGCACCATAGACGTGTAGTGGTGTTAACTACTCGCTGTTCGCAAACTGAGAGAGCGGATCGTAAACAAGGTTTTCCCGCTCAATCAAACGGTCAGGGTCAAATGGGGGAGGTAGGATCCAAACGCCAGATTGGGAAGGACCAATCGGAGGGTTCCGCAAGGTGGCCGGGGATTGGACAACCCGGCCACGGACAGGTATAAAAGCCAGAGCGCTGAGAGCTCTTGGCCAGTTCTGCTACACGAAGACCCAAGTCGGCCGAAGACATCTAGGACCCTGGACCAAGCCCTCCCAGCCCTTATCAGGGCTAGGGCTCAGTGTAACCAGTGGTCGGGGAGAGATCCCCTAGGTCCAGCCAGAGGACGCTGGGATAGCAGGGAGATTAGATAGCCTGCAAGGTCCGGAGGCTGCACCTCCTCAGGGTAACAGGTGAGGAGACCATATACCCCTTTGTGTGATAGGGACTGTATTAAGACAATAAACAGTGTGTGCCATAAAGAAGTTTAGAAGTCCGTCTTTTACAACACTACAGACTCAACACTGCACCATAGACTCAGCACTGCACCATAGACTCAACACTGCACCATAGACTCAACACTGCACCATAGACTCAACACTGCCCATAAACTCAACACTTCCCAACGACTCAGCAATGCCCATTGGCTAAAACTGGCCTGTGTGTGTGTATGTCCCCGTGTGTCTCAGTGTCTCCACCAGTATGTACCATGCCCTGGTCTTTGGCACCATCACCAACATGCAGGCCATGTTGACGTTTGACCCGGTCAACATGGATTCTGCCAACCGGGCCCTGAAGCAAGCACTGGATGTGTGTGCAAGGTCAGAGTCTCCCTGAATCTCCCTGCTTCTTCTCGCGTCTCCCCAAGTCTCCCTGTGTCGCTTTGCATCTCCCCAAGTCTCCCTGTGTCTCTTTGTATCTCCCCGAGTCTACCCGAGTCTCCCCGCGTCTCCCCGCATCTCCCTGAGTTTCCCCAAGCCTCCCCGCCTCTCCCCGAGTCTCACTGCGGCTTTCCGTGTCTCCCCGCATCTCCCCGCGTCTCCCCGCGTCCCCCCGCGTCCCCCCGCGTCTCCCCGAGTTGGCTGGTTCCTCTTCCCGTTTCAGGTTCCGCAGAAAGAGCTCCGTGGTTGACTCCATCTCCAGCCTCGTCTCCCGGACAGACGAGCAGCTCACAGAGGGTGAGAGACACTCTGAGATGGGGACACGGTGACACATAAGGCTACGGAGACATGGGGACACAGAGATACCACCCACTCTCCACTCACTCACCCATTACTCACCACTACTCACCACTCTCTCACTACTCACCACCCACTCACTACTACTCACCACCTACTCTCCACTCACTCACTACTCACCACCCACTCACCACTACTCACCACTGCTCACCCATGATGTTTGTCCCACAGAGGAGCTCCATGCCGAGATTTGCTTTGCTGAATGCCTCCTGCAGAAGGCCTGCCTCACATTCATACAGGTAGACTTGCTCACCACATACTCACCACCCCTCACCGCTCACTCACTCACCCACTAATCCACCTACGCACTCGCCCACCACTTTCCACTCTCATCCACTCACTCACCCGTCCACTCACCCACCACTCACTCACTCAATCCCTTAATCATGCACTCTCTAACCCACTCACCCATTCATTCTCCCACCCATCCACTCACTCATCCACCCACTCAATCACTCAGTCACTCAGCCACTCAGTCAGTCAGTCACTCACTCGCTCACTCGCTCACACAATTAGTAACCCGCTCGCTCACGTACTCACTTACCACTCAGCTAATTCACTGGTCTACAGCCAAAATGCTTCAGAAATAAATGTAGTCCAACTTGACTAATTCTGGGTCACTGAGAATGAAAATGATGCTTAAAATTGTTGATTGCCTCTAGTTTTCAAGATATGCTACTGGGTAAGTATGTATGTGTAGTGCTCGACTCGACACGACAGCTTCTTGTCTTTTCTCTTCACTTTATTTCGTGTATTTCGATCAACACTTCTCCATCCAACATCGCTCAACGTTCCTCCAGCTAACACCGATCCACGTTTCTCCTCTGCGCTCTCCGCTCGCTCGCCGTGTTCCGCCGGCCTCACTCGCTCCCCATCACTCCTCCGTCGACTCTCCTCTCCACTCTCTCCACCACAGTTCGGCTACTCTTTATCAGCTCCGCCGTCCCACTCTCGTAACTGCATCAGCTTCACTTCCCACTCTCCAGCCACTTCATACTGGCTTCATCGTCTCGATGCTACTCTACACTTCTTCACTGCTACCCTATACTTCTCCACTGCTACTCTACACTTCTCCACTACTACCCTACACTTTTCCACTGCTACTCTATGCTTCTCCACTGCTACCCTACACTGTTGTTGGCTCTGCTGCTCCGACTCGTCCATCCTCTGTCTCCTCCCAGGTGCGAACTCCCGTCTCCTCCAAAAACCCCTCTCTTTATCCCCGAGCCAATTAATCCCCAATTAATCTGGGGCATCCCCCGCGACACCACTCGCCCCCAGCCCCCGCTGCCACTTGGCATGTTTTTCCAGACATTGCGGCGCCACTCCGCGACAACAACAACGTCTCGGCCAATCAGCGCCCTGCGTCCTTAATTACTCCCTGCCACCTGCTACCATCTTCAGACAGCACGGCCCCACATCCCGACAACAACAATGACCAGCCAATCAGCGCCCCCTGTCCTTATTTGCTCCCACTGTACGCCGCGTGCGCGCACACCGACCTCCGCGCGTGACGCGTACTTTCAGGCACTACATATGTGTAGTAGGTTCAAAGAGACTTGGACGACGTAGTCGGAGGCACACTTATTTATTAACCGTTCCACTCTATACAGGCCAAAGTATACAACACTCGAAGGGGTATTGGCCCCTTCACCCGTCTAACAAGGAGATCCCACAATCTCTATCCCGGCTAGCCTACTCCCAGGTCCTCCACTACAGAGCTATGGGAGGCTAGCTGACCCAGCTCTGGTCAAGCTGGGATTACGGCACCTTGAGTCCCCAGACCGGCTCTTACAAGAACATCGGCTCTGGGCTCTCAGGGCCACGCCACTGGCTTGCCCTGGTCGGTCCTTAGAAGGACGGTGATCCAGGGGAGTCCCAGGGCCTATCTAGCCGGTCTTCCTTCTTCGCTGGTTTAAGCTAAACACTGAACCCCGAGCCCTCCGGCTCACTGCCTTATATAGCAACTCCCCCACCGAGGGGTGGAGCCGTGGGGGATCACAGCGCCGTTTTAGCCCCCCAGGCTAAACGCTGCAGACGTGGATGTAAGCATCCTTCCGCGTGCGGGCATAACCACCCCTGGTGTGTTTGTTCGCCCTCCCGTAACACCTCTACATATGTAGTGAGTCCAACTGAGTTGCAGACGTTGTCTTGGGAGCAACACGTTTTATTGAACTCTTAGCACAACATACTCCAGGCTATTAACACAACATACTCCAGGCTATTAACACAACATACTCCAGGCTATTAACACAACATACTCCAGGCTATTAACACAACATACTCCAGGCTATTAACACAACATACTCCAGGCTATTAACACAACATACTCCAGGCTATTAACACAACATACTCACGGGTGGTGTCACCCAACTGGCCACGCTACGGCGGAATTAGACACGGTTCCGCTATCCTGGTCCGGACCACAAGCTGAGTCCCGGACCGCGTGTCTGGAGGCTTCTTCAAGCTTAACGTGGATTTCCTGCCTTTCCAACAGTAAGAACCCCGAGCCCCTCACAGGGCCCCCCTTATACCGGGCCGGGCTGGGGCTGGCTCCGCCTCTCGCCCCGCCCACCTTCTCGATCTCTCTCGCCTCTTGCCCGAAGGTTCTCGAGAGTTCTTCTCGGACCACGTGACCACCCATTGGCCCCCTCCACCGGTGGTCCCCCTCCAGTATGATCCGGTCACATGACCCCAGGTCAGCCAGAGTATCATGCCCCCAACGTAACCCCAGCTGGCTGACGCTCTCTCAACGGGAGCCCGCACCGCACGCTGTGCGTGGTGTCACCGCGCTTAACCAGCGCTCACCCAAGCCCCCACTAGGGCTGGTACTACACCTCGTGTCCGGGGTGTACACACAACAGTAGACATCCCATTGTGGCCTCGCAAGCCCAGCACCACACAGCGACAATCCCAGTCACTACATATACGACCCTTGACTTGGGAATGGCGATGGATAAGTGAGTTCATCTTTTTGGTTCTTTCGGTAAAGTCACGTAGAAGGGAAATAATAAAATAATAAAAATAAAACATAATAAAATACAATATACATAATAACATGATAAATACAATCTTTTTTTATTTTATTATTTCCCTTCTATGTGACTTTACCGAAAGAACCAAGAAGATGAATCCCTGCAGTCACGAAAGCTTTAAATCGAAAGATAAGTGAGTTATCAAGGGAAGGGATCTATGAATAAATCTATGACTGGGTTTGGACAGTACTTGCTTTTTGAGCAAAACAATAAATGATGCAATCTGAACTTCGTATTGCATCATACATGATATGAATTGCATCATGTTATTCCTAGAAGTCATGGATGATGCAATTTTCACTTGGCTTAGTCCCTCTGCTGAACAAATCGTCCTATATCAGCTCTAGAAATGATGCAGTGTCATGCTCTCTTATTTGTCAGTGTTTGATTTTGCAAAGGGACACATTTCTGTTTAGCCAAAGTGAGCAGAAATGCCTCATACTTGTGTGAACAAAGCAGATAACTTCTGCTATATTTGTGGTGAAGTGACTTTTTCATCACCAAAGCACAGTATAACCACTACGGTTAAGAAAGCCTATCATCTTTGTTTTGGCTGCAAAATTGGAGATCAGGAAAAAATGTGGGCCCCACACATATGCTGCAACACTTGTGCACAAATCTTTTCTAGTGGTTGAACAGGAAAAGGAAATCTATGCCTTTTGCAGTGCCAAGGATTTGGAAAGAGCCAACAGATCATATCAGCAAATGTTACTTCTGCATGGCACCTCCAGTTGGGAAAGGTGTGTCAAAGAATAAAAAGTGCACTGCATTATCCAAATATTGCAGCAGCTGTAATCCCAGACCCCACGGAGAAGGACTGCCGGTTCCTGATGCCCCAGAATCATTCTCACTTGAGTCAGACGAGGAAGACGAAGAGGATAAAACTTCTGGTCCTGAATCATCAAGGTCACATGACTCACATTTTCTCCCATCCTCCTCCTCTGAACCACACATCATAACACAAGGCGAACTGAAAGACCTGGTCAGGGATTTGGAACTACGCAAGAGTAAGGCAGAGCTGTTGGGCTCCAGGCTGCAGCAGTGGAATCTCCTGGCAGGTGATGTTAGGATTTTCATGTTCCGTGACCATCAAAAGGATCTTGTCCCATTCTTCTTTAGGGAAGGTGATCTTTTGTAGCCTGCAACAACATGGATGGTGTGATGGCAGCCCTCAACATCGTTCATGGTCCAGAGGAGTGGAGACTGTTCATTGATTCATGGAAGATGAGTCTTAAAGCTGTTTTGCTGCATAATGGCAATGTTTTACCATGAATTCAAGTTGGTCATGCAGTCCATATAATGGAAACCTATGACAACATGAAACAACTTTTGAGGCGCATTAGCTATGACCAACATCAGTGGCAGCTTAGTGACGATTTGAAGGCTGTTGCTCTTTTGCTTGGTCTGCAGACTGGATACACAAATTACTGCTATTTTCTCTGCGAATGGGATGGTCGTGCGAGAGATTCCCACTACATCAAGACAGATTGGCCACTCCGACAGTCATAGGAGCCTGGGAGGAAAAGTGTTCAGCATCCACCACTTGTTGAATCGAGGAAGATTTTGTTGCCACCCTTACACCTCAAGCTGGGTCTCATGAAGAACTTTGTCAAAGCGATGGACAAAACACAAGCAGCTTTCAAGTACCTCCGTGGAAAATGTCCAAGGATACGTGAAGCTAAGATAAAGGACGGTGTCTTTGTTGGTCCTCAGATTCTTGAACTTCTTCAAGATGATGCATTTGACAGTGCACTGCGTGGCAAGGAAAAAACGGCATGGAAAGCCTTCCATACTCTTTGGTTCTTTCGGTAAAGTCACGTAGGTATAAAATAAAATTAATCACGACGTTTCCAGTTAGTCGCAACACATTTTATCGGAAAAAATAACTACATGGAGTTGGTGGAAAACCTCCTCAAGGCATACAAAAGCCTTGGTTGCAACATGTCACTAAAGATACGCATTTTGCACTCTCATCTAGATTTTTTCCCACTGAACTGTGGAGCAGTAAGCGACGAGCATGGCGAGCGATGTTACCAGGACATTGCGACAATGTAAAACGCTATCAGGGCAAATGGAGCCCATCAATGCTTGCAGATTATTTCTGGACAGTGACAAGAGATGCTCCATTTAATGAATACAAGAAACAAGCCAAGAAGCGCCGAGTAGACACTGAATAAGGACTAAACTCTGTACTTATATATACATAATAGTTTTTGCCTTTTGTTTCATAATACATTTTATTTATGTAAACCTGTTGCTGATTTTTAAAGTGTTACATGAACAGGACAGGTGACATGTAAGCATGTAAAGCAACGATAAACACATGAAAAGGCCTTGGTTAGTAATTTATGAGTAAAACTCTACTATCTACACAATATACATAGACAAAATGTAAGAACTGAAATATCTTGGGAACAGTAGCCAATCAGTTGTTTTAATTGGCATATTTGAATTAAGCACAAAATCCATAATAAACAGCACATTTAATCTCTCAAGCAGACGACGTCTAAAAAATTGTGTAATCACTCACTTATTCGCTCACCCATTCATTCACCCACCCAACCACTCACCACTCACCCATTCAGTCTCCCACCCATCCACTCACTTACTTAATCACCCACCAACTCACTCAGTCACTCATTCAATCAACCACCCGCTCACTCACCATCTCAGTCACTCAGTCAATCACCTACCGACTCAATCACACACCGACTCACTCACCACTCACTAACTCTATCATCCACTCAATCAACCACCTACCCAATCACTCATCTACCCAATCACTCACTCTTTTACTCATCCACTCAGCCACTCATTCAATCAACCACCCAGTCAGTCATTCACTCACTCAGACAGTCAATCACCCACCCACCCACTCACTCATTCACTCACTATCTCAGTCACTCTCTCAGTCACTCACCCACTCTCCCGCTTGCTCACTCATCCACCTACTTACCACTCACTCACTCAGTCAATTACCCACTTACTCACCCAATCAATCATCTGCTCACCCACTCAGGAATGCATTAATTCACTCCTTCACCCACCCACTCACTCACGAGTGTGGTTATAGTTATTGGTCTGGTTGTTGTGGTAGTGGTGGTGGTAATGGTTTTAGTGGTTATGGATGTGGTGGTTGTGGTTGTAGCGGTTATGGTGATGGGAGTTGTTGTGGTTGAAGTGGTTGTGGTTGTGGATGTTGTGGGGGTTTAATAGTGGTGGTGGTAATGGTGGGGGTTGTTGTTGTGGCAGGTATGGTGGTTGTGGTTGTGGCAGTGGTAATGGTTGTGGTGGTTGTGGTTTTTGTGGTGGTTGTGGTTGCAGGATGAGAATATGATCAACTTCATCAAAGGAGGGATTAAAGTTCGACAGAGCTACAACATTTACAAGTAACACACCACAACCATCACAACCACATCACCATAACCACCACTACCACCACTACCTCCACCACAATCATCCATCCCCTCTCTCCTCACCTGCTCACTCACCCGCTCACTCACACACTCACCCACTCTCTCCCACTCACCTGCTCACTCACTCACCCACCCACTTACCCCCCTCCCTCCCTCCCCAGCTCACCCACTCTTTCTCATCCACTCTTTCTCTCCCACTCACTCACCCGCTCACTCACCCACTCACTCGCCCACTCGCCCACTCACCCGCTCACCCATTCACTCACTCACTCACTCGCTCACTCACTCACTCACTCACTCACCCGCCCACTCACCCATTCACTCGCCCACTCACCCGCTCACCCACCCACTCACTCCCTGTCTCCCTCTCTGCAGGGAATGCCAGCAGATGCTCGCTCTTCCCTGGGTCATGGCTGGAGAAAATGTCTCTGAGTTTGAGGGCGGAGTTCACCTGGGGACTGGAACCTTTAACCTGGTACCATAACCTTGGCGTGGTGTGTCTGTGGAGGAGAGGCTGCCACTCCTCTGTCAGGAGCTGGACCAGTACTGCCTGGATTTCTGCGGTATTCCAGAGATCCGGTGGACCGGCTCTGGCTCCTGCCACCATGAGGGGTGGACAGTTCTCTATTCAGGGCAGGAGACTGTCAAACAACAGGGAGTGGCTCTTATTCTTAACAAAATAATTAAGGGGGTATGGGAGTGTGGCGGTGAGGTGTGGGAAGCTGCAAGTCCCAGGCTACTGTGGGCTCGCCTCCCCATCAACCAGGGGTGAGGGGAATGGTGGTGGTGGTTGCTTATGCCCACCGAAGATGAACATCAGTGGAGGGATGCAGACAAGGCCGATGAGTCTTCTATGACCTCCGCTCAGAGGTGCTAGTTAAATTGGCCCCTCGAGATATAGAGTCATCCTGTTGGGTGAGTTTAATTCCCGAGTTGGTTATGCTGCTGCCACCTGATCTGGAGCGATTGGAAGGCATGGGCCAGAGCAGCTGAATAACAATGGTAGGAAGGAGGTTGATAGACTTTTGTGCAGCCCATTGGCTTGTATTTACCAACGCGCCGTTCTGGCATCGGCGCATCCACACAACATCATGGATGCATGCTGGGTCCAAGCAAGAATAACTGCTGGACTATATAGTGATGGAACAGCAGATGAGGGCCCATGTCCTTGACACCAGGACCTACCGTGGAGCTAAGCTGCCCACTGACCATCGACTTGTTATCTGTAAGATGATGCGCCTGCCATTATTCAAAGAGTCACAGTGGTCTGGTCTCAGCTAGCTGATGACAGTTGCAAGCTAGAATTTCATCATCACTTGCTGCTGGGGTTGGCATCATCTCCCCCTTCTACCTCGCCCGGTATACAGGAGGTCGTGGGTTCAATCCCGATCCTGACGATGCCTGCTTCTGTATATTTGGAATCTGCATCTTTCTCTCTCATCATCATCATCACGGTGGCTAGGAGATGTTCACTACCTCACCTGGTATATAGGAGGTCGTGGGTTCAATCCCGATCCTGACGATGCCTGTTGCTGTATATTTGGAATCTGCATCTCTCTCTCTCATCATCATCACGGTGGCTAGGAGATGTTCACTACCTTACCTGGTATATAGGAGATCATGGGTTCGATCCCGATCCTGACAATGCCTGCTGCTGTATATTTCGACTCTGCATCTCTCACATCATCATCACGATGGGTAGGAGATGTTAACTACCTCACCTGGTATATAGGAGGTCGTAAGTTCGATCCTAATCCTAATGTTTTAGTTTTTCGATGTCAAGGGGAAATGGGTAAGGTTCTGGACTGTGGCTCACCAACTGCTGCTATGGCTGCATCATCCACACAACGTCAAAGATGCACGCCAGGTTCAAGCAAGAACATCTGATGGACTACAGAGTGACGGAACAGCAGATGATGTGGGCCAACGTCCTTGACACCAGGACCTACCTGGTGGAGCTGATGGGGATAGGGGTTGATGATGGTGATGGTGGCGATGGTGCTGATGAACAGCTCCAGTTTGACTTTAGAGGTCTAACTCCGAATTAGTTGGGCGGCATTATATTTTCATCGGCTGCGCAATGCTATGTGGAAGCTACCTGGTCTGTCACTCCGCACGAAGCTTCATGTCTTCTCGGACACAGTCGTGCCCTTCCTTCTCGCTTGTGAAAGTGGACCCCTCTCATGGAACATCTGCGCCGTTTAGAAACATTCAGGCTGGCATGCTCACGATCCATCCTGGGTTAGATCTAGACACAGTTCCATCAGTGAGCTCCGGCAGGCAAGGCTACATTGGCTGGCTCATTGAGCACGCTCGCCCAGCCACCACATGCCCAAGCAGCTTATGTTTAGCCACATAGAGGGGACTAAACAGGCACGACATGGGCTGGAGAAGAGATGGACTAATGCGGTACGGGAGGTTGTGGAGCTGAGTGGACTTGCCGGTGACTGGTACCAGCGGTGTCAAAATCGTCCTTTATGGAGGAGGTTCTGTGAAGGACGCTACTGGGCAGTTGGAGGCAGTCGCCCTCCAGCAACAACAGAGGGCAGAGGAGCGACGCTCACAACAATGAGCGGAGCGCCGAGTGGTTAAAATGCAGTAAGGTGGCACAGTAGGGGGGATCAGCTGGTGCATCTACCGGTCATCTCAGTCAGACGACCCATGGCACCTGGGTCTGTCTCGACACCTCCTGTTAGTGAGCCTTCAACACTTCACATGGCCTCAAATGTGCGCCTGGCCTGGCGCAGGCGCCGTGGTGACGTCACCGTCACTTAGTGGCGAATGGCGGGTATTGGTATTGGATGGTGCTGATGGTGCTGATGGTATTGATGGTGCTGACGGTGCTGACGATGCTAATGGTGGTGATGGTGTTGTAACTTCACAGATTCTGTCCATGGTTCCAACGCGGATTCTGAAGCTCCTCGAATTCATTGGTTTCTCCGGTAACAAGGTGGGTGAGTGGGTGGGTGGGTAACTGATTGGGTGGGTGGGTGAGTAAGTGGGTGGGTGGGTGATTGGGTGACTTGGTGGGTGGTTGAGTGAGTGAGTGGTTGGGTGGGTGGGTGAGGGCATGGGTGGTTGGGTGAGTGCTTGGGTGAATGGTTGGGTGGGTGGGTGGGTGAGTGGTTGGGTGGGTGGGTGGGTGAATGGGTGGGTGGGTGGGTGAGTGGTTGGGTGGGTGGGTGGTTGGGTGAGTGGTTGGTTGATGGGTGAGTACTTGAGTGGGTGGGCAAGTGAGTCAGGTCCGTCTTTGTCTCTCTTCTTTAGGGGGTGCCTGAATTGCATGGAACCAACAGGTTACCATTGCAGGTCCGTGTCTCATCCGTGTCTCCGTGTCTCATCTCCATGTGTCCCTGTGTATCTGACTCTTCCGTGTTTGACTGGGATCTTCGTGTCTCCTTCATATATCATCTGTTTCCATGTCCCTCCCTGTGTCCGCGCACTGGGGAGAGGCTTGCGGAGTCCCAATGCGGTTTCAGACCAGGGCAGTCCTGCACAGATGCCATATTCTCTGTCCGTTTGCTTATTGATCTGGTCAAGGCCTATGATGCCATCAGTAGAACTGGGCTCTGGATTGTTCTTCGTGATTTCGGAGTCTTTGACTCTCTGCTCAAAATCATTAGGGACCTTCATGATGGTGGCCAGGCCCAGGTAAAGCTACGTGGCAGGGGGTCGGAGCCATTCCCTGTTCACCTTGGGGTGGTGCCTACGTTATTAACTCACGCACCCTCCCACCCACCTACTCATCCACTCGCTCACTCACCCACTCACCCACTCACCCACCTACTCACCCACTCACCCGCTCACTCAAACACTCACCTGATCACCTGCTCACCCACTCACCCACTCACCCACTCGCCCACCGCTCACCCGCCCACTCACTCACCTGCCCACCTGCTCGCCCACCTGCTCGCCCACCCGCTCGCCCACCCGCTCGCTCACCCGCTCGCTCACCGGCTCGCTCACCCGCTCGTTCACCCGCTCGCTCACTGGCTCGCTCACTCGCTTGCTCACTTGCTTGCTCACTTGCTTGCGCACTCTCTGTCTAGGAAGTGGCGCTGTCCCAGCTGAGAGAAGGAGCCGTGGGGAAGACCCTCCGCTCGTGTCTGTGTGCAATGGGGCTCCTTTGCTACCACACATTCATCAGCTTCGTCCTCGGTGAGTCCATGGGTTTCTGTGTTGTGAGTCTGTGGGCCTCTGTGTGATGAGTCTATGGGTCTCTGTGTGGTGAGTCTGTGGGTCTCTGTGTGGTGAGTTTATGGGTCTCTGTGTCATGAGTCTATTGGTCTGTGTGGTGAGTCTATGGGTCTGTGTGGTGAGTCTGTGGGTCTGTGTGTGATTAGTCTATGGTCTCTGTGTGCTGAGTCTATGGGTCTATGTGTCATTCGTCTATGGGTCTGTGTGGTGAGTCTATGGGTCTGTGTGGTGAGTCTATGGATATCTGTGTGGTGAGTCTATGGGTCTCTGTGTGATGAGTCTATGGTATCTGTGTGGTGAGTCTATGGGTTTCTGTGTCATGAGTCTATGGGTCTGTTTGGTGAGTCTATGGGTCAGTGTGGTGAGTCTATGGGTATCTGTGTGGTGAGTATGTGGGTCTCTGTGTGGTGAGTCTATGGGTCTCTGTGTCATGAGTCTATGGGTCTGTTTGGTGAGTCTATGGGTCTGTGTGGTGAGTCTATGGGTATCTGTGTGGTGAGTCTGTGGGTCTCTGTGTGGTGAGTCTGTGGGTCTCTGTGTGGTGAGTCTATGGGTCTCTGTGTGATGAGTCTATGGTCTCTGTGTAGTGAGTCTATGGGTCTCTGTGTGATGAGTCTGTGGGCCTCTCAGTCAGTAAAATAATCTCAGGCTGAGTGGACCTAGGGGAGAGCTGGCTAGAGGCTATCTGGATGATCTCTACTATTGCCTTTGTCTCTGCCCAGGCACCGGGGAAGGTGACGTCACAGAAGCAGAGGAGATCCTGAGGCCCTACCTACAGAGATACCCTAATGTGAGGTGCACCTAGCCTGGCACCAATATCACCGACCACTTAACACTGAAGTGGTGATGGTGGTGATGTTGATGGGGGTGATGTTGATGGTGTTGATGGTGGTGATGTTGATGGTGGTGATGTTGATGTTAGTGATGGTGATGTTAGTGATGGTGATGTTAGTGGTGGTGATGTTAGTGATGGTGATGTTAGTGGTGGTGATGTGACTGATGGTGATGTTAGTGATGGTGATGTTAGTGATGGTGATGTTAGTGATGGTGATGTTAGTGGTGGTGATGTTGATGTTAGTGATGGTGATGTGAGTGATGTTGATGTTAGTGATGGTGATGTTGATGTTAGTGATGGTGATGTGAGTGATGTTGATGTTAGTGATGGTGATGTGAGTGATGGTGATGTTAGTGATGGTGATGTTGATGTTAGTGATGGTGCTGTGAGTGATGGTGATGTTAGTGATGGTGATGTTGATGTTAGTGATGGTGATGTGAGTGATGGTGATGTTAGTGATGTAGAGATGGTGATGTTAGTGATGGTGAGATGGTGATGTTAGTGATGTAGTGATGTTGATGTTAGTGATGGTGAGATGGTGATGTTAGTGATGTAGAGATGGTGATGTTAGTGATGTTGATGTTAGTGATGGTGATGTTGCCTGCAGGGAGCTATTTTCCTGTTCTTTGCTGGAAGAATTGAAGAGATCAAAGGGAACATCCCAGAGGTTCCCCCCACTATCTCCCCTCCCCCCCACTACCCCCCCACTAGCCCCCCCCCCACTATCTCCCCTCCCCCACTATCTCCCCTCCCCCCACTACCCCCCCTCCCCCCACTAGCCCCCCCCCCACTATCTCCCCTCCCCCACTATCTCCCCCTCCTCCCACTAGCCCCCCCCCCACTATCTCCCCCCACTGGCCCTCCCCACTATCTACCCCTCTCCCCACAAAGCCCCCCCCACTATCTCCCCCCTCCCCCCACTATCTCCCCCACTATCTCTGCCCACACTATCGTCTATGGGCAGTGCTGAGTCTATGGTGTAGTGTTGAGTCTATGGTGCAGTCTTGAGTCTATGGTGCAGTGTTGAGTTTATGGTGCAGTGTTGAGTTTATGGTGCAGTGTTGAGTCTATGGTGCAGTGCTGAGTCTATGGGCAGTGTTGAGTCTATGGTGCAGTGTTGAGTCTATGGAGCAGTGTTGAGTTTATGGTGCAGTGTTGAGTCTATGGTGCAGTGCTGAGTCTATGGGCAGTGTTGAGTCTATGGTGCAGTGTTGAGTCTATGGGCAGTGTTGAGTCTATGGTGCAGTGCTGAGTCTATGGGCAGTGTTGAGTTTATGGGCAGTGTTGAGTCTATGGTGTAGTGTTGAGTCTAAGGGCAGTGTTGAGTCTATGGGCAGTGTTGAGTCTATGGTGTAGTGTTGAGTCTAAGGGCAGTGTTGAATCTATCGTGCAGTGTTGAGTCTATGGGCAGTGTTGAGTCTATGGTACAGTGTTGAGTCTATGGGCAGTGTTGAGTCTAAGGGCAGTGTTGAGTCTATGGTACAGTGTTGAGTCTATGGTACAGTGTTGAGTCTATGGGCAGTGCTGAGTCTATGGTGCAGTGCTGAGTCTGTGAGTACTGAGTCCATGCTGTGTCCCACCCTCCCTGCCGTGCCCAATAGGCCATGATGAAGCTCCAGGAGTGTGTGAGCTCCCAGTCTCTGTGGCCCCAGTTCCACCACATGTGCTACTGGGAGCTCATGTGGTGCCTCACCTTCCGCATGCAGTGGCTTGAAGCCTTCCACTACGCAGATCTCCTGGCACAGCAGAACAACTGGTCCAGGGTGAGCGCTCACCCCGCTAACCAGCTTTCCCACTCGCTCAGTCACTCGCTCACTCAGTCACTCGCTCGCTCAGTCAATCACTCGCTCAGTCACTCACTCACTCGCTCAGTCACTCACTCACTCACTCACCCACTCAGTCGCTCGCTCAGTCACTCGCTCGCTCGCTCAGTCACTCGCTCACTCGCTCGCTCAGTCAATCACTCGCTCAGTCACCCACTCGCTCGCTCAGTCACTCGCTCGCTCAGTCACTCACTCGCTTGCACAGTGACTCACTCTCTCAGTCAATCACTCGCTCAGTCACTCACTCGCTTGCTCAGTCACTCACTCACTCACTCACCCACTCATTCAGTCAGTCGCTCGCTCAGTCACTCACTCGCTCAGTCACTCGCTCGTTCAGTCACTCACTTGCTCAGTCACTCGCTCACTCAGTCACTCGCTTGCTCAGTCAATCACTCGCTCAGTCACTCACTCACTCGCTCAGTCACTCACTCACTCACCCACTCAGTCGCTCGCTCAGTCACTCGCTCGCTCGCTCAGTCACTCGCTCACTCGCTCACTCAGTCAATCACTCGCTCAGTCACCCACTCGCTCGCTCAGTCACTCGCTCGCTTAGTCACTCACTCGCTCGCTCAGTCACTCACTCTCTCAGTCAATCACTCGCTCAGTCACCCACTCGCTCGTTCAATCACTCGCTCAGTCACTCACTCACTCGCTCAGTCACTCACTCACCCACTCAGTCACTCACTCGCTCAGTCACTCACTCGCTCGCTCAGTTACTCACTCACTCACTCATCCACTCAGTCGGTCAGTCGCTCGCTCAGTCACTCACTCACTCACTCACCCACTCAGTAAGTCACTCGCTCGCTCAATCATTCACTCGCTCAGTCACTCACTCACTCACTCGCTCGCTCACTCACTCACTCACCCACTCAGTCACTCACTCGCTCAGTCAATCACTCGCTCAGTCACTCGCTCGCTCAGTCACTCACTCACTCAGTCAATCACTCGCTCAGTCAATCACTCGCTCACTCACTCACTCAGTCACTCAGTCAGTGAGTCAGTCGCTCGCTCAGTCACTCGATCACCTCACACTCGGTCACTCACCGAGTCACCCTCTCACCCCCTCACCCACCCCTCACCCATAACACCCACCCCTCACCCCTCACCCCCAGGCCACGTACGTGTACATGAAGGCTGCGTTCCTCACCATGGTCTCACCAGCGGAGAAGCGGATGGTGAGGGAGAGTGAGGAGGACTTATACCGGTGGGTGACACAGGGTCACGCGAGGTCACGCGAGGTCACGTGGAGTCATGTGGCGTCACGGGGGCTATGTGGGGTCATGCGTGGGTCAGAGGGTCATGGGGTTAGTGATTGTGGTTGTTGTTGTGGTGGTTGTTGTTGTGGTTGCAGCGGTTGTGGTTGTGGTGATTGTAATGTTTGTTTTTATAATGGTTGTAGTAGTGGTGAGTGTAGTAGTTGTGGTGGTAGGTATGGTGGTATAGTGGTAGTTATGGTAGTTATAGTGGTAGTTGTAGTGGTAGTTATTATGGTACTTGTGGTAGTTATAGTGGTAGTTATGGTAGTTATAGTGGTAGTTATGCTAATTATAGTGCTAGTTATGTTAGTTATAGTGGTGGTTGTGATAGTTATAGTGATAGTTGTAATAGCTATAGTAATAGTTAGTAGTTGTAGTGGTAGTTGTGGTGGTTGTAGTTGTGGTAGTGGTAGTTGTGGTGGTTGTAGTGGTAGTTGTAGTGGTTGTAGTGGTGGTTGTAGTGGTAGTTGTGGTAGTTGTGGTAGTTGTAGTGGTAGTTGTGGTGGTTGTGGCGGTAGTTGAAGTGGTAGTTTTGGTAGTTGTAGTGGTGGTTGTGGTAGTTGTAGTGGTAGTTGTGGTAGTTGTAGTGGTGGTTGTGGTAGTTGTAGTGGTAGTTGTGGTAGTTGTAGTAGTTATAGTGGTAGTTTTGGTAGTTTTGGTAGTTGTAGTGGTAGTTATGGTAGTGGTAGTTGTGGTAGTTGTAGTGGTGGTAGTTGAAGTGGTGGTTCTGGTGGTTGTGCTTGTAGGCAGGTGTCCACGTTGAGGCAGAAGCTGGCTGGGAAGTCTCTGCCCACGGAAAAGTTTGCAGTGCGGAAGGCACGACGCTACCATGGCACTCGGAGTACAAACCGGCTGGTGCTACCCGCTCTGGTGAGGAGTACTCACCACTCATTCACTCACCCACTCACACGTTCACCCATTCACACGCTCACTCACCCATGCACACGCTCACTCACTTACTCACTCACTCACCCGCTCACTCACCCACTCACATGCTCACTCACCCACCCAAATTCTCACTCACCCACTCACACGTTCACTCACTCACACGCTCACTCACCCACCCACATGCTCACTCACCCACCCAAATGCTCACTCACCCACCCAAATGCTCACTCACCCACCCAAATGCTCACTCAGCCACTCACACGTTCACTAACTCACACGCTCACTCACCCACTCACACGCTCACTCACATGCCCACTCTCTCACGCACTCACTCACTCACCCACTCACTCACACGTTCACCCACCCAAATGCTCACTCACACACTCACATGCTCACTCACCCACTCACACGCTCACTCACCCACTCACACGCCCACTCACACGCTCACTCACACACTCACCACTCACTCACCACTCACTCACTCACTTACCCATTCGCTCACTCACCCACTCACTCACCCACTCACACATTCACTCACTCACACGCTCACTCACCCACACGCCCACTCACCCACATGCTCACTAACCCACTAACAACAACAACCGGCAATCACCACAAATTGGCGGTAACATCACCACGACGCTTGTACCAGGCTATGTGCACGTTGAGGCCACGTGAAGTGTCAAACGCCCGCTGGTAGGAGGTCCCCGGGCAGACCCAGGTGCCCCGGGTCGACTGACTGAGATGACTGGCTGATGCACCACCTGTGCCCCCTACTGGGCCAACTTGTTGTGCTTTAGCCACCAAGTGCTCCGCTCATTTTTGTGAGCGTCGCTCCCCCACCCTCCGTTGTTGTTAGAGGGCAACTGCAACAAAATGCCCAATAGCGTCTTTCACGGGCCTCCTCCACAGAGGCCGATCTTGACACCGCTGGTACCAGTCATCAGCAAGTCCACTCAGCTCCACATCCTCCTGTACCACATCACTCCATCTCCCTCTAGCCCGTGCCGTGCTCGTTTAGCCCCCTCTATCCGGCCGAACTAAAGCTGTTTGGGCATGCGGTGATTGGGCATGTGGGCGACATGATTCAGCCAATGCAGCCTTGCCTGCCACAGGAGCTCACCGATGGGACTTTTTCCAGATCTTTCAAGGATTTGTGAGCTCTTCACACAATCCAGCCTGGTTAAACCCAGGATGGATCATAGGCAGGCCAGCCTAAATGTTTCTAACCAGCGAAGATGGTCCATTAGGGGGGTCCACGTTTGTGCAAGTGTAGAGAAAGGAGGGAATGACCATGGTCGAGAAGACCTGAATCTTCGTGCGGAGCGACAGACCAGGTAGCTTCCACACAGCGTTATGCAACCGATGAAAAGATAATGCCGCTCGACTGATTCGGAGTGAGACCTCTGCTGTCAAACCGGAGCCGGTCCTGAGCACACTGCCCAGGTATGGGAAACTCTCCACTCTCTCCACAACTGCCCCATCACCAATTGGGAGTTGTGGGGGTGGAGTGTCCAATGGTACAAAATAACCAGGCAGGTGCTTAGTTTTGGTGGGGCTGATGGTAAGGCGTGGGGCCTTAATGGCAAGCTCCAGGTTCAGCAGCAGCGCCTCCAACTCCTCCTCTGAGTAAGCAGAAATTACCAGATCATCGGCATACGTAACATGGTTGACCAATAGGGAGCCATCCATTGACCACACTCGGGCATCGATCAGCCTCCCATTGTATCTTTACCAGATGGAGATTCCTCCAGTACAGCCATGGAAAGCTTCTCGAACTACGTGATCGAAATAGATGTTAAATAATGTGGGAGCCAGAGGATATCCCTGTCACACCCCAAGGTGAACAGGGAATGGTTCCGTCTCCCGTCCACGTCGTTTTACCCAGGCCCGCTCACCATCATGAAGGTCCTTAATGATCGTGAGCAAAGGGTCAGGGACTCCGAAAGCATGAAGAACTACCCCGAGCCCAGGCCTACTGATGGTATAATAGTCCTTGACCAGGTCAATAAAGCAGAGATGTCGGTCTTGTTGGAATTCCCTACACCTCTGCTGTAGCAGACGGACAGAAAATATTGCATCTGTGCAGGATCGCCCTTTCCTGAAACCGCATTTGGGCTCCGCAAGCTTCTCCTCAGCGTGCCTGGCAAGGCGATGTTGAATAATCCTTGCCAGAACCTTTCCCGGCACACTGAGGAGTGAGATGCCCATGTAGTTGTTACAGTATGTGCGGCCCCCCTTCTTGAAGAGGGGGACCACCAGGGCATCCTTCCAATCCTGCAGAACCTGTCCAGTGGTCCAGACAGTTATTATGATACTCTTTCGTTCTTTCGTTAAAGTCACGTAGGTATGTATTGCATTTTCTACCCACGTGACTTTACCGAATGAACCAAAGAGTATGGATTCCTGCAGTCACAAAAGCGTCAAATATAGTTGTTATGATGTCATGTAGGGCAGTCTGTGCACAAACGCCACCCTCCCTCAGCATTTTGATTGGGAGATCATCTCTGCCTGGAGCCTTTCCTGGTCTCAGACTTTGGATCGCCTTCAGGTCGGAGATTGAATCACCGTTCTTTCCCCTAATGATGGTAATAGGTGTATCGCTGCAAGTAACTTTTTTGATGGAGAGAGTTAAAGAGTGATTTGTGATCGCGGGCCATAGAGGCAGACTCCATATCCTCAGCAACCCGCGACCACCACCCATCATTGCAGCGCCTCACGGCTCTCTGAACCTCCGAGCATAGGCTGCGGTAAGCCTCCTCATTCTCTGACGTGGGATGCTGTAGATGATGAGTGGGCCTGTCGCTTTTCTCAGCCAGCCCGAACACCTCCTCTGTCAGCCAGGATCTCTGGGTAGGTCTGGACTGTGTACCCAAAGCAGCCATTGCAGCTGTATGAGCCACAGTCCTAAACCTCGCTCATTTCCCCTTGATATCAGGAGGAGAAGGGGATGATGCCAACCCCAGCCACAAGTGATGATGAAATTCTCGCTTGCGACTTTCATCAGCTAGCTGTGACCAGGCCACTATTGGTTTGAATGGGGTCCTGGGTGTATACCCACCACCGGAGTGGAAGAATGGCTGGCGCATCTTACAGATGACAAGTCCATGGTCAGTGGGCAGATCAGCTCCACGGTAGGTCCTGGTGTTAAAGCCATGGGCCCGCATCCGCTGTTCCATCACTATGTAGTCCAGCAGATGTTCTTGCTTGGACCCGGGCATGCATCCATGATGTTGTGTGGATGCGCCGATGCCAGAACAGCGTGTTAGTAATTACAAGCCCATGGGCTGCACAAAAGTCGAGCAGCCTCCTACCATTGTTATTGAGCTGATCTGGCCCATGCCTTCCAACAACTCCAGACCAGGTGCCAGCATCATGACCAACTCGGGCATTGAAGTCGCCCAACAAGATGACTCTATCCCGAGGGGCCACTTTAGCTAACACCTGTGACAGGAGGTCATAAAAGGCATCTGACTCATCGGCCTTGCCTGCATCCCTCCATGGATGTTCGTCTTCGGTGGAGGCATAAGTAACCACAACCACCACTCCTCGCCTCTGATGGGAAGGCGAGCCCAAAGTAGCCTGGGGCTTACAGCTTCCCACACCTCACCGACACGCTCCCACACCCCCTTCATTCTTTTGTTCAGAATAAGAGCCACTCCCTGTTGTTTGGCCGTCTCCTGCCCAGAGTAGAGGACTGTCCACCCCTCATGGTGGCAGGAGCCAGAGCCGGTCAACTGGAGCTCCTGAATACCACAGTGATCCAGGCGGTACTGGTCCAGCTCCCGACAGAGGAGTGGCAGCCTCTCCTCCGCAGTGAGCATTCGAACCTTCCACGTGGCCACCAGCAGAGAGATTTTTGTTGTTTCTGGAGGAGCCCCGAGGGTAAAGATTCAATCTCTTGGCTCCGCCAAATTGGGGTTTGGCCAGGAGATGTCATAGACGCCCGTCCCCCCGGGGCCTCCGGGACAAGCTTAATTAGATACTTTGCACGTAGTTTTGTGGTAATTATTTGAAGGTGGAGGGTTTACCAGCCCCTCACATCCATCCAGATTCCCCATTTGGCCGCTGTGGTGATGACAAACGCAGTGAGGGGAATGGCCAATCTAAATTGGACGTCCCCCCTATGGTACTGCTCACCACAGCGTTGCCGGCCGGCACCAACGTTGTTTTTACTGGACTCACATGCTCACTCACACACTCACTCACACGCTCACTCACCCGCTTACTCACACACTCACAACTCACTCACTCACCCACTCGCTCACTCACCAGTCACTCACTAACTCACCACTCACTCACCACGCACTCACCACTCACCACTCACTCATCACTCACAAGTCACTCATCACTCACTCACCCACTCACAGCCTCACCCACTCCCACTCACCTACTAACACTCACCTTCTCCCACTCACCAATTCACCCTCACCCACTCACCTAAACACCCTCATCCTCTCACCCTGGGGCTCACCCTGGGGCTCACCCTGAGGTTCACCCCGGGGCTCGAGCTCACCTGGTGAGGCACATCCTTACCACCACTGTGCCCGCAGGAGATGATGTACATGTGGAACGGCTTCACCATCGTGGGTCGGGAGCCAGCGCTCACCACCAGCATGCTCACCCTCATCACGGACACAGAGGAGTCGCTCACCGGTCAGTTCACCACTCACCCACCCACCCGCCTACTCATTCACTCACCCACTCAATCACTCACTCACCCACTCACCCATCCACTCACTCACTGACCCATTCACTCACTCACTGACCCACCCACTCACTGACCCACCCTTCCACTCACTCACCCACCCACCCACTCACTTACCCACCCACTCACTCACTGACCCATTCACTCACCAACTCACTCACTCATCCACTTGCTCACCTACCCACTCACTCACCATTCACCTATCCACCCACCCACTCACCAAACCACCCACTCACTCACCCACTCACTCACTCACTCACCCACCCACTCACACCCAGCCACTCATTCACTCACCCACCAACTCACTCACTCTCACACACTCATCCACTCACTCAACCACCTACTCACCCACTCACTCAACCACTCACCTACTCAACAGAAACCGCCATTCACCAATGAGTGGTAGTGACATTACCACAGCGCTTGTGCCAGGCTAGGTGCACGTTGAGGCCACGTGAAGTGTTGAACGCCCGCTGGCAGGAGGTCACGGGGCAGACCCAGGTGCCACGGGTCGAATGAGATGACTGGTCGATGCACCACCTGTGCCCCTTACTGTGCCAACTTGCTGTGTTTTAGCCACCCAGCGCTCCTCTTATTGTTGTGAGCGTCGCTCCTCCGCCCTTCGTTGTGACTCGAGGTTGAATGCCTCTAACTGCCCAGTAGCGTACTTCACAAGCCTCCTCCATAGAGGCTGATCTATCTTGACATCGCTGGCACCAGTCATCATCAAGTCCATTCAGCTCCACATCCTTTTGTAACACATCACTCCATCACTTTAGCCCATGTAGTGCCCGTTTGGCCCGTTTGTCTGGCTGAGCAAAAGCTGTTTGGGCATGAAGTGGCTGGGCATGCCAGCTACATGACCCAGCCAACGCAGCCTTGCCTGCCTAAAGAACTCAGCGATGGGACTTTGCCCAGATCTTTCGAGGATTTGTGAGCTCCTCACACAATCCAGCCTGGTTAAATCCAGGATGGATCGTAGGCAGGCCAGCCTAAATGTTTCTAACCAGTAAAGATGTTCCTTTAGGGGGGCCCACGTTTCGCAAGTGTAGAGAAGGGAGGGCATGACCATGGCAGAGAAGACCTGAAGCTTCGTGTGGAGCGACAGACCAGGTAGCTTCCACACATTTTTACACATTCGATGTGAAGATAATGCTGCTCGACTGATTCGGAGTGAGTCTTCTGATGTCAAACCGGAGCTGATCATAAGCACACTGCCCAGATATGAGAAACTCTCCACTCTCTCCACAACTGCTCCATCACCAATTGGAAGTTGTGGGGGTGGATTGTTTGATGGCACAAAATAGCCAGGCAGGTGCTTATTTTTTGGAGGGGCTGATGGTAAGGCCCCACCTCTTAGTGGCACACTCTAGGTTCTGCAGCAGTGCCTCCAACTCCTTCTCTATGTGAGCAGCAATTACCAGATCATCGGCATACGTAACATCATTGACCAATAGGGAGCCATCCCTTAACTGCACCCAAGCATCGATCAGCATCCCATTGTATCTGTACCAGATGGAGATTCCTCCAATACAGCTATTGAAGGCTTCACAAAGTACGTGGTAGAAAAAGATGTACAATAATGTAGGAGCCAAGAGACATCCCTGTCGCACCCCAAGTTGAACAGGGAATGGCTCTGACTCCTGCCCACCATCATGAAGGCCCTTAATGATTGTGAGCAGAGGTTCAGGGACTCCAAAAGCACGAAGAACAAACCAGAGCCCAGGCATATTGATGGTTTAATAGGCCTGGACCAGGTCAATAAAGCAGAGATGTAAGTCATGTTTGAATTCACTATACCTCTGCTGTAGCAGACTGACAGAGAATATGGCATCTGTGCCTCACCGCTTTGGTTTTAAACCACAGTGGTGCTCCATAAGCCTCTCCTCAGCGTGCCTAGCAAGGCGATGTTGAATAATCCATGCCAGGATCTTTCCCGGCACACTGGAGTGAGATGCCTCTGTAGTTGTTACAGTCTGTGTGGTCCCCCTTGTTACAGAGGGCGACCACCAGGGCATCCTTCCAATCCTGCCGAACCCGTCCAGTGATCCAGACAGTTGTTATGACGTCATATTGGGCAGTCTGCACGCAGATGCACCCTCCCTAAGCATTTCGCCTGAGAGATCATCTCTGCCTGGTGCTTTTCCAGTTCTCAGACTCGGGATTGCCTACTGTACTTCCTCAACAGATGGTACTTCAGCCAGCCACTTATAGGGGGTGACTATTTCTTCCAATATTTGAGGCACGGCAGCCCCAGCAGGGTCATCACCACTTTGCCCCATGATGTTTTCTGGGTTGAGGGATTTCCCCTCCCCCACGACCTCACATAAATGCTCAGCAAACCTGAAAACTAGTTCTTAGGGTTAAAAGATCAAATCACCTTTTTCTCACCACCCACTCACTCACACACTCAGACACTGATCAACTCAGCCACCCACTCACTCACCCACTCACCAATCACTCACCCTCTCAATTACCCACCACTCACTTACCACTCACCCACCCACTCACTCGCACACCTAGACACCCATCAACTCAGCCACTCACTCACTCACCCACTCACCAATCACTCACCCTCTCAATTACCCACCACTCACTCACCACTCCCCCACCCACTCACTCGCACACCCAGACACCACCAACACAGCTACCCACTCACTCACCAATCGCTCACCCTCTCAATTACCCACCACTCACCCACCAACTCACTCACACACCGAGACACCCATCAACTCAGCCACCCACTCACTCACCCACTCACCAATCACTCATCCTCTCAATTACCCACCACTCACCCACCCACTCACTCACACACCTAGACACCCATCAACTCAGCCACCCACTCACTCACCCACTCACCAATCACTCACCCTCTCAGTGGTGGTTATTGTGGTTGTGGTAGTAGTGGTTGTGGTTATTGTGGTTGTGGTGGTTTTAGTGGTTGTAATGGTTGTGGTAGTAGTGGTAGTGGTTGTAGTGATAGTGGTAGTTTTGTTGTTGTTGTGGTGGTTGTGGTAGAGGTAGAGGTGGTGATAGTAGTTGTTATTTTTAGTGGTGGTTGTGGTGGTAGCAGTTGTTATTAGTAGTGGTGGTTGTGGTGGTTGTAGTTATTATTCGTAGTGGTGGTTGTGGTGTTTGTAGGTGTATTAGCTGTGGTGTTTGTTGTGGTTATTAGTAGTGGCGGTTGTAGTGGTAGTAGTTGTATTAGTAGTGGTGGTTGTAGTGGTGGTAGTAGTGTTGTAAATACTGACGAATAAACATCTTATGAGGCAACACGTTGTTTATTGTCTTTACTACACAGTCCCTATCACTAAGGGTATATCGGTCCCTTCACCCGATACCTAGGGAGCTACAGCCTCCGAACTATACGGGACCTAACACTGTTAACCCGTTCCCTATCGTCCTCCGGCTGGGACCTAGGGGAGGCTAACTGACCCTAACCTCCTGGTCCGTGGGTCCTGACCACCGACCTCACTGAGCTCCGGCCCTTAGAAGGACTGTGGAGCTTGGGGTCCAGGGTCCTATTCTCCAGCCCGGTCTTCAGTCTTCAGCGTGTAGATAACCGAGCCAGAGCTCTGAGTGCTCTGGCTTATATACTCGTTCGTGGCTTGCTCCGCCCTAGCCACACCCTCTTTCTGGAACACTCTGGGCCATCCTGGAAGGTGACATAATTCCCCCGGTTACCCCCCCCCACACCCGGGGCCTGGGGAATGTGTCCCAGGATCCGTTTACTGGGATCCGCCGTTGGCCCCTTTCTGGCCCATGGACATTTGCCCTGGCGAGGTAATGCCTCTGCCCCCTATTGGCAATAAATGGAACTACAGGCCTGCTGAATGGTGAGTGACAATCACCCCTACAGTTGTATTAGTAGTGGTGGTTGTGGTGGTTGTGATGGTTGTAGTGGCATTAGTAGTGGTGGTTGTAATGGTAGGTAATATTTGTATTAGTAGTGGTGGTTGTGGTTGTAGTAGTTGTATTAATAGTGGTGGTTGTGGTGGTTATTAGTAGTGTTGGTTGTGGTGGTTGTGGTGGTTGTAGTTCTGATTGTGGTTGTGCAGGAGGCGGTGAATATGCAGTGGACGACACCTGTTTGCTACTCCTGCTCAAGGGGGTGTGCCTGAAACATCTCGGACGACTTTCCGAGGCCGAGGAGGCGTTCACACAAATCCACGCTCAGTAAGCAACCACGACCGCAATTATTTTAACTACCATAACTACCACAACCAAAACTACCATAACTACCACTATTACCACTACAACCACCACACACACCACCATAGTGAGTACTCAGCACTGCCCATAGACTCAACACTGCACCATAGACTCCACACTGCCCATAGACTCAACATTACCCCATAGACTCCACACTGCCCATAGACTCAACACTGCCCATAGACTCAACATTACCCCATAGACTCCACACTGTCCATAGACTCAACACTGCCCCATAGACTCAACACTGCCCATAGACTTAGCACTGCCCATAGACTCAGCACTGCCCATAGACTCCACACTACCTATAGGATCAACACTGTACCATATACTCAACACTGCCCATAGACTCAACACTGCCCATAGACTAACACTGCTACCCATAAACTAACGCTGCTCATAGACTAACACTACCCATAGACTAACACTACCCATAGAATAACACTGACCATAGACTCAACACTGCTACCCATTGACTAACACTGTTTCTAATAGGCTAACACTGCTACCCGTTGACTCAGACTGCCCATAGACTCAACACTGCCCATATACTCAACACTGCCCATAGACTAACACTGCTACCCATAAACTAACGCTGCTCATAGAATAACACTGACCATAGACTCAACACTGCTACCCATTGACTAACACTGCTTCTAATAGGCTAACACTGCTACCCGTTGACTAAGACTGCCCATAGACTCAACACTGCCCATAGACTCAACACTGCCCATAGACTAACACTGCCCCCCATAGACTCAACACTGCCTATAGACTAAGACTGCCCATAGACTACCACTGCTCCCCATAGACTAACACTGCTGCCCACCTGTACCCCGTGTGCCAGGGAGAAGCGCCTGCGCCATGATCAATATTTGGCACCTAACGCAATGTTTGAGTTGGGATTCCTCCTCATGGAGCACGGCGGTGATGAGCGGAGATCGGAGGCTCGCAGACTCCTGGAGAACGCCAGGTGAGCTGGGCAGATTTCTCACCACCTCACTCACTGCCATGTCACTCACCCACTCACGCATGCACCCACTCACTCACTCATGGAGCACAGAAGTGGTGAGCGGAGAGCGGAGGCACGGAAACTCCTGGAGAACGTCAGGTGAGCTAGGCCCCTCGCTCACCACCTTGCTCACCACCATGCTCTCACCACCCACTCACCTATTTTCTCACCACTCGCTCACTTGCCCACTCACTCATCCACACTCTCACCCACTCACCCACCCACCCACTCACTCACTAACCAACCCACTCACCCACTCACCCACACACTCACTCACCGAATCACCCACCCACTCATTCTTTCATCCACTCACCCACACACTCACTCACCCATGCACCCATTCACGCACCCACTCATTCTTTCACCCACTCACTCACCCACTCAATCACGCACTCACTCACCCACGTACCCACTCACCCACGTACCCACTCACCCACCCACTCATCCAGTCACCCACCCACTCATTCTTTCACCCACTCACCCACACACTCACTCACCCTCGCACCCAATCACCCACCCACTCACCCACTCACCTACCCCCTCATTATTTCACCCACTCATCGTCATCGTCTGGTTCTTCGCTTGCGAAGATCAGGGAGGAATGTGAGGTCCATGTAGTTAGTTGGCGGCAGGCAGCGCTGGTGGCTGTGCAGGCCGATCCTTGACTTCCACATTTTGTGGCAGGCGATGCAATTTGAACTCCTGACCAGTCTGGGCCTGAGTGGGGGCCTTGTCCGAGGAGCCTGTGTCTGGTGCGAGGATCCACACGCTGAGCATAGGGATTATATAGAATGCTCTTGTGTTCCCTGTGTCTGCATACAGCTGCGTCCTTTCGGCGCAGTCTGTCAACCGGTTCGTTTTATGAGTGACTCTCAGCTTCGTTGGCAAGGTTTTGCATGCAGCGCTGTATGGAGATTTTTGCCGGCTTGGTCATTGGGACGGGTGAGTAATCTGGAATGACGGTGGACCATTTAAATCCGGGAGAGGCGATTCGATTTTCGGATTGTTCTCATCGAACAAATCTTTGTGTTTCCTTGTTTGGTAAGCCAACCACCTCACCAGCTGCGTCGTCGGGTGCTGTTTTGAGATCTTTCCACCGCTGTTCAGGGTCTGCATCCGTGCCCGGTGTCTTGATGCTCACTGAGCCCAGTCTTGAGCTTCTTCTAGAATTTGTCCCTTAACAGGGGGAGTCTTTTCTACTTGGAGCTTCTTGGGGTGAAGACCGATTCTATTTGATTAGTTTTCGGATTTCTTTTGCGTCCTTTCCAGGGCACTTTAAAATTCAAGCCGAAGGCGGCCAGTGAGGGAGGTGAAGGAATGTATGGAGGGACAGGGGCTGGAAATGGAGCAGATCTTGCTGGGGTAGGTAAGGCAGAATAATGTGGAGTGTGATGGTGAGTGAGGGTGTCGATGTTTGCAACGTGGATGAGAGGCAGTGGGATATGGGGCACGTGCGTGAAGTGGTAAAAATGGGCATGGATGAGGGTAGTTGAAGGGTGGTAGGGGCAGAGTGTCTGGTGGCTGGATAGTTGAGCTGATGGAGGAAAACAGCGGAGGTCTGGGGTGAGAGATGTGGTCATGTGCACATAGAAAGTGAGATGCCAGAGCCGGGTCAGGAATTAGGGTGCGTAGGAGGAAGAGGACCGGGGGCTGGGGGAGGCATGGGAACGAACCGGTCAGGGTGAAGGCAACCCTGAGGGCCAATTGAATGGTGAAAAGCGAGTCTTCTCGGGTATTGGTTTGATCCTGAGGGTGACTTTTGTCTGTCATAGCAGCCGACACTCAAGTGTGTGCGTGTAGTATGTCCCCTGTTGGGGTACAAGGATGCAATCCAGTAGAGGCCAGTGCTTGGAGCACGCGGGTGTCTCCACACAGTGTTATAGCTTCCGTTTTATATCCAGAGGTTGTGTTCTCCACAGAGCTCCAGTAGCGTACGACCATTGTCGCTACACTTGCTAATCCCATGCTTTACGAGGGCTCCCCTCCAGAGGTCACGGTTCTGACCGACTCTTGCGTTGACGTCGCCCATCACAATAAGCTTGTTTTTATGGTCACCCCCCACCTCCTCCCCCTGGAGAAGAGTTCTGAGGTCGTGATAAAATAATGCTTCATTGATGTCTTGGTCAGCCTGTGGCCTGTGGAGTTGGTGCATAAACACTGATTATGGTGGCCCAATTGGTTACCCTGAATGTGTAGTCGTAGAGACATCGGGCGGTCTGGATGGCCAATTGGAGGGCCATCGTGTTCTTCATCGTGAGGGCGACGCCTGACAGGCGTCTCCCCTCACTGGCTTTCCCTGACCAGAACAAGGGGATGTAGCCCACCCCATGTTCATTCAGAGGGATCCCTGGTCTGCGAAGCGAACTTCTCTGAGTGCTGCGATGTCTAGTCAGGCGAGCTCCCTTGCCACAGGAGCACCGAGCAGCGTCTTTGTGGTCGGTCGCTTTCATACGATTCTATCGTCGCCGTGCGAAGGTTGCGGCGTGCGTATTTTGACAAGTTTGGTTTCTGTCTGAATCGCATGAAGAGATGGGCTCCGCTGGCCGCGAGTTCGAGCCAACTGGGTGAGTTTGAGCGAAAGATTTGTTTAGGCCACCTTGTTGTTTGGGCCTCTGTTTACATCAGGAGCGAGCAGTTGCTGTACCTAGAAAAAGCTGATAGGGTCGGTCGGGGTGCTGCCGGATGTTGTTGCCTCTGGTCAACGGTCAATCGACCAATACGGACAAGCCGCCTGCATGCAGCTTCAAAGCTGTGGCTGCCAGTGCCATTCTTATACCGCCCGTTTCCGCCTCCCCCCTCTCCTGTCGCCGTTAGGACTTTCCTCTTCCTCCCACCCGCGATGCTATAGTTTGTTTAGAGTGTAGGTCAGCTCGCGCACTCCGGATCCCACTCTTTCGGCTCAGGGTTATCTAACAAGTGGCTCGGCGAGCTAGGGACGGCTATGGTAACCACAGGAGCTGTTGAGGTTTCAATTCCGAGTGGCCTTCTGCTTGGCGAGTTTGCCACACAAAGCTACAGCTCCACCTGGCCAGGATGGGGGGGGGGGGGTACACTGGGAATTCTTTGATCGTACTTATTCTGGGACCTCGACCTTACCACCCGATATCTTTGCTCTCAGGATCATTGGAACACTCAGCGCTTGCCCCAACAGTCTGTTAAGGCTACACGGGGGATCTTGGTAATTGTCTTTGTGTGTCTCTGTGTCACTGTGTGTAGTCACTATGTATGTGTGTGTGTCAGGAGTGTAGCGGTGGTGTAGCGGTTAGCAAGCTGCACTACGAACCTGGCGGCCCGAATTCGATTCCCGCTCACGGCCAACATCAGTGATGATTATCTGAACCATTCCTGGGCCTCCCCTACGTCGACTCAGCCTCAAATGAGTACCTGGTACGGTGCGTAAACATCACGACTGGGGAGACAAAGGCTGCCGGTAGTGGCGCTGGCCACCCACTGCCTTGTGTGCCGTTCCGGCCTTCATAGGTGCTCACTAACAGCACTTGCCCCAACAGTCTGTTAAGGCTATATGGGAGATCTTTGTATTTTTATCACTGTGTGTGTCAATGTGTGTGTGTGTCATTGCGTGCCTCACTGTGTGTGTGTCACTGTGCGTGTATCACTGTGTGTGTGTCACTGTGTGTGTGTCACTGTGTGTGTGTCACTTTGTGTGCGTGTGTCATTCTTCGTGCTTTCGGAGTCCCTCACCCTTTGCTCACGATCATTAAGGACCTTCATGATGGTGAGCGGGCCCGAGTAAAACTACGTGGCCGGGAGTCGGAGCCATTTCCTGTTCACCTTGGGGTGCGACAGGGATGTCCAATGTCTACCACATTATTTAATATCTATTTCGACCGGTAGTTCGTGAAGCCTTCAATAGCTGTACCGGAGAAATTTACATCTGGTACAGATACAATGGGAGGCTAATTGATGCCCGGGTGCGGTCAAGGGATGGCTCCCTATTGCTCAACCATGTTATGTATGCCAATGATCTGGTAATTGCTGCCCATTCAGAGGAGGAGTTGGAGGCACTGCTGCTGAACCTGGAGCTTGCCAATAAGAGGTGGGGCCTTACCATCAGCCCCACCAAAACTAAGCACCTGCCTGGGTATTTTGTACCATCGGACACTCCACCCCTACAACTCCCAATTGGTGATAGGGCAGTTCTGGAGAGAGTGGAGAGTTTCCCATACCTGGGTATTGTGGTCATGACCGGCTCCGGTTTGACATCAGAGGTCTCACTCCGTATAATTCGAGCTGGATTATATTTTCATCAGTTGCATAACGCTGTGTGGAAGCTATCTGATCTGTCACTCCGCACAAAGCTTCAGGTCTTCTCGGCCACAGTCATTCTCTCCCTTCTCTATGCTTGCAAAACGTGGACCCCCCTAATGGAACTTCGCCGGTTAGAAACATTTAGGCTGGCCTGCCTACGATCCATCCTGGGTTTAACCAGGCTGGATTGTGTGAGGAGCTCACAAATCCCATCGGTGAGCTCCTCCCGCAGGCAAGGCTGCGTTGGCTGGGTCATATAGCCTGCATGCCCAGCCACCGCATGCCTAAACAGCTTTTGTTTGGCTGGATCGAGGGGGCTAAACGGGCGCGTCACAGGATAGAGAAGAGATGGAGTGATGTGGTACAGGAGGATGTGCAGCTGAGTGGACTTGTTGATGACTGGTACCAGCGGTGTCAAGATCGGCCTCTGTGGAGGAGGCTCATGAAGTGTGCTACTGTGCAGTTGGAGGCAGTCGTCCTCCAACAACAACAGAGGGTGGAGGAGCGACGCTCACAACAACGAGCGGAGTGCCGGGTGACTAAACCACAGCAAGTTGGCACAGTAGGGGGCACAGGTGGTACATCAGCCAGTCGTCTCAGTCAGTCGACCCGTGGCACCTGGGTCTGCCCCGTGACCTCATGCCAGCGGGCATTCGACACTTCACGTGGCCTCAACGTGCACATAGCCTGGCACAAGCGTCGTGGTGACGTCACCGATACTTAGTGGCGAATGGCTGTTGTTTTTTTTGTGTGTCACTGTGTGTGTGTCACTGTGTCAGGACTAACTACAAGAAGTACTCTCTGGAGTCAAGGCTGCATTTCCGGATCCACGCTGCACTCAACGCCATGAAGCGTCGCGATGAAGGGGATCGGACGTAGTAGCCGTGTCACTGTGTGTGTCACTGTGTGTGTGTCACTGTGTGTCAGTGTGTGTGTCACTGTGTGTGTTTGTCACTGTGTCACTGTGTGTGTGTGTGTCACTGTGTGTGTCACTGTTTCACTGTGTGTCATTGTGTGTGTGTCAGGGGAGCGGTGGTGTAGTGGTTAGCGCTACGCTGCGCTATGAATCAGGCGACCCGGGTTTGATTCCCGCTCACGGCTAACACCAGTGACGATAATCTGAACCGGTCCTGGGCCTCCCCTAGGTCGACTCGGCCTCAAATGAGTACCTGGTGCGGTGTGTAAACATCGCCATTGGGGAGACAAAGGTGGTAGTGCGTGGTGCTGGCTACCCACCCCCTCGTGTACCGTTCCGGCCTTCATAGGTGCTCGCTAACAGCACTTTCCCCTACAGTCTGTTAAGGCTATATGGGGGATCTTTGTATTTGTGTGTCACTGTGTCTGTCACTGTGTGTCACTGTTTGTGTCACTGTGTGCCACTTTATGTGTGTCAGTGGGGAGCGGTGGTGCAGCGCTGCGCTAAGAACCTGGCGACCGGGTTCGATTCTCGCTCACGGCCAACACCAGTGACGATTATCTGAACCGGTCCTGGGCCTCCTTTAGGTCGACTCAGCCTAAAATGAGTACCTTGTGCGGGGTGTGAATATCACCACTAGGGAGACAAAGGCGGCCGTTTTGGCCTTCATAGGTGCCGCTCGCTAACAGCACTTGCCCCTATATCCCGTTAACATAGGCTGGCACAAGCGCCATGGCAACGCTACTTCTCACTTAGTGGTGAATGGCAGTTGTTGTGTGTCACTGCACTACTGTGACACTGTACCACTCTGTTTCACTGTACCACTCTGTGACACTGTACCACTGTAACATTGTACCACTCCTACCCTCTGTACCACCGTGACACTGTATCACTGTACCACTCTGTGACACTGTACCACTGTGACACTGTATCACTGTACGACACTATCACTGTACCACTGCCACTGTGTGACACTACCACTGTGTGCCATTGCTGCCCTCTGTCTGTAGCGCGGGGTGTCACTGCTGGGTCGATAAGTGTGATGTTTACATGGGGTGATCGCGAAATATCGGTTCAGTGACACTGTTTACCGTGGAGATACAATGCGACCGGTATTGATTATCGGTTATTATCGGTTATTGGTTTTGGTTATTGATTATCGGTCATTGATTACGTGTTATCGATGGCGGAGTATTGGTTATTGTTATTGGTAATTGGTTATTGATAACAGATTATCGGTTAAGGTTATCCACTCACCCACTCACTCACCCAACCATTCACTCACTCACCCACCCATTCACTCACCCACCCACCCATTCACCCACCCACCCACCCATTCACCCACCCATTCACCCACCCATTCACCCATTCAACCACCCACCCACCCATTCACCTATTCACCTATTCACCCACCCACCTATTCACCCATTCACCCACTCACCCACCAACCCATTCACCCACTCACCCACCCATTCACCCACCCATTCATCCATTCACCCACCCACCCATTCACCCACCCACCCATTCACCCACCCATTCACCCATTCACCCATTCACCCACCCACCCATTCAACCACCCACCCACCCATTCACCTATTCACCTATTCACCCACCCACCTATTCACCCATTCACCCACCAACCCATTCACCCACTCAGCCACCCATTCACCCACCCATTCACCCACCCATTCACCCACCCATTCACCCATTCAACCACCCACCCACCCATTCACCTATTCACCCACCCACCTATTCACCCATTCACCCACTCACCCACCAACCCATTCACCCACTCACCCACCCATTCACCCACCCATTCATCCATTCACCCACCCACCCATTCACCCATTCACCCACCCACCCACCCATTCACCCATTCAACCACCCACCCACCCATTCACCTATTCACCCACCCACCTATTCACCCATTCACCCACCAACCCATTCACCCACTCACCCACCCATTCACCCACCCATTCACCCACCCATTCACCCACCCACCCATTCACCCACCCACCCATTCACCCATTCACCCACCCATTCACCCATTCACCCACCCACCCACCCATTCACCCATTCACCCACCCATCCACCCATTCACCCACACATTCAACCATTCACCCACCCATTCACCCACCTACCCATTCACCAACCCATTCACCCATTCACCCACCCATTCACCCATTCACCCACCCACTCACCCCCTCACTCACCCATTCACCCACCCACTCACCCCATCACTCACCCATTCACCCACCCACCCCACCACCCACCCACCCACTTATCCCCCCCACCACCCACCCATTCACCCCACTACCCACCCACTCACCCCATCACCCCATCACCCACTCACCCACCCATTCACTCATTCACTCACTCACCCACCCGCCGACTCACCCACTCACCTCATCACTCACCCACTCACCACACTGCACGGTGGAATTTCTAACAGTGCAACCTGCAAAGTTGCAGATGCTCCTAGCGGTTATGGGTCACCGGTTATGGGTTACCGGTTAAGGGTTACCGGTTAATGGTTACCGGTTGAGATCATTATTCCCGTCAAGCTACCCTGGATTCATAATGGCTACGCGGGGAGGAGAGAGGGGTAGAGTGGTAGTAGGGGTGGACCACTCTACCCCTACCACTCTACCCCTACCACTCTACCCCTACCACTCTACCCCTACCACTCTACCCCTACCACTCTACCCCTACCACTCTACCCCTGCCACTCTACCCCTACCACTCCACCCCTACCACTCCACCCATACCACTCTACCCCTACCACTCTACCCCTACCACTCCACCCCTACCACTCCACCCCTACCACTCCACCCCTACCACTCCACCCCTACCACTCTACCCCTACCACTCTACCCCTACCACTCTACCCCTACCACTCTACCCCTACCACTCTACCCCTACCACTCTACACCTACCACTCTACCCCTACCACTCTACCCCTACCACTCTACCCCTACCACTCTACCCCTACAACTCTACCCCGACCACTCCACTCCTATCACTCTACCCCTACCACTCTACCCCTACCACTCCACCCCTACCACTCCACCCCTACCACTTTACCCCTACCACTCTACCCCTACCACTCTACCCTTACCACTCTACCCCTACCACTCTACCCCTACCACTCTATCCCTACCACTCTACCCCTACCACTCTACCCCTACCACTCTCCCCTTACCACTCTACCCCAAACGTATCACACTACGCTCTGTGATATGATTGTTGTTGATGATTGCTGATGCTGCTGCTCTTATTTTATCGCGATTACCTTTATATATATTTTTGGGGGGTGGATGGGTGATACAAATTTGCAATAAACTTTGCGTGTTCTCTCCGGCTCTGTCTACGCCCTGGAAAATAATAATAATAAAAGTAAATTGGACTTAAGTGGGAATGTTTTAAGTCAGCTGAAACTTTTCAACTTTTTTCTTTATCTTACCAGGTAAGGCTATACCACTGAGCTTCTGTGTAACTCCGTTTGTCAGAAGCGACCCGGCTATCACAAGTAATATCAGCTCAGCGAAGTGGCTGATATCGTCATCATCATCGTCGCATGGATATTGAGAGCAGCAGCCAAATCCTCTAAACGTGTGACGATTCTACACGTGGTCGTAACTCGCTGAAGCTCGCAACCCCTACTGAATGTCTGTGGCAAGTCCACGCGGCTCCACATCCTGTTGCACCGTATTAGTCCATCTCTTCTCCAGCCCGTACCACTCGGTCACTCACCCACCCACCCAATCACTCACCCATCAGTACATCTCTTCTCCAGCCCGTGCCACTCGGTCACTCACCCACCCACACAATCACTCACCCATCCGTCCATCTCTTCTCCAACCCATGCCACTCGGTCACTCATCTACTCATCCACCCAATCACTCACCCATCAGTCCATCTTTTCTCCAGCCCATGCCACTCGGTCACTCACCCACCCACCCAATCACTCACCCATCAGTCCATCTCTTCTCCAACCCATGCCACTCGGTCACTCATCCACTCATCCACCTAATCACTCACCCATCAGTCCATCTCTTCTCCAGCCCGTGCCACTCGGTCACTCACCCACCCACCCAATCACTCACCCATCAGTCCATCTCTTCTCTAACCCTTGCCACCCACTCACCCATTCACTCACCCATCAGACCATGTCTTCTCTAGCGCGTGCCACTCACCCATTAGTCCATCTCTTCTCTCACCCATGCCACCCACTCACCCACCCACTCCTTCACCCATCAGGCCATATCTTCTGCAGCCTGTGCCATGCCCGTATAGCCCGCCACCATCCAATCAAAGTGAAGCTGCTTGGGCATGCGGTGGCTGGGCATGTAGGCTGCTTCTGCCAATATTTGAGGCATCGCAGCCCCAGTAGTCGTCGCCCACCTTGCCTAATGATGTTGTTTGTGCTCAGGGAGTTACTCACCCCCAGGAGGACCCCATAGAAATGATCTGCAAACCTGCAGGCCAGTTGCTGGGATGTCTGAGATCGAATCGCCGTTCTTTCCCTTAAGGAATGGTGATAGGCATGGTGCTGAAAGTTACTTTTTTTGATGGAGTTAAAGAGTGATTTGGCTTTGCGGGCTACTAGGGCAGACTCCATCTCTTCAGCAACCCGCGACCACCACCCATCCTTGCAGGGCCTCACGGCTCTCCGAACCTCCGAGCGAAGGCCTCCTCATTCTCCGACGTGGGATGCTGTCGACGATGAGAGTGGGCCTGTCGCTTTTTCCTCAGCCAGAATACCTCCTCTGTCTACCAGGGTCTCTGGGGAGGTCTGGACTGTATACCGAATACAGATACAACACAAAAGCACAAAGATCCCCCGTATAGCCTGAACAAACTGTAAGAGCAAGTGCTCTTAGCGAGTAGCAGCAACTATGAATGCCGGCACGGCACACGAGGGGGTAGGTGGCTCGCACCATGCCCAGGACGCCTTTGTCTCTCTAATAGCAACGTTTACACACTGCACCAGGTACTCATTTAAGGCTGGGTCGACCTAGGGGAGGCCCAGAACCGGTTCAGATAATCATTGCTGGTGGCCGCGATCAGGAATCTACCTCGGGTCGCCCGCTAGACTATGTTGGACTTCTTTGGAACTAATCTAGATTTTATTTAATTTATTTCGTTTTTTGTTTGCTTTCTGACCACAAGCATTGTGGTTAATGCAGACAGGTTCCTCGTAAAAAAGGTTTCAGTTTGCTGTTTTAACATCTTAACAAACCTGTTTAGTTGCCAGAAAAAAAGGGGAAAAACCTCTTCTCACATTGTGGTACTGGCAAAGGAGGTCTCACGTGACTCTCCCCCACGCCAGGGTCGTGACTCTCCCCTGCCACGAGACTCTCTCCTGCTCGAGTCTCTGTGAGACTGTGGCTTTCCAGGTGCTGAACACCCCTCTGGCACAGGTGGCCCTATACTCTTACTCTTAGGTTTTTTCGGTAAAGTCACGTAGGTAAAAGTAAGTAAATAATAAAATAATAGAAATAATAATAGAAATTTAAATGTCCAGCGCCAGGGGTTCCAGGCTGGAGGGTTTAAAGTTACAGCGCTTCAGCGGCTCGTTGATGTGGTCCTCGAAGCGCTTTTTTTGTCCTAGCGGGGGTTGCGGTGATCACGCATCACGTGGCCGAGCCAGCGGAGATGTCCTGAACCACGCTTGTTTCAATGCAAGGACGATTTGGTGTTGGTGAGGATCTCAGTATGCGGAACTTTGTTCTTGCAGGTTAGCCCGAGGATGCGCTAGAGGCATCTGATGTGGAAGGCTTCTAGGATGTTAATGTGCCGCCTATACAGGGGTCTATATCTCCGAGCTGTAGAGCAGGGTGGAGACACAAGCGGCGTTGTGAATTTCCACCTTGATGTGGGTCTTGAGGTTACAGTTTTTGAAGACCCTGGCCCGAAGGCGTCCAAAGGAAGTGGAGGCTCTGTTGACGCGAGTGTCGATTTCGTCATCAAGTGAGCAGAACCGAGGTAGGTGAAATGGGGTCCCGATTTGAGGTGAACACACCCAATGTTGAAGGCAGGGAGTGAGGTGGACGCGGATGAGATTTTAGCAATTATGTCTGTTTTCTGGGTATTGATGTGGAGGCCGACGGAGCGGTAGAAGGAGGAGATCCAGTTGAGGGCGCGTTGCATGGATTCTGGGGTGTGAGCCAGGAGTGCACAGTCGTCTGCATATTGCGATTCAAAGATCTGTTGGGTTCTGGTTTTTGCGTGGGTTTGGAGGCGTCTTAGGTTGAAGAGATTTCCATCCAGACGGCACTGTAGCTGGATTCCATCTATTCAGTTGAGGGAGTTGTGTGACAGGCTTGTGATGGCAGTAAGGAGCCGTGTTGAATATGACTGGAGCCAGAACATGGCCTTGCTTGACCCCGACCTCCACGTTGAAGGGCTCTGATTGAAGCCCACCAACAGCACCACTCTGGAACGCATTCCTTCATGGAACTGTTTTAGAATGCTCAGAAATTTAAGATGCAGGCCAAGTTTGATGAGCTGCTGCCAGAGTATATTACGGTCGATGGTGACGAACGCTTTGGTCGATAAAAGCCATGAAGAGGTCTTTGTTTTTGCGCCTAGAAATGTTTTCCTGCAGTTCCTTTGCCACAAAGATCCTGGTGCTCCTGCCTTTCCTGAAGCCGCACCGGGATTCTGGGAGAATGTTTTCGGATAGGTACTCTGCGAGCAGGTAGGGCTTTATCCTGGCGAGGACCTTCCCGGCGATTGAAAGGGAGATGGCTCTGCTGTTGCCGCAAGCCGTTTGTCACCCTTCTTCTTGTAGATAACTACAATATTTGCATCCTTCCATTCCTGTGGGATGGTTTGGGACAGCCAGATGGACTTGATGAGGTGCAAGCGGCGATCTCAGCGAGGATGCCGATGGGACCAGCACTTTTGTTGTTTTTCAGGCCTTTGGCTGCCTGGTGGACCTCAGAAAATTGTGGTGGAGTGTCAAGTTCATGAATGGGCAGCATATCAGGGAGTGCGTCGCGGATGAGCAGGTGATCTGTGGGGTTGGTGTGGTTGAGGAGATTATCAAAGTGCTCTGCCGATCTCTCCAAGATATTTTGGTGGGCCTTGAAAAGTGTGTTGCCATCAGCACACCTGACCGTGGTGATGGCTCGATTTAGGGGGTCATAGAGGGCTTTGATGGCATCACAGAACCCCTGGGTGTTGTTTGTGTCCACAAGGCTTTGGATCTCATCTGTCTTTTGGACCACCAGGTGTCCTCAATGGCACGGACAGCACGCTGGGGGGACTCTGCTTTGACCTTGGAGAGGAAGGATTGCAGAGTGGGGCAGTCTGGGTTGGACAGGACGGCTTTGTGTGCTTGACGTTTGTTCTGTTGTAGTGTGTGGATGTCTGGAGCGTTTTCGTCAAACCAGTCTTGGTGACGCTTTTTGGTGTACCCGGTCTGATTCGGAGGCTGTCTCGAGGATGGCTGTGCGCAGCTCAGTCTATGTGGTGTTGGGGTCGGAGAGGAGACGCCGCAGGTTGTTAGTGACAGCTGGATTTTTGAGGGCATTGCAGTTCAGTCTCTTATTTGGGGCCTTCTTTGGATGGTGTTGACAGATCTCAATGCGGAGCTTGGCTTTGATCATACGGTCATCAGTCCGGCATTCCACCCCACGCATGGCTAAGGTCACTAGCACCTCCTTTTGGTCAGACTGATGGACGATGATGTAATCTAGCAGGTGCCAGTGTTTTAAGCGTGAACAGACACATTCTAGATTTGAAGCTTTTGTGACTGCAAGGATTTATACTCTTAGGTTTTTTCGGTAAAGTCACGTAGGTAAAACAATCAATAAAATAAAATAAATGATTTAATTTAGTTCTTTTCATTTATTTTATTGTTTTACCTACGTGACTTTACCGAAAAAAACAAAGAGTAGACACACATTCACAACTTTGCCTTTTATATATATGGAGATACACTATAATACAGATGTTTTTAGGGGGGTTAGGTCGCGTAAATATAAATGTGTCACTATGACACCTCCTTTACCAGTGGCAAAATATAGTGATAGGTTTTTACCCTTTCAAATGGTACAAAAAACTGATACCTTTATACAAGAGTTGTTTCTTTTTGTTTGCATTTTGACTGCTTGTGTTGTGGTTATTGCAAACATAATGCTTGTATAAAGGTGTCAGTTTTTGTACCAGTTGAAAGGGTAAAAACCTATCACCAGAGGTGTGGACTCGAGTCATGTGACTTGGACTCGAGTCAGACTCGAGTCATGAATTTGATGACTTCAGACTCGACTTGGACTTGCATAACAATGACTTTGTCCCACCTCTGCCTATCACTATATAAATGTGTCGTTAAACCTTCCACTACCCGACGTAGCCAACCAACGCCTATATTTAGATTATGTTTATGTTGTTATAACGCTCTGCTACCCCGTGCCCCTACTGGACATCTGTTAGCGAAGAGCTTCTTAGCTCACCGGATTCCTCCTCCACTTTAAAGTGGAGATTTGGATTCTGATGAACACGTTCCCGGACGTGACGTCACAGCCGGATGTGAGATTCCTCCCCCTGAGTAACATGGCGGACGGGACCCCTACACCACCCAACATGGCGGGGGAGGGGGGGGTCCTTCCCCCTGAGGAACAGCGGAGTGACTGGAGGACCACGTGACGAGCTTCCCCCGCAGCCATCTTAGGTAGGGGGTGCAACCACCGCGGGTGACGTCTTCCCCCACCCAACATGGCGGGGGTGATTATAGGAGCTCGGGACAAACTCCACCGCCGCCTTGTTGGGTAGGGGGAGGCGTCCAACAAACCGCCCGTGACGTGACCCACAACGCGGCGGCGTCGTCGCATCCCACCCAACATAGATTTGAAGCTTTCGTGACTGCAGGGATCCATACTCTTTGGATATTTCGGTAAAGTCAAGTAGTTGTAAAATAAAATAAATTAAATCACGACGTTTCGGGCGCAACACAAGCGCCCCACCTGATGACGGACACTTGTGTTGCGCCCGAAACGTCGTGATTTAATTCATTTTATGTTATAAAATGAATTAAAACGTCGTGACTTTACCGAAACAAAAAGTATACCCACCCAACATGGCGGAGGTGGTTGAAGTATCACGTGACGGGCTTCTCCCCACTGCGCCGCCATCTTGGGTAGGGGTGGATGGGCTCCCTCTCCTCACCCAACATGGCGGAGGTGGTTGAAGTATCACGTGACAAGCTTCCCCCCACTGCGCCGCCATCTTGGGTAGGGGTGGATGGGCTCCCTCTCCTCACCCAACATGGCGGAGGTGGTTGAAGTATCACGTGACGAGCTCCCCCCCCCCCCCACTGCGCCGCCATCTTGGGTAGGGGGTGAATGGACTCCCTCTCCTCACCGAACATGGCGGCCGCGGGCTTCACTCGCGCTGGGGGTTAGAGGCGCAGCGAGAGACGGGGAGCGGCTCCCCTCATGGCGACTCCGAGGAGAGAGCGAGGGGCGAGGAGGGGCCGAGGTCGAGCAGGAGGTGGTGGACGAGGAGGAGGAGGTGGTGGACGAGGAGGTGGACGAGGAGACGGGGGGAGAGGTTCGCAATCGCCGCCTGCCAAGAGGAGACGGCCCGGCAGGCCTGGTAGGGAACGCGGGGAAGACAAAGACGGCCGCGTGGGGGGAGATACAAAGACGGGCGCGAGACGAGGAGGCGGTGGACGAGGAGGTGGACGAGGTGGTGGACGAGGAGGTGGACGAGGAGGGAGAGGCTTGGACTCCGCGAAGAGGAGGAAGCTCGGGAGGGCCAGCAGGGAGATCGGGGAAGACAAAGACGGCCGCGTGGGGGGAGATACAAAGGCGGCCGGGAGACGAGGAGGAGGTGAACGAGGAGGGGGGAGGACGAGGAGGAGGAGGTGAGCGTCGCTGGCTACGTACGGCGAGAAAGAAGTTCAACACACACAGCGCACACACAGCATGGACACACACAGCACACACACACAGCACACACACAGCACACAGACAACACACACAACACACACACAGCGCACATACACAGCGCACACACAACACACACACAGTACACACACACAGCACACACACAGCACACACACACAGTACACACACACAGCACACACACACTGTACACACACAGTACACACACAGCACATACACAGTACACACACACAGCGCACACACAAACCGCACACACACCACACACACACAGCACACACACACAGCACACACACAGCACACACACAGCGCACACACACAGCACACACACAGCACACACACAGCGCACACACACAGCACACACACAGCACACACACAGCGCACACACACAGCACACACACAGCACACACACAGCGCACACACACACACAGCGCACACTCAGCATGGACACACACAGCGCACACACAACACACAGATAGACAACACACTCACAACACACACACACACAGCACACACACAGCGCACACACAGCACACACACAGCGCACACACAGTACACACACAGCGCACACACAACACACACACAGCGCACACACAGCACACACACAGCGCACACACAGCACACACACAGCGCACACACAGCACACACACAGCGCACACACAACACACACACAGCGCACACACAGTACACACACAGCGCACACACAGCACACACACAGCACACACACAGCGCA